GAAATGGCAGAGGCGCGCATCCGGTAGTATTTGTATACAGGAAACCTGTTTATAGGGCTGTGCAATATGACTAAAATCTCATATACCGATATAGATCATTTAATACCCTAATAACGATACATATCCAAATATAGAACATTTTTTGTAAATTTCTCTGCATCATGGTGGGTATGTGATTCTGGAGAAATCCAACACCATTACAAATACCATGATATAGAGTGAACAACAAAACAAGAAGTAATGTTACTAATTTTAGCTAGGCTGTAGGTTTGCAAACTGGCGTTACTTGCTGCTGCAAAGCTAACATGAGAGGAGGAGCCGGTCCCAGAGCAGCACAGCAGCGCCAGATACTGGAGATACTCAGCTCTCCTGGTGCTATAGCTAACGTCACAACAACAGGATGACTTGGTGAACTAGAAAGTATTATTGCTTATAAAAACATAAAGACAAAGCAAAAATACATCTAAGTGCACATCCAAGGAGAGGACAGCTGTCTGTGACGCTACCTCAGTGTCCTGTAAGGGACGAAAAGCTTATTCACTGTGATTTAGAGTTCCCAGAACTGTACAAACACCACATTAAAATCATAGCTTGAACTTGGCATATAAACTGGCTCATTCCAGTTTAATTTGTTTAGCCTAGTTGTTAGACTGACACAGCAGCCCTTCATCCTTCAAATTGAATTATTTCATGGTGTTTCTGTTTTAATTGATGGTAATTTAGACTTGTAGTGTGTTGTCTGTGATTGCTGTTGCTAATTAATTCTCGTGAGAGCCTTCCCAGAAACCAATGACGCTTTGATTGATGGGATTTCAAACAGATTGTGAGGAAACAATGAAAATCAACACCTCACTTTCTGAGTTTTATGTAACATTTCTTTATGACAATGAACCGTTGAAATGAAAAGCTTCCCAGTAACTGTATATCAGAATCAGTCATATAAAATAATATATACCTAAAACACCTTTTTATAGTCTTGAGTCAAAGTGACAAGATGTAAATAAGTTGGACTGCAGCAACAGTAACCAACTGCTGCTTGCAAATTTGATCAGGGAGCAAGCCTCTTAATGCTGCCATTAACAATTAATTACATAATATTACTGTGGCTGCTTGACATCTGTAGGGCCTCTTCAAGAACTGAGCTGTATTTAATAATTTTTTCTCTCCCTCACTTTCCTCCAATTTGTTTCATTGGTTTTCTTTTTCCCTCAGAGCTCTTTCAGTTAATGTGTTTAAAGCTCAGTGTCTTTTCCTCTTCATTTTCCTCTTTTCTCCTTCCTGAAAGCAGTCCTTGTGCTAACCTCACATTTACATGACCCTCTCATTAGTGCTCTCTTTGACTTTTCAATGACCTTGGGTCAGCAGGTAATGCCAACACAGTAGGGCTGGACCCGAATATTCGACCGTTGGGTACACATTCGATTTCAAATTTCCATCCATCCATCATCAACCGCTTATCCTGCTTACATGGTTGCGGGGGGCTGGACCCAATCCCAGCTGACATCGGGCGTGGACAGGTCGCCAGTCAGTTAAATTTCCTACATTTTAAAATTAATCAGTAAACTGTAGGTTGTAAAAAAACAGCAACACAATGAACGTATTTAAAAAAGCCTAATTATATTAGGCCGACTGTAGAAGAAGAGCATTTTGTCGCTATAATTAAAACTGAAAGTTCTGCTACTGAAAATAGGCCTACGCTCATCCCGTGCGCTCTCCGCCTGGACCCCCGCCCGCCTAAACTATTACCGGATTCTGCTATTTTCACTCTGCCTCGCTCTTCCGCTGCTCAATATCCGATCCTTTAAACCTGCAATAAATATTCCTCCCTTTCTTAGTCCTGCACCTGGGTCTGCTAGCCTTGCCATAACAAAGGGGCGATGCTTCGATTATTCGCTCTTAATTACTATTGAAGCGTTGAAGCTCAAAAAATAACATTCGGGCCAGCTCTAGTGTCCAGTGGGTATATCAGAGCTTTTTAGATGAAAACAGCTGCCTGCTGCTGGAAACACTGAGACTGAAGGAAAACTCTAAATGAGCTGAAAGAGGCTTAACATCTCTGTAGAGCTGCTTTTGTGTCATTTATACATACATTCTTTGGCTTTTGAAATCCTCACCATCACTTTGGTCTCTAGGAACTTGTGAAGGGCAGTATTTTCATTTATTCATTTAGCTGAGGCTTTTATCCAGAGTGACTAAAAATTGCTATGTATGTAGGAGGTCGCACGCCCCTGGAGCAACTAGGGGTTAAGTGTTTTGCTCGGGGACACAATGGTGTTTCACAGTGGATTCGATCCCAGGTCTTATCCATTGCTCCATCACCCCCCAGTAGTCCATAGTTTTAACATTTTTTAGCCAACATAATTCAATTGAATTGATTGATCTAGTGTTAAGGCAACTGTGCTGCAGTCAGGTGTGTTTCCACAGTCAGACAATCCCACAATCCTTTTACCCAGTGACACCTCCTGTCCTCTCTGACACCACGTCAGCACTCGTCTCAGGTCTGACACCTGACACAGGAGCTCTGCAGAGCACGCGCACACACCTACCTTCAGCTTCCAATAACCGATATTAAAGAGGTCTGTTGGACTTATTGTGTCACCCTCACACTCTCAGTCTGATACTGTAAATGAGTGTTTGTGTTAGGCAGCATCTTCCCAGCGTCCCCTCCAGCTCCAACCACTGACTCGCTGGCACCATGCGCCCCCTGCAGGTCAGCGCCACATCTGCTGGTGCAGTGACAGACAAAGAAACTGCCACGACTTCTGTTGCGGTTGTTCCTTTGTAAACCCAGCGAGTGGACATATTAGAATGACTGAGAAAGACAGAGTGCTCTTTAATTTTTCTCTCGATTAAACAGCCGCCCTGCTTCTCATCTGTCTGTCTGCGTGTCTGTGGGTAAAGCCAGTTCTCCCCCTGCAGAGCTCCAGCAGGAAGGAGGAGGAGGAAGAGGGAGTCTTTAGACTATAAATAGCAAGGATTGGGGTTAACAGGGTGGGGTGTTTTGGGGGTATGGATTGACGTCATGTTGGTGAACTGTTCTCATACAACCAGCTTCCAGTCCTTGTTATCGATGTCCTCTGCTCTTTCCTTTCTTTCCCTTCTTCCTGCCTTTCTCTACTTCTTTCCATTCTTTTTTTTCCTGCTATCCTTCTTCCTTTCTCTGCCTTTCATTCACTAACATTAGTGTCAATCCTGACAGACTGTTTAAAATGGCTGATGTGACAGTATGTTAAAACTGAATCATCCTCGAATGCTTTATCATATATAATGCATGGCTGGGTATCATTTCACATGTTTCAGGAGATCCTCTTACTGTAAGAAGGTGGGTGAATAAGTCAATCTCCTGCCTGCCTTTGTGTGTTTGCGCAGACATAAATAGCGGATGGATGTAATAGATGAGTTTACCTTGAGGCTGCAGGTTGGCTCCCACAGAGATGAGTAAATCTGTCGTCATCCACCTGCCGCTTATATCATCATGTCTTCTTCAACACCCACATGATGTTTTATAAAACCTTTGGCCTCATGTAGATCTCACCTCTGTGGCTTCAGCTCAAAGTTAAAGTTTAAGTATATGAGTTTACTCTTTATATTTTCAAAGGTCATTGTTGGGATGTCTCTTTGGTTTTTTCTTCATGTTTTAATTTTTTGTTTATCTGCTCCTCCTCTGCATTTTCTAATTATATTATATATATATATATAAAAATATTTTATTTTTTATATTATATTTTTATCCAAGAGTCTGCTGCAGGCAGTGCAACATGATTATGGTTTAAAGGATATTTATGATTATTTTGCTCAATACTGCATGCTATATCCTTATGGATCGAAGATTTATTTGTTATAAAAACTCAAACCCTGACATCTGACAGCTCTACACCTGATGGTGAAAAATATGGATATTGCGGATATACTGTAATTATATTGGTTTATATGTCGGCTGAAAAATGAAAGATAGGTTTAAGTTCATTCAGGAACATAGTTGTTTGTCGTTTGGCTCTCTGATTGGGTCTTGTAAGTCATGCAATGTAGAAACACGATGCTGCTATTTGTAGCATGCAAATAACACTTGTAGTCTACACTTGTACTGTGTATGTTGCCGTATTTACTTTGTCACGACTCCCAGTCTGTTTTCCGCCTAACTCCCGTGTTACATTCATTAACATTCCCAGCTTGTAATTGGTCCATGTAAAATAAAATCTGGTGTGGTTCTTTGTCTGTAGTACGTGAACGGCCACTAGATGTGCGTTTTCAATCTTCAATGTAGACTGAGATCAGCTCTAAATGCTGGTGTGAACGGAGATCATATATGTTTTAATTCTCCGTTTGTAAACTAAAACGGAGTAGTGTGGATAGGTCCTGAGATACTGTGCAGAACACACTCCCAGGCCTCTGGCAGAGGACCTGAGCTTGAGGATGACACATACCACCCTACAAAGTGTTGAGAATGGGATTTTTTTTTTTTGGTCTAAGTAAATATTGTAGTCTTTTTAACATCATAACCGGGACTCAGCACAGACCAAGGTCCTTTAAATTAAATGATAAAACAGGTTTTGTACAGACTGTGTTGTGATATTGGGCTATATAAATATAATTTAATTGATTTGCCATTGCCTTCCAAAAGGAATCATGGTTAAAAGAAACCAGCATTGACTGTTGGTAGGAAACAGGAATCAAAAAGTGGACTCATGCAGCCATTCACTCCGTCCTTGTCAGGAACGTAAATGTCTCACATTTGATGAGGAGTGCAGGAGTGTCTGTCAGTATATGAAGTGCTTTGACATCATTTGTAAGACATGATGTCAACTGGACAACATATTCCTCAGTCTCATTCCTTTGAAATGCAACAGACATAAATGTGGTGAAGTCAGACACTGCGGTATTGTCTGTCAGCTCTGAACAATAACAATACTGTTTCTGTCCTTGTCTGTCTCTCCACACTTTAATGCCACTGTTGATTGGGTGAGAAAATTAATAATTTACTATTTTTCTTCTGTCTTCAGTCACCTGGACAACCACCACCTGTGGGACCCCAATGAGTTTGCTGTTTCCTGCTTCAGAATCACCATGTACTCCATCCAGGTACATTACACACACGTTACACCTGAATTAAATAGAATTTAAAGTACTACATCAGCATTACTTTAAAGGTATGTTATGCAACTTTTTACATCGGAGCACTAGGTTAGCCCTGCCCTCGTATTTCTGGCTCTCGCTCAAGTACCTGTCAGTCATCTTGACGAGCTGTCATCCCACCCCAGACTTGAAGTCTGCAGCGTCCCTGAAGCTTCCACAGTGTTACAAGTTGCCTCCTGCTTGTAACAAAGAGAGGAAGCTTACGCAAACATAAGCTTAATGGTTTTATTGTAACAACTAAACATAAACTTCAAGGCAGGAGTGTCATGAGTATAAAATGTAGTGAGTGCAAAAGGAAAAGCTACATAATAGGTAAAAAATGAAGAGCTGGCGTGTCCCAGGGGTGGTGCATAGTGCCGTGGGAAACAAAAGAGAGAGGGGGCAGAGTTGGCTGAACAGGTGAGCCACATCTCCTGACGACCCTGTTGACGCCAAACCAGCACAACACAACAGACAGCCACAGGGTCGTCACAACAGGCAGATGGAGAACACAGCTGATCACTGTGTTTCTGAGACCCACTCTCCTTTTTATTTTTCCTGTGCAACTACTTCTGCTGATGCGATTCTTGGGGTCCTTGTTTTGCTCTGAATTCTGCTTTTCAGAAGGTCTTTCATCCAGGCTGCATAGCGTCATAGTCCCACTGGCTCCCATTAAACCGACGGATCAATGCTGTTGTGCGCCAGTACATGTGTTCTGTTAGTGCGTGACAGGAGTTTGCAGAGTTTTGTCTCTCTGATCTGTCTGGGGGGGGGGTTGGTCTGTCTGCCAGTAGACGGGCATGGGCGTCTGTTTGATCTTGGTAACATAAAACAAACGCACCCTGGGTTTGTCCTACAGAGACACGGTTGAACATTCTGCTTTCAGGGGGAAACGACCGAGTTTGGACCATTTTACAAGAAAAATCTAAAGCAGCTGCTGCAGATGATCTTTGCATTTCGAGGTCATCTGAAATATTAAAGTTAAACATCAGGATTTGTTCTTAAGGGTTGATTTCTAAAGCACGAATGCTCAAACGGTTGCAAAAGGTGAAATCCATCAAAGAAGGGGAGATGCAAAAAGTGATTTCTAGATGTACTGCAGTCATGTCACTTTTAAAGGGGCTATATGTTGTTTTTCAATGAAATCACTTTAATAAATGAAATTCTTACTTTCTTTTTGTCAGTGAGCTGTAGCCGCACTTAGAAATGAAGGACACGCCTGTTATTCTGCTTTGAATGTGAAGGCATCTGGTCAGGATGTAGCCCTGTGCGCGCACCCGCATCTCTCTCTACAGCAACAACACCACCACGGCTAAGGAAATGCAGTCTACTAACACCACAAAACAAGCGGCTCCCAGCAAAACACAGACTCCAACATAAACTCCACGTTATGATAAAAGCAACACAAACGTTTTATGTGCTGAAGCCCATCAGGCCAAACATGATCAGATAACGCCGGTGAAAACAGTCATCATCAGAAAGGGTGGAGTCGCGGAGAGTCACGTTAGCTCGCCGGCTAACTCTGAGCAGTTACTAACGTTATCTGGTGAGAAAACTTTTAACAGAATAATCACAATATTGGCCAAATAAGTGTTTGCAGTTTATAACGTAACCACGCATGACATGATTATAAACAATAATAGAAGCCTGTTGTTGCCAATGGAATATGTGTTTGGTAGGCCTATGTCTAATATCCTTGTTTATATTTGAAAAACAGACTGTAGCCTATAATTAACATGACTTACTGCTGAGTTATATATAAAATCTCTTTTGCAATTATCTTTATGACTCTACATTATTTAACTTGCTGTGTACCGACCAATCCAGTCCTTCTTACCTGTTGAAATAACTTTAATGACCAATACAACCCATGTAATGCAGAGAGTGATTGCAGCCTCTACTTATTGACAGAAAGGTAGATTCTGCCTCAAAATGACTTGATTTCATTCAGACGAGTTATATTTGACAGATTATACCTCACCTAGAACTTTTTACCTCTTAAAATACCTTTAATTGGCCAAAACAACACATAAAATGCAGTATTGAACTTGCCAGACAGTGATTGCAGCCTCTACTTATTGACTGAAAGGTTATTTCTGCCCAGAAATGACTTGATTATATTCATGAGGGTTATATTTGACAGATTATAAAACCGCAATTATCCCCCTTTTTTATGTCTTATATAATAACATATTTTTTATGACATACTGACCACCAAACCAAAAATATCCCCAGTTTTCATTTTAGAAATCTGATCACCTTATATAATATTTTGCGTTATAGCTTTCCACTTTACTTCACCAGCTAACCCGATCCACATTTCTATCCTGTGTACCACCGTTATTATGTCAAAGTGTCGATTTAGCCTGCGAGAAAGGATGTCCAAATGTGGAGCGATTAGTTTATATTAGCCTTGATGCAAGACAGGAGCAGCCAGCTAACGTACTTAAGCACGGATCCACCGCTATTTGCTTTGTTACGTTCAATGTAGATTGAATTTAGAGCTCACTAACCGTTTCATTATCATCTAAAACATTTAGCTGTGCTGAAACTACATATTGGCCCTTAAAAAAAAATAAAAATCCAAAAAAACCCTGAAATATAACAGGAAATATGGCTTTTTTTCTGCTAAGAGAAGCACCCACTGGATTCTGCTTGCCATAGTATGTTCACTTTTCAAAGATTTCACCCATTCACATTCACCATCCCCCAATCTCTTTTGAAGTACTGTACACTGACACCAATTCCACCAAGAAGTCACTGGAGTTGTTAATTGATCTGACAGTGAGCATTTGTTACTATGTCTAGAAGATTGCAAACCAAGTTGCTGCTTGGCCCCGTTCAGGGTGAAAAATTCTTTGCGTAAAGATTTTCTGAAATACTTGCAAGTAAAAACTTCAACACAGCTCTTGTAAAACATAACATCTTACAGGACTTTTTGGGAACTATTCTTATATCTTATCTTATTCTGTCATGCGGAAGAAGTTTCTTGTCTGTGTGCTAAATACATGTAGATGGATTCAGCATTTAGCATATAGACTGGAAAAGGGAAAACGCCTAGCCTGGCTCTGTTCAAAGGTAACAAAATCCACCTGCCAGCACCTCTAAAGTTCACTGACACTTTATGTCTTTGTTTAACAGCTGCAAAAACATTCAAGGAGTTTACCTGTTTAAAGTCCATTGACCAAAATGTTGTGACGGTATAAAGTTAGTAGAGGTGTGCGACAGGGTGCTGGATTTCTGGTTCCTTCTCAGTTTAAATATCTAGATAAAATAATACAATGTTTACTTTACTTTACTCTATTGTTGTTCCAAATATGATTAGTGTTGATTCACCTTAAATCCTCTCTGTGTCTTTGTCATCATCCAGGCTCAGCACTCCCACCACGTCATCCAGCAGGTTCTGAATCACCTCGACACAAACAACAAGAACACACCGCGGGTCAGAGCCGGCATCGTCCAGGTCCTCCTGGAGACGGTGGCCATCGCTGCCAAAGGCTCAGTGGGTGAGTTGCAGGACCATACTGGTTCCCACTGCCGGACCAGTTCCTCAGGAGATGATAGAAGAAAAGACTACATGTCATCTGTCACTTCATTCATTTGTTGACAGAAAATGAATCTCCAAAAATTCAGATAATCAATTGATTAAGTCCTGTTCAACCATTCAAGATGTGCTGCTTTTTTCTGTTTTATATTAGTTTATTGAGCTTTCAGCACTATCAGGTTCGTTATAGGTTCATTAAGACAATTGCCATTAAGAACAGTGAACTATTTTGCTGGAACAATAAAACTCCAGTACTAAATAGACCACAAAATTTAAAATAGGCTAAGGTTTTGTCTATTCAACACGGCTCCCAGGGTCACAGGGAAACCCGTCCACCCTGATAAGGTGTTTTTACATTCCCACTGAGGTGGCTTAATATATTTAAAATTTAGTTTATTTAGATTACTTTGAGGAAAAAAATGAAACAACTTCGTTAATTTGATGTTTTTTATTGAATTCTTCCAACCTGTGTTTTACTGCCTCTGCCTGGGGGGAAAACAACTTTCCTTCTGGGTAGGAATGATCCAAGAGTCCAAAAGAAGTGATGTGTACGCCTTTGAAAGTGAAAGCCCGACTCTGCCCAATCTGTGGCTCGGTACAGTATGACAGTGTAGTTAGATTTGTGAAGTGAATATATAGAGCAGTTTCTACAGCCCCCCCCCCCCCCCCCCCCCCCCCCACACACACACACACACACACACACACCTGGAAATTAACAAGCATCCTGGGTAATCACAATGTATTTATGTACACCAGAAACACAAAGCCAAAGTGTAACGATACAATAAACTGACTACAAAATTACCTAGACTCAGAATACACATTATATATACACGGTAACATTCAGATTTTTGGAATATTCACATTTACTATATTTAATTTCATGATTTATATGATATACTGTATTGGTCTGAATATAAGACCTGCCTCCCTTTTTAAAGACTCATTTTTGGAAAAATACTTTCTGAAGACCAAATCTTCTTTTTATAAAGAAAGTAATTTTATTTGAAAAGAATTCTATTAAAAACACATTAAATAAAATATAACCAGGAAGGTTGTTGTTTTTAACATATTTTTAATAAAATGGTCACATTCAGATTACTGCTAAATAAAATGTACAATGTAATTTAATATTATATTTAAAAAGATATTAAACGTTCTTTTATTTAAAAGGTGTTAAAAACATCAACTACCTTGGCATCATAACTCCTCCTCAGCTGTTGGTTAACTTGACCTACCTTCAGTGAGGAGAGCAACATGCGCTTTGCCGATATTTGGCGCCATCTGTTGTTATGGGTGTATATTAACATTTAAAGTCTTATACCCACAACATAAGACAAGTTTCTAGGGGGAAAAACTCTTATATTCCGATAGGGCTGCAACTACCGACTATTTTTATGATTGCGATTAGCGATTAGCCTTTAAATTAAACCTGAGGTTGTTTTAGGCATGTGCTAATTAACAGTCAAGACAATAAAATAATTTCCGCTTTCAAATATGCATCTTTTAATGAACGTTTCTGCTGCAGCAACAGAAAGTTCCACTAAAATCACATCCTGATAAGCAGCTGATCTGCTGTTTAGTGATGGAGCTTTCACGCCAGTACTGCAACCCCCCGGGGCGAACTGACCCTGTTTACAAAGAAAGGAATAACGTCATGCATTTCAGTTGCCGAACTGAGGGAATCAATAATAATGAATTTGTAGTAGACAGCGTTTCACAACAAATATAGTTTCCCCAAACTCAACAACTCACAAAACGCCGTGATTTTTTTAAGGGAGTTTGAGGCGGATAAGCCACCGCCTCACGCACAGAAGAACAGTTTTCTCTTCTTTAGAAATATGAAATTGTCCGGTGTTGTCTAATCTTGGCACTTGGCAGCAACATGTTCTCCAGCTGAATGTCGTCATGAGCGATGCATCGTTTATGACTCTAAAGTCAGGGCATGTCTGGAATGTGAACGCGGATGTTGTGCATCATAATTATGTGCTACTCACAGCACCATTACTGTAACAATCAATCAAACTGACCAACTGTATAGAAAACGTTTCATCTTATAACGTGAAGTAACACGGCTTTAATGGGGTGTCTTCATCATCCACAGAGACACGACGTTACGCGCCTCCTCTCCAGATGCTCCTGTGTTTCCAGGAGAGCTCCGCTTTGCTGCAGTTCACGACCTTTCTGGCTGAGTGAAGAGTGAAATGCTGCCACACAGCATTTCACTTTAGGTTGTGGAGGTGTTACTGCAGCTCTGATGTTGTTTTAGTAACGTTACTGTTCACATCACTTTACTCTGTTAAGCTGACGGTGTCGTTACGGCCCGATGACGTCATGAACAAATCGATTTTTAAATTCTTGGCAACAAATTTAATAATCAGTTTTTGTCGACTATGTCGATTAGTCGTTGCACCCCTATATTCGGACCAATACAGTACAACAAGGATTTTCTCCGAAAAAATAGAAATCTCTTTTTTAAGAGAGTCCTGGCCAAAATTGCTGGAAACTAATTCCAGCTCCATCAGATTGTATCACAATGTAGATATTAGATGCATGTTTATCTCAGGAGAACAAAAGGTCTGTGTTTACACCAACAGATGTTATTTAATACAAACATTCACTGAGTGACCAGAATTACAGAGACAGCAGTGAAAGTGAAATCCAATACAGCAGCCTGCAATCACCTTAAAGGGATCAGTTTACACACATTACAAACACACAGATTTTCTTATGTGTAGATTAAATCTGTTGAAGAGCATGTTTTCTTGTGGCATCAGTCCATGAAGATAGTTTTGAGACTTTCACCCCCAATACAACTTTGGTAAATAGAACTTAGTTTGTAGAGCTCTCAGCATCAAATAATAACCTTTAACAATACAGCAACAGCCCCACAGTGTACTGTTCCAACATCACAGACAAATCCAAGCACAGTATCTCCAGGTGTGATTTTGTGTCGGAGTGTTGGGGCTGTGGAATAGCACAGTGATGTGATGCTGTATCTAGACCCATGTAATGTTCCCTCAGTAGACAAGAGAGCTTTTGGAAATCATTTCATTTACTATGTTGCAGATGAGAAGATGGATATCAGTTTAATTTCTGTGACCAGTGGAGATGTATCCTTGGCTGTCCTTAGCCTAGCTTAAGACTGGAAGCAGCAGGAAACTGCTAGCCTGGCTCAATTAAAACAAAGAAATTTATCCAGCAGCTCGCAATTCATTCTGATTCACATGTTTATCTTTGTTGAACAGGCATAGACCCAGAAATATTTGAACAGAAACCCCAAAGGGGCTTAAATATAAACCTTTTCTATATGTTTTTACTAGAATGAGGGAAGATTGAATGCTCTCTTAGAAAAATAATCTCTTGCAATTGTTATACATTTTTTTGTTATCTTTTAAGTGGTCTGTATCATATAAAGTATTTTTGGAAAGGATTTCTCAGTGTTGTTTCCATGATTTTTGAAATGTAATGTGCCAAAGGCGGGAAGGGTGAGCCAGGCAGCACTGACTGTCATAATCTGAGGTGTTGCTTTTTGTGACAGAGTGAATTAAGACAACTGGACCAGAGAAGACGTGTGAACATGACCAACAGCACAGATAGAAATCTGTTACTGGGGACTTTCTGCAGTTTATGTCCATATGTAATGCCTGGAGTTCTCTGGAACCCCCAATGAATCCTTTAAAGCAGGGGTATTCAATTAGATTTCAAAGAGGTCTAGTTAGAGAAAATTTCCTGAAGCAAAGGTCCGGAACATCAAAACGACGAACTTGCGTTATCATTCAGTACTATAACCTATAGTTGTATCAACATGTTTTTAGTCAACAACGGACTGTCAAATCAAATAATATTTCAGTCAGTTTTCACATCAAACTGGAGGGATAATAAATAATAACTACTCTAATAATAAATTCTAAATTTACGTAAAACTGCCTAGTTTTTTTGAATAAATTAAATAAAAAGTGTAGCTTGAAGTGATGAAGTGTAGTCTTAACCAATTTTATAATAAACACTCAACACATCATAACAAATGAACAGCTGTAATGCCTCCTCTTCTCTTTCATTTCCTCTTACAGAGCTACCACTTTCCTACTTTCTGTTGTTCAGTGAGAAACTTGAGCTCCAGCTAGCATATTGGAGATCTATGAGATATTCTGGTTTTGAACTGCCCGTGGGAGGAATGTACATGTAAAAATCTGTACATTCTTGATTAAAAGTCATGTGAAATCTCTTTTATCTTTCGTCTCCTCAATGCGGGTGTGTTTCCAAAACGTCTCTGGTGAATCTCGAGGACTCGACTCGCAAGCATCGGTATGCACAGATTTGATTGGCTGAGCAGCGTCACATGAGACGATTGGAGCACATGCGATTGGTCTGTGAGTTTCCTGGTCCTCTAAACCAGTACAGTAAATGCTAGAAAAGCTGCGCGGGTTAAAATAGAAACGCTCCGTCACGAGGTAGTAAGTCTCAATAATAAATGGGCTGTAGGTCGGCGGTCCGGAGAGGACGGCGGCTAGGTCCGGATCCAGACCGTGGTCCGCCTATTAGTGACCTCTGCTTTAAAGTCTTACTCAATGAATTTAGTTTCCAAACATCCCAAATATGTCTGGTTGAAATTTGGGACAATGTGTATAAAATGATGGACAAATCATTTTCATTTGATGGAGTTGTGCAGCCATTTTTTGAGTCAATTTAAACATCATACAGCTTCAAAGATGATCTGAAACAATACATACATACAGACTTTATATATTGTGCTGTCAGACACTGTGTAAATATCTGATTTTTTTAAACCTTAAAGGTACTTCAGTAGAAATAAGAGGAAAACCAGATGTTACCAGCTTAAATGAGACTAAAACATTTCTAAAATGTGCTTTCAAATTAAAGAAAGAATTTTTGTCAGCCACTGCTGCTGAGGAAAGTTTGACTGTTGTCGCTGATTTAGTCATGTTGTCGCACAGAAAAAGAGTTGGTAGTTCCCCTGTAGTCCCTGCTCAGGCGCACAACAGTACGAGTTGTTGAGAGAAGCTTTCTCAATTCTCTGCTCAGTTTTTCATTCTGTGTGTGTGTGTGTGTGTGCGCATGCTTGCTTGCAGGTCCCACAGTGCTGGAGGTGTTCAACACTCTGCTCAAACACCTGAGGATGAGCGTGGACTTTGAGCTGGGCGAGAGCTCGAGGAGAAACTCCAGCACCAGTGTTTCTTCTGGCCGCGGGAAAGAGAGCGAAGAGAGAATCGTCCAGAACGCCATCATTCAGACCATCGGTACAACAGGCTGTTTACTTCCTGTCTTATTATAGTATAAGTTCATATTTTTATGTATGTGTATCCTAAAAGTATCCTCACGTGCCCGTATCCACATCAAAAGACTCATTGCTCTCTGTCATCCAAACCAAAATCTCGTTTTCATGTGATAGTAAATACATCAGAATAAGTAGAAGGAAGGATGTGTTTTAACTCTCCTACAAAGATAAATGGCTCGTGTTCGAGTGCTGACTCATCGCTCTCCTCCTGCCAGGCTTTTTCGGTGGAAACCTCCCAGACTACCAGCGAGCTGAAGTCATGATGTTCATCATGGGCAAAGTGCCAGTGTACGGGACCCCCTGCCACACCTTGGACACTGTCAAGATTGGGTGAGTCACACACTCATCATCCAGAGACCCTGGGGTTCCCACATGCCGCTGCTGCGGCCAATCAGCTCACAGTTCCCAAAAAGCCCACTGTAGAGACAGTTTGGCTCTGAACGTGTTGGCTCCACTCTGTATTTTCTTTCTCAGGTAACAGACACAGAGCATACCGAACTGTTTGAGGTTTGTGATAGAAACATGGCCCTGGTTTTACCACAGCTGCTCTTTAAATCATAAGTCCAGTGTTCTGATTTGAGAAATAATGAGCACTCAAAGGGGGAGAATTATATTTTATCCTTAAAAGTGTCCCGTTGGTGCATAAATCAGTCGGCATCCCTTGACATTGAATGAGGCACCAGCCAAACATCCATTCCACTGTTTACTTCAGAGCTAATTAGCAATTCATAGTTTTCACGTGACGTCACACTCCAATGAAAACGCTCCCTTGGAGGGAAAAAAGACATTAATTTCCATTGCCTGCCAACCAATATGCAAGTAATACACTGTTAATTTGAATTTGTTACTTTTTGCGTTGCCAAAATGCTGGATGGTTGTTGTGTTTTCAGATTTACTAATCGAGACAAGCCTGAGCTGTATTAGGAGGTGAGGGATTCCCCAGAAGGTAAAGGTAGGCTAAACATTAACGCAGTCGAGTGGCAGCAGGGACCTGGTGGTTTTGAACGGTAGAAATGCGGCAGTGGATGCTGTACCATTATATGGATCAGATATGTCCCATATCCTTGCAGTTTGTGTTCATATCTTTCTTTTTCTCAAGTGGAAAGGTGATCCAAATAAAATTTGACTGCTTTTGCGGCGTCTCCTAGGGGCAGTCGCGGTGTGAGCTGCTATGTTGGTCGTTGTTTTGCCCTCCAGGTCACCGCGCATGTCACTGAAAACTATGAATAAACAGCATCAAAAGGTATCTGCTGTTGTAATTCTTCTATAACGCTGCACCACAACACAAGGTGGCCAGCTCTCTCAGTTGCTAGCAAAAGTTGTCTTCTAACAGTTTATTTCAAAAGTACTTTTCACTGCAAGAAGTAATGTCTTTTGTCACTCCAGGATTTAAAAGGAAAACCAACATTTGTGGAAATATGCTTGTTTGGTGTCTTAGTCAAAGCACGATTAGAAAAGTTGTTCTCAACTTTTTTGGGTACAAAGAGGGCTCCTCCATGGCTACAGGGCTCCATGAGACACAACTTTTGTTCCATCCTCTCCCTTCTTTCCTGTCATCACTCTACTGATGCTATCCAGTAAAGCCATACAAATGGCCCAAAACAACTCCTCACAAGTTGCTATGAGCTGTAAGTAGTTCGCTAGCTTCCCCCACCGGCACTTGTGGAGCTTCTCATCTCCAAAAACGTTTGTTCCGCCATCAATTTTCATTAAACTGCTTGGAACCTCAATGGAGGTGATATGAAAAAAAGTACCAGGTACAACTTCTCCCTAGAAAGCCAACAAAGGTGACTCGAGCTGGTACCATGTGGTAAAAATGGAATTAAAATGGCCAAAAAGGTTGTTTACATCCAACACCAAACAGCAAAGCCTATGCCTTGCATCATTTTGTTTGTCCTGATATTATTCCTGAGACCCAGAAAAACAAAATTAGAACTACCTACCCAACATTAAGAAAGAAATTCTCAGTTATGTGATTTCCTCTTGGATCCCTGTTCATTGTTGTTGTTTACAATAATCAGCTGAATGTATTAACCTGTTTCAACTTAACACAAATAGTTAGATTCATGCTTTTTTTGTTGTTGACTGAAGGAGGTGAAACAAAACAAATCACATGAAACAGTTTTACATGAAACACTACACTCATGCAGTGTGTAGGGAATGAAGATACACTTGCACTTACACTCTTATCTTAATTGTGTCTTAATCTGTCCTCACTTCACCTCTTGGACACCCCACTGTAAATCCAGCTCCCTGGTCACTGAGACGACAGCTGCTCTCCCACCCCCCACCCCCTCCAAAAAAAAAGAAAGAAAAACAAGCTAATCCCTCTGACCTCAGGAGTGCAAGAACAGATAATCCCAAATCAAACGTACACCGTGCTCCTCCTCGCAGACCACAGGCTCACTGTCCCTCCAAGCCCTAACCTGCCACACAAAGACTTTGAAAGAGTCATCCATGTATTTATAATGTCTCGACTAGACTGCTGTAACTCTTTGTATGTTGGAGTGGATCAGTCGTCTCTCCATCGGTTACAGTTGGTCCAGAATGCCGCAGCTCGGAACAAAAAAAAGCGTGAGCACATTACCCCTGTTTTAGCCTCACTCCACTGGCTTCCTGTCCGCTTTAGGATTGATTTTAAGATTTTAATGCTTGTTTTTAAAATTTTAAATGGGTTGGCACCTTCTTATTTATCAGAACTTTTACATGTACACACTCCCGTCAAAGCACTGAGGTTCATCCAATCAGATGCTCCTTGATGTCCCCAGATCCAGGTTAAAAACCAAAGGTGACCGAGCCTTCTCAGTAGCTGCTCCTAATCTTTGGAATACTTTACCTTTTCAAATAAGAAATGCCCAAACTCCTGACACTTTCAAATCCTTGCGAAAGACCTATCTTTATTCATTGGCCTTCAAACAGAGTTGAGTAGTGACATTTATTTTATTTTTTACTTTTTCTACTGTTGTCATGTATATTTGTTGTCTATTGTGGAAAGCACTTTGGTCAACTAGTGTTGTTTTTAAATGTGCTATATTGTAGCATGACTACTATGTTTTAATAAATTTATGAGAATTAATACAAAATTATGAATTATAATATTCAGAGAATATTCATTCATAAATCTCTCGTGGGGCACCACCGGAGATCCAATTCACCCAGAGTCTCCGGACCTCTAGGTAGCATTTTAATAATTATACAGTTATTCACTAGTGATCAGTTAGTTAATAATCGCTCAATTATCTTAAATCAATCAGTCAGTCTCATATCGAAGGGGTAAATTCTCGTGGCAGGGACTTGGAGACAGGCAATACACACACAAAATTCCTGTGATTACTGTGGAATTTATTAACCAATTAAGGTGAATATAAAAATGCGGTTAAATATACATCCAAGAAATAAACAATGGCTAAACAATGAGAGTTCTATTGTGGGGAGAATTTGATTCATGCGGCGGAAGAGAACTAATGAAAGTAGTTAGATGATACTACCTCGATTAAATTTGTCTAGGAGTTTAAGGACTAAAGATAATGGATTAACACACTATTGGACATAACTGATCACAGGATGCAGGGTTTTGGTCTTACTGCTTGTCATTTCTCCCAGCCGGGTTGCTGGTAAAACGGCCTCACACTGGCGGAGTTCCGTGCGTTCTCGGTTACGATAGCTTAAAACCGTCGGCCAGCAGCTTTCTCTGCCAGGGAATTGCTCCGGAGGTCCTTCTTTTGTCTGCTTACTGAAGGAACTTGCAGTGGGGCCATTCCAACTCTAGCTCGACAGATAAGGCTTAAAAAGAACTTGGTTGTTCTTGAATTAAAACTAGTGTAACTTAACGGACTGATAACTTTTAACAAAATAAAACCAAAGACAATAAAACGCAATTAAAGTTGCTGTTAAACGAAAGAAAGCTGAGGTTGCGGCACTTCGCGTGTGTGCGTGGATGAACAGGAAAAAAATCTAAATCAAATCACTATTTGGTATGACCACCCTTTTCTAGGAACACTTGTTCAGGTAGGTTGGCCCAAACATCTTCTGTCCTGTGGATTTAGGCAGCCTCAGTTCCTTCTCACTTCATTTCAATTAGCTTTATTGGCCTGATTGTTTAGGTAAACAGTGTTGCCAGTGTAGCTTCTCTCACTTAATGGAATCCCAGACAGGCTGGATGATGTTGAGATCAGGGCTTTGTGGGGGCCATTCTATCACTTCCAGGACTCCTTGTTCTTCTGCTTTTGCTGCTTTAATGACATATGCTGTATATTTGGGGTCGTTGTCATGCTGCAGAATACATTTTGGGCCATCTATTAACATGTTTATTTTTAAAGCATTCTTACTTTAAATAATTTTTCCACACAGGCCTAAGACTTTTGCACAGTACTGTATACCGTATATACGTTATCTGTGTAAGCGTCCACTAAAGGCAGAGTAGGGACATTTCATCTGTTACAAAAAATGCGACAGGTACTGATAAGAAGATTTCATTCAAGAGATCATTTCTATAATTCAGCTATAGCGACAGCTGCTCTCCTGGCGCTCTGTGTGGGTGGGTGTGTGTGTTGAGTACTAATTTGCCATTTAGGAACAAAAAAGACACTTTATATCATTGTTTGGTTCTGAGAATATTTGATGTCCTCTTCATTTGCTGTCTAATTTTAATTTATTTGTGGTCATTCAGGCATCAGGGTACCAAGCGGATCCAGACCATGCTGCTCAGCTCTCTGATCATGGTGAGTGCCCGTTTGTACTGTCTGAACAGCAACCAGTCTGCCCACTGATCAGATCAACAGATTGTTTTATCAACTTCATCATGCTTTCATTAGTGTAAAATCTCTGTTCGAGGAGTCTTTAATGACTCTACAGTTGGTTCATCTCTGACTGCTTTTCATTCTGATTGGGCTTTATGTTTATAATGGGGCGACATGATATATGGCAAAGTTTGGGGACTTAACAGCACATTTAACAATATGTGCACACTTCATAATTGGGACTTGCTTTGAACTCGAGGGTAAATTATGATTATTCATTTTTAGTATATACTGTATTAACTTAAAGGCAGCTAGATTTACTGTTTTAGTGTTTTCACTGCTCTAAGATGGTTCATCATTTTCCCTGACTGGTGGGCAGTACTTCAGCTTATGACTGACATGTGACCATAACAATTCACATTTACCTCGATTAGCCTAACGTGACATGAATCACATAGCCTTGCAACTAATGATTATTTTCATTATCGATTAATCTGTTGATCATTTTCTCGGTTAATTGATTAGTTGTTTGGTCTATAAAATGTCATAAAATGGTGAAAAATGTCGATCAGTGTTTCCCAAAGACCAAGATGATGTTTTTTCCACAACCCAAAGATGTTCAGTTTACTGGCATAGAGGAGGAAAGAAATCAGGAAATATTCACATTTGAGAACAGATTAATCGACTATCAAAATAGTCTCTGATTAAATTAATAGTTGACAACTAATGATTAATTGTTGCAGCTCTATAATCACGTGAACTAATTTGGTAATTGGTGATATCAAAGCATTATTTTGACACATTCTAAAACGTAAAATCTAGAAATATATGACACCTAATTTGATAAAAATCAGCTTTAAGTTCCTCTGTATTGAACAGTGGTTGAATTGTACATTTGTATCAGGAATTGCAGATAATGAAAAGAGTATCTATGTAATAAATCATCTTATCACAATTAAATGAACCATGACTTCTAAACACAGTTGGTTAAACCTTTTCTGTTATCTGGACAAATCCTCTTTTTATTTAATTAAAGAGATCTTCATTTTCAAAATGAAAGTCAGTTTTTGTGTCATAATGTCATCTTCTCCACTTTCATAAAGTCTTTATTGTTTATTGATATTGGCCATTTTATAGGTCTGACAGTTGAGGGTTAACACTTCAATCCTCCATAAAGACGTTGCGCTCTCCTTCATTATGTTCTTTTGTAAGAGACCAAGATGAGGAGGCACAGGTGGCACCAACACGCCCAGCAGTGATGCACACACACATGCATGCCTCTCAAAGCCACAGCAGCACGCACACACTCACTTGTTTTCCTGCAGCATCCTCATGCGCTGCAGCCGTCTGTGCACATTCTTTATTACGCCGTCTGTTTGTCCTCGTCACCCCTCTTCTCACTCCCCTCCTCGCCACCACCTGGCTTCTCAGTGTAGCTGGAGGAGGGGTGAAAGGTCAAAATATTTATAACGCCGTGCAGCGGCAGATGGGGCCGAGCAGAGGGGGGGCAGCAGTGTGTGTGTGTGTGTGTGTTTTATTGGTGTCAGCTTGTGATCTCTTGTGACACTGCAGACTGTCAGGGCCAAACCCAGATGTTTGAGGGCTGCCAGTCAGGGTGAAGGCAGAAGCTGAATCACTTGCTGGTTTGGTCTCTCTCATATTAGGTAGGTGTGAACGCAACTGGAGGCACTCAACATGAAATCCACAGAGAGACATTTTAGACAGTAAGAGTGGTAACATAAGAACACTGCAGGAACTGGAGATGTAGCAGTTTACGTGTATCTTTTCCATATGTCCTCATATTATAAATAAATGTCAAAAATGTGAGACTCCATGTGATGCATGGAAGTGGTAAGAAGTGGTGCTAGAAAAATTCTAAATAAAGAAGATATGTTTTTAATTGCTGTTTAAAAAATTCAACAGCGCTCTCCACTTGTTTCTATCGTAGGCAGCTCCACAAGTTGGGAGCATAGCTGAAAAAAGCTGCATCTCAGATTGTCTTTCTGGTGGGGTTTTGAGCAACTAAAAACCCAACAGTAGAGGATGTTGGTGCTCATGAAGGAACATAACTTTCTAAGCTGTTGAGAGCTTTGTACACAAGTAGAAGGACTGTAGAAGCTACAGGGAGCCAGCACAGTGTACCACAGACTGGAACCAGTATTGGAAACTGCCTGAAAGTTTGGAGAGAATCCTTGGTGATTGGATTATTTTTAGTCTCAATTGCATCCAACACCAGCTGCATCACATCATGTGATGTGGGAAGCACTCAGGAAAGGCTAGAGCAGACAAGCTACCGTAGTTAGGATGTGTCTATCTGAGGAATGAATGCAAGAAAATGAATACTTTGCTGCTGAGTAATATGACAGTTGTGTTAATACACTTCAACCTTCAAATTATTATTAGTTTATCCATTTTATGCCTTGGGGAGAAGAGGAGTAGAACACGGTGCAACAAAGGCCTCCAGCGGGGTCACTGTTGTGCATTTTAGGCACTTTTTATTCAGCTGCTGGTTTGAAATCAAGATGTCTACCAAAATAAGATGTCAAATAAATCTTATTACGGGGTTCACTCACTGGACATTTTCCAGAGCTTTCAGCCACAACTTGGATATCACTGACATGGTGCACATCCTCAAAACCTCTGTTGGAAAGGTCCTGGATAACGCTACAAATAAGTAGAATACAATACTCTTATAGGAATTTTCTTTTATATTCTCAACAATTGCTTTATCAGTACATAAAGTCAGGAGTCATATTTGCATTGGTTTTTCAAATCACGTCCTGACAGACTGTCTCACCCTCAGTTTGGCAGTACACATTATATAGCTATGATCAACATTTGAGGAGGTTTTTAAAAGTTAGAAAACTTTGAATAAAATGCCAGTCCAGGGAGGCTGTCTTTTGTTAGCAGTGCACTCATGCTGGCAAAAACCTACATAAAAGCTGTTCCAAATCAGAATCTGATCCCCCCCTGTGGGACACTGATCATAACCCATCACATCAGAGTCACGCACGACAGAAAAGGTCGACATTTGGACAGTTTCAGCTACTTGTGAACGTAACCTTTAAGCTTTGTTGAAGCAGTGTTTCTCAATGACCATCCCTGTGGATTAATCGCATCATGCTGTGATAAGTCTGCTCACACCTTACTCCCCCTCTCTTCCCCCCTCTGTACCTCAGGTAACCTCTGGCTTTAAGTCCAAGTCCATGGCAGCTGCGTTGCCTCCTCCCTTCCTGGATCCGCTCTTCTCCATCTCGCTGATGGAGGATAGTGAGCTGAGGCAGCTGGTGCTGGAGATCCTGCACAACATCATCGATCGCCATGACAACCGAGCCAAGCTACGCGGCATCAGGTACAAACCTAACATGTCAGATTATTTATAAACAGTTAAAACCATAAGGGATTAGAAACTCAAGTGCACTTTGTCGGTAGTACCAGTGGATTCGATAATTGGTTTCCCATTAAAAGATGATGTAATTCTGATTTTGTCTGTTTCAGAATCATTCCTAATGTTGCAGCATTGAAGATTAAAAGAGAGAAGATTTCCAAGCAAGATGTGGCATTCATGAAGAAGGTAGAAAATTGAAGCAGAGGTTGCTGTTCCAGTGCAACCCAGGTTGATCGAAACAGAAACTTCTCAGACTTCTACCTAAACACAACACTTTTCCACCGTCACCGTTTTTTGCCAAAATGTGTCAAATATGGTTCAATTCACAACTTCTGTCCGTCGCTCATGTGGTTAGCTGTTTGTAATTGTCACATAGTTAACCAAAAACACTAACTGCCCATCCAAAATATAAATCTTTTGAGCATGCCCATCGCTCTTACCCAGTAGACATAAACTGGCGTCACAAAGTTATGTAAATTGCTCCTTTAAAAATGCCGGGTTGATCAGGCTGAATTCATTCATGTCAAGCTTTTTTTTTTTTTTTTATAAAAAACAGTTACGTGCAGTAAGAGTCGGCTTGTAGAAAAAAAGTGAAATACGTTATCAAGCCTACCACTTAATAAGTTAAATGAACCAATACAAAAGATAAGGCACCAGAACTGAAGAAACACAAATGATCGGGTTAGTAAAATAAAATTTGCAGAAATGATTACTTGAGTAAGATGTGGTTGCATCTTCAAAGTTCACATTCAAGGAGGTTGCAGAGCTCATTGACCCTGACAGGAAAAGCCCGGTTCCCATCAGAAAATGACATTTCCAAAAAGGGCCCACAGTTTAGGTTGTTAGCCTGTTAATCACACCTGGGCTGTAACCTTTACCCACACGTCATACACCTGAAAGAACAACCACAGGCTGGAACTTGTCTCTGGATGTTACCTCCGCTCTCTTTACCAACATCACCAGTGCAGAGAGGTCCGAGGTCATTAATGATATTTAATTGTATTCATTAGTGGTGAATAGGAGTCACTGACCTTCACCTTCCTTTAGTTTCCACTCCGAGCATATAAATGCCGGAGCAAGGCTCAGACAGCACGTGTTTTATTTCTTTTCTAAAGATCATCTCAGCAGGAAGAGGTCTCTGACGCTCAGGGTTATTTTAGGCTGATTCAGAGATAATAGGATTCAGCTTTCAGTAGACGCCACTGTGGAATTTTCATTTGCATTTTCTAGCACAATAACATTTTCATTTATTTCATGGAGGGTGGAGCTGTTGTGGAGTGCCGTCATAACATATTCAGTATAGGCACAACTAACGATTATTTTTATCATTGATTAATCTGTTGATGTTTGGGTCTGAAAAATCTCAGAAAAGCAGTCAGTGAGAAGGCGCTTTTTAAAGATTTACACCTTCAGTAGGAACCAATAAAACATCAGACAGGAGGGGAGTCTGAAAGTACTTTGAGACGGACTAACACGCCGTGGGTTTGGATCTTTAAATGAGATCTGCTGACAGTAAGAAACAGCAGCATAAGACAGCTCATAAGTGCGCCTGGTGCCTGAACACCATAGGCCAGATATTCACTTCACAGATGTATCCCACATGGCCAAACGTCTTAGATATTAAGGTGAGGGGAGGAGCAAACCTGACGAGCTGGAACAGGTGTTCAAGAAAGCTGCCTCACAGTCTTGGGAAGCCCAAACATGCAGAAAAGGTGAACAGGGAATGGTACGGCAGTGGCCTCTGTCGGCAAGGTCTTTATTTTCTGGGTCATGGGAGTGGGTCATGTTCAAAGCCTCCTTTGCTTGAAGCTGTGGTATGGGAGGAGTCAACCAAAAGTCTCTCACCATGGTTCCCCAGAAAGGACCTGGCAAACAGTCAGGCACATCAGGAAGGGAAAACAGTCTCACAGTCTCTCTCTACAATAGTTTGCATGTCGACACTCAGCAGTGGGCATGAGCTCTGGTGGCTGACTAATTGAACGCAGATAGAAGCAGCCAAAATGTTGACTTGCCAGGTGTACACCTTTAAAAGACCATTTTTAGTAATATTTCCTCTGTTTTCTTTCTCTTCCTCTTCTTTTTTTCTCACTTTCCGTTTCTCTGTCCTCTACCGTAATGATTTTCTAACTTGATTTTCTGATTCTTGCCTCCTTCGTCTGCAGCATGGCCAGCAGCTTTACCGCCATATCTATCTGGGCTGTAAAGAAGAGGATAACGTCCATAAAAACTTTGAGTTGCTCTTTACTACCCTGGCCATTCTGACTATCGAGCTGGCCAACGAGGAAGTGGTCATCGACCTCATTCGGCTCGCCATTGCTCTTCAGGTAACCTTGGTTATTAATCTTAACAGGTCAGTCATATGATTTGTGGCATTTTATTATACATTTACAAAAAATTCTAATCTGGTTCATTACACTGAGCAAAAGTAATCAAATGCTTTTCTGTGTTTTGTTTATATATTATATAAGGTTGTACAAAGCTATGAGAGTTAAACCAAAACTGTTATCTGCAGTAATGATAAAATCATAAATGGAAAGTAAATTTGTGAATTCAGTACTTCAGTAAAAGCAGCAAAACCGCAATGCAAAAATACCTGATAACAGTAGAAAATGATTTCTTAAAATCATTGTGTCAGTGAGCTGTATCTGTTAACCCTTTTGGAGGTTTCAGATCACCTGACATCAGTCTTATTTATGTCATGTAGAATCTGTAGTCTGCAGACTCCAGCTATTTGAATAAATCTAGTGAAGTATAAAGTACAGTATTTCCCTCTGAAATGTTTTCGGGGAAAGTAGGGATTTGCAACAAAAATACTGAAGTAAAAGTAGCTGAATCTTAAAGTGAATAAAAGATTTCCACTACCTCACTGCTCTGGTTGTGAGGATTTAGTCTTGACTAAATGCTCTAATATCTGCAATAACAACCTCTTACTACATAAACATTCTTCATGGTGCTTTGAACCCAACTATCGTCGATGTGATGATGGTGTATTTATGGAGTCAGGTGTCATATTTGTTGATGAGTGATTGTGCTGTCATCATCATCAGCAGAGTCCTTAATGTCATTAGACTGGAGACCGCACGCAGGTCCAATAAAGCCTCCTACATGTGAGACGGAAGAGAGGTGTGAAGAAAACTCTATACACACACACACACACACACACACACACACACACACCAGCTGCATGTTTATGTATCACGATCTTAACGTTCCTGAAATGTCATAGCGTTGTGGGCAAAAGAAATACACACACATAATCGTAGTACAATGTGTACCTTCACTGGGAACAGGTCCTAATTCAGGACATTTTTAACCCTTTGGAGTCTTACAGAATGAGCTAGCTAAGGTCCAGAAAGAATGTTCTCAGATGTATGTGTATATGATTCCTCAGGAAGACCAGACCTCTGTACTTGATCATTTCACTGGTATCATGGGAGCTGATGAAACTTACAGGGTTTACAGAGTTTGATTGTGTTCTGTCAAGGTAACGACCCCAGGGTGACACAGGAACCCGGAGGGCTGACTAACCTTACCCCTAATGACGGTTATGATGGGAAATATAGTCATGTAATCTAATCTTCTGCTTTGATTAGTAATTAATCTGCAAATTATTTTTTGATTGTGTAATATATGAAGATGCTCATCAAAAAGTTGCCTCTTTAAATGTCTTGTTTTGTCAATTCAGCAGTCCAGAATTTTATAATATTCAATTTACAATGTGTATGTGTAATGTGTGTTTCAATTTGTAACAACGAAAAGCAGCAAATCCTCACATTAAAGCTACAACCTGAATAATTTTCCCGTTATTTAACGTGAAAGTCTAGTTGCTTATTATATTTCTGTCAATAGGCTAATCAATTAATGGACTTTAGTTTAAACACTGCTTTATTTAAATCATGAGTTTTCATTTTGGTGTTTTGGAGACTGGAAAATGTCTTGACTTTAAAGAAAATAATACAATTAAATGTACTTTGTTATTCTTGTCTCTTTTCACAAAATATTCTCTCATTCAAAATAAGGCTGCAAGTAGCTGCAAGTTATGTGGCCTTTCTCTCTACCATGGTGTGATGATGTTAACACAATCAAATTTTGTTGGGAGCTGCAAATGTGTCAACATGCAAATCCATTTTCTAAACGTACAGCGACAGGAAAAAGAAATAACAGAAGTAGTTTCAGCCAGGGGCTGAACAAAAACAGACTCCCATGCACAGTTTTCAGCTAGCTTACGGCTAACATCTGGACAGACATTGGCTGTTTGGGATGAACAGACCAGCGGTCAGATTCTGCTTCACCAGTGACAGAAAGTGCTTTCAGTAAATTCTTTGTTTCATGTCATCTGTCTCCAATCTCTCTCCACTGTGATCGGTGTCACAAAGAGAAACATGTAAATGACTTCTTCAAATTCTGCAAAACAGTGACTGCTTGTAAAGGAAGATTACTGACGTCTCTCAGTGGTCATTAAGAAATGTGACTGCACTGAATCTTTGAGATACTGATTTAAAACCTCCAAAGACAAACATTATAAGTAGTTAATGAGTAAAAATGCCCCTTCACAAACAATCCTAATCTTTATATTGATTTCTTCATGTTAATGTGTTTGCTAATGTGTGACTGGTGTGTGCAGGACATGGCTCTGGCTAATGAGGAGAACATGCCAGTGTTTACTCGTTGCGGCATCATGGCATTGGTGGCGGCATACCTTAACTTCCTGAGCCAGATGATCGCAAACCCTCCCTTCTGTCAGCACGTCAGCAAGGTGCATCATTCTGTCTTCACAGTCATGTTGCCAAATGTCATCTATTAGATTTGTGTCCAGTTTGAATGTTGAGGAAGCTTCATAATGCTTGAGCTCTTGGTGGATTTTAGAGACCATGTTGTAAACATTTCCTCTTGCTTTGCAGACTGAGAACTTTAAGTTTATTATTATGCTGATGACGCACTGTTATTATTGACTATTGATTATTATTTGTAGTTATTGTCATTTTTCTTTATTGAACACATTTGCGGTTTCTGCCGTTCTCTCTCCAGGTTATAGAGCTGAGGAACCTGGACGCTCCATACCTCCTCCCAGAGCACATCTTCAGAGACAAGTGTCCGTAAGTATCCACTTCTTATAAGTTTGGAGGTTTAGATTTATAAATCTATCCGAATCCAATCTAACAGTTTTTTAAAATGCATCATGCTATTTGGGCTGACTCTTGAACGTCAGTACTTTTTTTGGTACAAACAGAAGTATAAATGTAAATGTAAATGCTCTGTATTTGTATAGCGACTTTCTAGTCTTTGCGACTGCTCAAAGCATTTTTACACTACATCGTATTCACCATTCACACACATTCGGTTCAGTATCTTTCCCAAGGACACTTCGACATGTAGCCTGGAGGAGCCGGGGATTGAACAGCCTATTTTTCAATTAACGGGCAACCCACTCTAACTCCTGAGCCACAGCCATGAAATACTGAAAGTTCATTTATGTAAGGTATCAAAGACCCAGGACTCTGTATGGAAAATACACTTTCTCAGTTGACCAGCTCCAGTTTTTCTGAGTGATTGAAACTTCATTAGATCATATTCATTGTCATATATAATTGGCAGTTGCTTATCTGTGTTTTTGTTGCTTTTAAAAACCATGAAAAACCCCACTGACATGTTTGTTGTGGTTGCTCAAAGAACTCAGAAAGCCTCCGAGTCTTGTTTGTACGGAAGCGCTTTATTCCAAATGTTCACTAGTTGAGATCAGTCATGCTCATCCCACCATCATAGTCCGGATGTCTGCCTGTGAATACAAAAACATCTCTGATAGAAAGGACAGATCCATTTGTAAATGTATGCCAAGCCTGAGGTGAGATTTATTGGCAAAAATTAGCAAATTAAAATTAGCAAAACAACAACCTTAAACTCTTGTGAAAACATGACAGCTCAAAGCCAAATGCGAGATTAAAGTGTTGAGGATGTTCAGAACATTCTGCTAAACCCTTAAATCTCTCATTTGTGTTTTAACCATTATTTATCAAGATCTTTTTCTGCAGCATGCTGTTTAAAGAGGTGGTATTATGCTTTTTGGCTTTTTCCCTCTCCTTTATTGAGTTATATATCTTTTTTGTGCATGTAACAGGTTTGCAAAGTGAAAAAGTCCAAAGTCCAGCCCAAAGGGAGTTCCCATCTCCCACAGAAAGCTCTGCTCTGAACCGCTTGAAAACAGCTCGTTTGTAGTCCAGCCCTTCACTTCCTTTACTTGTGACGTCACTATGAAAATGCGTCATAAAGCTTGCCAAGCGGCTAGCGGGGTCATGCACGCCCTCAAACCAAGCTAGTCTGAGCGGAGGCCCTTTGGCTCGACTCGCCTTTGTTTGGTTTTTCATTGTAGAAATGTTGCACCTGTACCTGCTTCCAGGTATTTTTTTTTTGTATCACCTCACCTCAGTTGAGGTTCCAAGCGAGCTGAGGGATACTAAAATGTAACGTGACAGACTGCTGATTGGTCAGAGAGAATAAACACTATTCACTGCATCATCACTGCTGAACCAGACAGAGGCCAGCAACAGAAAGTTTTATATTTTACAGTTTTCGTATGGAATTTCATCACTAAATCCACTTCTGAGAAGTTTTGAGGTGAGAAATCAGCTGTGTAGATTTCCAATATTGACAGTTTTACGAGAAGTGATGGCGGAACAAAAATATGTATATATATGAATATTTTCGGAGTTGAGGAGCTCCGCAAAGTGGCTGCGGGGGGAAGCCTGCTGTGACCCGCGGGAGGAGCGTGTGAGGCCGGCCAGCCGCCCGCTCACAGAGCCCTCTGCTCCCGCTGTCACACAGACCACTGCAGCAACAACGGCAGAGGAAAACACAGCTGGAAGGTTTTCATACCGCTTATCTGTCTTTACATTCTGAGGAAGGTTGAAACGTTTTAATCTTAAAAAAGAGAAAGCTGTGTGGATCGCTGGTGTGTGTGTGTCGCATTGAACTTTACGTCAAGGCAGTTGTGTGTGGCGTCGCTATGACGACAAGCTACGTACTATCTCTGGGTACTATCTGCAGTGGAAAATGGAGCAGGGCCAAGTAGAGTCGAGTCTATTGATTTGCGCTGTAGTAGCATTTTTCAGCGAGGCAGCATGACGTTAGATCGTCAGAACACCGGTAACAGTTCAACGTTTAGTCCTGATGGTGAGATGTGGAACAATGATGTTGTGTGGTTGTAGACTTGTGAGTAACTTCTACCATCTGCTAGGTTATGGTCGCAGTCTGAAGCGGCTTTGATTTGGATCACACTACCTTGTTTCTTACGACCCGCCCTTCTCTGCTTCTGATTGGCTAGTAGTCCTAACCTGGAAACTGCACATGTGCAACTCCCAACAAAGATTTTGTGCAAGTAAGATGCATTACTCTGTAGCTCAAGAGTGGAGCGTACAACACACAGGGTGAAAAGAGGAGCTGCAGCAATGTGCAGTATGAGAAAAATATGGTGTTTTTTGAAAATTAAACCATGTAAACCTGTTCTGGTACAACCCCTAAATAAGATTTTGAACCTGAAAATGAACATAATACCACCTCTTTAAAATTTGCTGACTTTGCCACTCTGTAGTTTCTTAACAATAGTGTAAAACTTTTAGCCACTGAGCAGCTGCCCCTCAGAAATCACAGCTTTCTTGTTGTTGAGGAAGAGGAAGACACATGACTGGTTATCAGTAGTATCCATAATCCCTTGCAGTTTGGGACCATCTCCTCTACTGGTCACTACCAAATCATCCAAATACATTGTTGAAAATATGTGTGATTTTGTTAGAAGAGAAGGATCTTAGTTTTCATCCCTCTCCTCCTTCCTTCCAGACTTCCTGAATCTTTAGACAAGGAGGACAGACAACTTTACTTCCAGACAGCCGACATGGCAGAGTGTCTGGCAGGACCGGGATACAACGCAGAGAGACTCTCCATTCCCTACGTTCCCCAGGTCACAGGTACGACCAGCCGGGTTACACTCCACAAACTACATGGAGCCTCTTTTATGGGGCTTTGAGGCTGTTTGAGAAACATGTTCACATTTGAGCCTTTTATTGATGTACAGGAAGAAAATGTTTGTGGGGACTATTCTATGGGATACACTTTTACCGCAGGGAGTTTCAAAACATGTTTGATAATATCTGGGGAAATAAAATTTACCATCTGACATATGATGAGGTTGGTCATGCATATGTATCGATTAATTTCAAGAAAACAGCTGAAACAAGTTGAGCTGGTTTTACTTCATCGGCACATTTCTGTCTCTGTTAAACCCCTTAAACAAATCAGTCAGTTTATTGTGGTAACCCACATAACTAAGTTTTAAATGCCAGTGCAGATCCCAAAGTCTCCAAGCAGTAGTAGAGTCTTGAGTTTGAATATTTCAGTCATATCACATCACATATCTTTAATAAAGAGAATGTAGAGATTTAAGAGTAAAATCTGGAGTTTGTAAAAAAATATTGTTGTCCTTTGGTACACTGTGTTACATTTTAAATTCACAGTGCACCTCAGGACTGTTGGCACTCTTGGTGAAGATTTGAAGAATTACCGGCTTTGGGAGCTGTTTAGTGAAGAGAAAATAAACTTTAAAAACCAAACAGCTGTATTACACAGGTGGTTGTCAAACATCGTCATCCTCTCTGGTAATTTAAAAGGATATTTCACGTTAGAACAACATGAACCTCTGTATATTTTTTAAGAACTAAAATAGTTGCTTTTCCAGGAACGATTAATCCTCAAGACATATTTTCTTTAATTTTTTAAATCTTGCCTTGGAAGTTAACTTCAAAGATATTACTTTATTTTTTTCAAGGATCTACTTTGTCTTTGTTCAAATAAAGTGATTCTGTGAAAGAGTTATGATAAAATCTGCAGAGGAGGTAGTGACCACAGAACCCTTGAACTTAAGACATCAGTTTGGTGTAACCCGACCATGTACTTCTGTTTTCTTCCCTCTGCCATGCTTTCAACTAACATCAGTGCTTTACACAGTAGGAAAAATCCTCCACAGGTGCAAGCAGACGTCCAGAGGTAACCTGCTAGAGAAGAGCTGTAGGCGAGTCTGTTGTGGTGTTAGATACCTGCTGTCCCTGATCTTCTGCTGTGATAGTTGGGTTTAGTTTAGCTGGAAAGACTGCAGACATTTTACAGAGCAGCAACACAGGCTTGTTTTTTAATTAAAGCTTTGATAGTTATGGTTTTGGTTCATGCATCTCTGATGAACTTCAAGGTGTTTTTTATTTTTTATTTTTTTTAACCACTGGAAAGAAACCACCATGAAAGAGGCTATTTGAATGAAATAATCATAGAAGACTGTTCTGCCCTGCTAGCATTTCTGTGTTATCATTTTGGAGCTCCATCCATGGCCACCGGTGTATAAAATCAAGCAACTAGACATGCAGACTGCTTCTACAAACATTTGTGAAAGAATGGGTCGCTCTCAGAAACTCAACTGTGGTACCGTGATAAGTTGCCACCTGTGCAATAAGTGCATTCTAACATCACTACTAAATATTCCGCGGTCAACTGTTAGTGGTATTATAACAGTGAATATAACATAAAAGTGGAAGCAATGGGAACAACAGAAACTCCGCCATTGAAGTGGTCGGCCACATAAAATCACAGAGAGGGGTCAGCGCATGCTGAGGCACGCGGTGCGCAGAAGTCACCAGCTCGCCAGAGGGAGGGTGGGCAAGAGAGAAGGAGAGAGAGGGGAGGGAGGCAGCCTACATAATATCCACACAGAGGTACAAACAGTAAAGGTGATGTTGCTATAGACTGAATGAAAAATGGTACAGATATTTATAGTAGTGTTAATGATAATAATCGTAATGTTAAAGAGGTGGTATTCTGCTCATTTTCAGGTTCCAAATCCTATTTAGGGGTTGTACCAGAACAGGTGTACATGGTTTAATTTTCAAAAAACACCATATTTTTTGTCATACTGCACATTGCTGCAGCTCCTCTTTTCATGCTTTTTTTTTAGCTATGGAGTGATACATCTTGTCTCTAATGATCTTTGTTGGGAGTTGCACATGTGCATTTCCTAGTTAAGGACTACTAGCCAATCAGAAGCAGAGAAAGGCGGGTCAGCAAAAATACGGTAAATGGCTTCGATTCAGCTGTAGGCTACATGTTGCCGACCAGCTTGGCAACATGGACTGGAGCAAGAGTTTCAGAGTGGTGAGTTATTAATCCGTAACAAAAGTATCTTTCATCCATAAAGTTTTAACTGAGCTCTGTCTCTACATCACAGGAACAACTTTATGTCCACTGACTGCCTGGAGGGTAGCTAGTGTTTGGAAGGGAGAGGAGAGGTGTGCTGCAGCTCACTGTTTTTCCACCGCTGTTTTTGAGGGCGTGTCGGAATAGCCGTTCGGCGAGCATTATGACACGTAACAAGCTGTTTTCAGGCAGTTCAGAGCAGTGTTTTCTGTGGGAGATGGGAACTCCCTGTGGGCTGGACTTTTTCACTTTGCAAACCTATTACATGCACAAAAAAGAGAGATAACTCAATAAAGGAGAGGGAAAAGCCAAAAAGCATAATACCACCTCTTTAATGATTATAATAACAGTAGTAATAATAGTAATAACAATAATAGGACTAGTAACAAATAATTGTAGCAGAGGGTGTCGAGCAGGAACACGGGGGCAGCCGGTGACCCGCAACCACAGATGTCTGGATCTGTGGTTGCACAGCCCCAGGGCCAGAAACACCTGCAGGAAGTGATAGGAGGAGAGAGGAGAGGGACGAGAAAGCACAAGACTACCAGAAAGAGGAGAAGTTGTGTTAGTAACATGCAATAATGGGATGAGGTTGCATACAGAGGGAGAGAAAGTAGAGGAGAGAGGAGCTCAGTGCATCATGGGAAATCCCCCGGCAGTCTAGGCCTATAGCAGCATAACTAAGGGATGGTTCAGGACTCACCTGAGCCAGCCCTAACTATAAGCTTTATCAAAGAGGAAAGTCTTAAGCCTACTCTTAAATGTGGAGATGGTGTCTGCCTCCTGATGAGCGAGTTTGGTGTGGAGAACTTGACTGGCCTGCACAGTCCTGACCCCAATCCGATAGAATACCTTTGGGATGAATTAGAGCGGAGACTGCAATCCAGGCCTTCTTGTCCAACATCTGACTTCACAAATGCGCTTCTAGAAGAATAGTCAAAACTTCTCATGAACACACTCCTAAACCTTAACTCCTAAACTCCATATTAAACCCTACGGATTAAGAATGGGATGTCATTAATCTTCATGTGCATGAAAAGGCAGACGACCCAAAACCTTTGGCAATATAGTGTAGTTGTGATGTCACAAAATGATGCTTGGAGGTACATGTGTTAAAACTCAAGTTAAATTTTGTTGTCAAACTGAAGGTCAAACAACCAAGTGAAGTGAATGATGGTGAAACCCATTTTTAAGCTGAGGGGGACTTCATATGTGCTCTCTGTTTTCTGTGGTAGTGAGACAGCCAATTAAGTCGGAGACATCCTGATGGAAGTGATTTGACAGCAGAGATGATGTCACTGTAGCTGTAAGATGCCTTTTTTGTATGAGTGGTGTTGTGGTAATGACAGACATGCTAAATTGTGTCCTGTGTGACACTGGATGTATACCCACTGAGCTTTATATGCCTTTCCACTGAGCTGCACACAACCCCACCACATACAAACACTGGCAGGAAAACTGTCCCACATCCTTCAAAAATTGATGAATCCTGAAGTCGTTTTAGTATTTCCTGCTGTTTCCAGTGATAGCTGCTGTGTGTAGCTGTAGACTTCATACTGAATGGTTTAATCATTTTTACAACTGTTTTGCTTGCATTGCATCTGGAAATGTTATGGTGAGTACATGGAGATGGACTATGTAGACTGATATTGTAGTAGTTTGTGTTTGTTGTCTTGCTTGGTGCTGTTAATATGTTTTTAATTTGTGTTGAGCTCTAGTTTTTTCATTATTAATGAAAATGCCATTTGGTGCTGACCAGGAAGTGCACACTCGGTCAGCCTGAGCTTGTTTTTTGGAAACGGTGGCTACAGTTTTGTATGGGGGTTGATGAGAGCCTGAAAGACTCTAACATACAGTCCTTGTGTAGCCAGAGAACTGCAACGACTGCATAGAGCTGAGTCAGTGTTGATTCAGAACAGGCAACATTTCAAGTTAGGACCCTGTCATACCAGCATTTAGAACTGTGAAAGTTTACACCAAAATCAGTTTATTCCAATGGAATCACCATTGCACATGCAAATATATTTCTTTCTTGGGAGTTCTACTTTGGTGATCTTGCCAATTTGCGATGTTGTCTAATTGCAAAACATCTTGACTGTGCAGAGAGGGAGCAGAGAGAACCTGAGTCAAAAATTTAGGAAGTGAGAATATTAGCTGTCACATCAGGGTAAAAGCTGTTCCACCAAAGAGATGCCTCATGATTTATAGTCATTTCAAAGACAACAGTTGATGGTACAAATTAATTCTCTTGGATTAACTGGTTTAACGTTTTGTCTGTTTTAGCAACCAAGCTAGTTGTCATGCTAGTATTAATCCTGTTGCTGCTATCCCATTGCTGGAACCACATTTATAAAATCTTGCAATCGCTGAAAGAATGAGTTTGCTGCACAACATTGCTGGTCAAGTGCAGGTAATCTGTGAAGCATTAAAAATGAAGAAATGGCTTGCCACATACCAAAACTGGGAACAGATCTTTTTTTTTACTGATTCTTTTGATTGATTTGGTGTTTCTCAGCTTTCTAACCACTGTCACCTCATTTATGTGTTATTAATACTTTATCTGATGGAGGCTTTACAATATTAGCCTACAAGATTAACTCCTACTGTTATTAAGCTGAGATACTGCATAGTCAAGTCTTTAGTCAACCGTCATTATGGTGTCAGACTTGTTTTCCTTAAAATTTGTTACAGTTTACTCTCTTTCCTGAGCTTTTGGTCTCTGATCCTAAATGCAGGTTTCTTTATATCAGAGATCTTAAAATTAAAGATCATTCTGGTCTAGTTCTGTATTATAAATAAGGCCTAAAGCTGTTATATAAATGCAAAACACACAATTCTATGTCTCTGTGTCTCTCATCATTCATCAGTTTCCTCATGAATGCCTTCAGGGGCTGCTAAGTCATACCTGTTCAAAGTGCACAACAAAGGTCACTGTGACTCAAGCAAACAAAAATTATAACGTGCTGCTGCTTCTGTTTTCACACCTCATCTGATCCGTTACTGTGCTGACCCTTATCAGATGACCCTGACGTTCTGTTGTTCCTTGAGTTGAGAAAGGAGCTGTACTTCTGTGGCTTCTGTTTTTAGGTGTGCAGTGTGGCTGAATACCGAAGTGCTTGGTCAGGTGGTATTAAGACAGACCCTTTCTGGGGGACAAGTTACCTAAGAAGTTTTTTGCTCTGCAGGATCAGATGGATTTGTTCCTTGTTGTATTAAACTAGAAAATCAAAATAGAATATCAAGTCTGGCTGTGTGGAAAATGGAGTGCTGTGTTACACAGTAGAGAAGTTACTGCTGTGATCAAGTGGCCACTAAGAACAATTTAACAACGTCTCCTACCTACATGACAAAATGGGGGGGATGTCAGTGCCTTTAGAGCGAGAGTAGGCAACCAGAAGTGCTAGGTCCAGGTTAAAAACTGTTGGTAGGAGATGGGAGTGCTCTCTCGTGTCAGAGTTGGACACTTTCTAGCCAAATATGTTGGTTTACAGTGTCACACTAGAGTACTTATTCCTTTCCTTCTGAGAGAGGACACTCAATGTTCACATAAAAAGAGCAAAACATTGGATTTTTATGCATTTGAACAAACGTGCGATGCTGATGTTTTTCCGTTTAAGTCTAGAACAGCTGACTGCTGGAACAGTTTAGAGAGGAGTGGTTTTGTAGTCCTAAACATCTTATGTCTGGTGCACACTTTTTTTTTCAAATCTTAACATTTTCAAAGTGTGGGATACCATAGACACAACAACAATGAACTGATTTTTTATATTTTAATCTTAGAGAGCACACACCAGATGATTCAGTCCAGACACATGACCACACACAAACGTGACTTCAGACAGATACAAACATGGGGACACACTGTCATCAGCAGCTGGTTGAACTTGTGTGTACTATGTTTTGCACAGAAAAACAAAAAAGAGAATCAAAATGTGGATGAATTTGAGGCTAAGAAGAGGAATCGGCTGAGATGAGGGCATTACTACTAAAAAGGGTGATGCTTCCCGGTCAGCTTGCTCTCATTGGTGGTTGTAGGTTTGTGATCTGAGGCTCCCTGATTTCAAATCGGAAATATTAAACATGTTTGAGATTTATCAAGTCGATGACCTTAACATTATGTCTATAAACCCCTCACACTAATACCATTAGTTTGGGCCAATAATCTCTTTCCAACCAGCCTCAGATTGGGAATGCCTCCATGATTATCATGAGGGGCAAATCTGAACCAAAATCTACCCAGTTATCCAATTACATGTACTCATTTGGCAGACATTTCCACATCCAAAGGGACTTACATTTGAGGAACAACATACAAGCATCAACAACCAGCAATTCTACTAGTAAGAGCTATTAACGCATACTGCATCAGTGGGATCGATACCTAGGGGAAGCAGTAATAGTTAGTAACAAAAAGTGCAATCAAGACAAGTGAGGTGTAAGGAGATAGATGAAGAGGAACAAAGGAAGTGCATGTTAGGTGTTATAACTTCAGATTATGTTGCTGCTGTCTCTCGGTCATGCCGCTTTGCTCTATACATCATAAGAAAATCAGGTCCTACCTCACTCAGTATGCCACCCAGGTTTTGGTACAGGCCATGGTTACCTCTCACCTCAACTATTGCAATGCCCTCATAGTAGGTCTTCCAACTTATGTGGTAAAACCCCTACAAATGGTTCAGAACGCAGCAGCGCATTTTATTTTTGATCAGCCCAAAGGGACTCCTGTCACTCCATTGCTGTGTGACCTCCACTGGCTACTCATGGCCTCCCGTCGCTAATGCTGCATACAGAGGGAGTACTGGGTCTGCACCTATCTACCTAAACTCTATAATACAAGCATACGTTCCTCCTCGGCCACTGCGCTCCTCCAACAAACGCTGCCTGGCCCTGTCATCCAAACATACAAAGTAAAATCAATCCCGAATGTTGTCATCTGTGATACCGCGATGGTGGAACGAGCTACCACACGCCATCTGAGCGGGGTGTCCCTCTCTAACTTCAAGAAGTTCATGAAAACTCATCTCTTCCGAGAACACTTCCTCTTATAACACCTCTAACATGCAATTCCTGTGCTCTTCTTCTTCTATCTCCTTACAATTCTCTTGTATTGATTGCACTTTTTTGTTAACTCTTACTTCTTTCCCTAGGTACGTACCCCATTGATGCGATTCGTGCTATTAGCTCTTACTAGTATATATTGTCAGTTCTCATGCTAGATCTCGTGCTGTATTTGATGCTTTGTTGAGGCTTGTATGTGTCTTCCTCATATGTAAGTCGCTTTGGATAAATGCATCTGCCAAAACTAGAGCCTGACTGATATGGTATTTTTAAGACCGACGCCGATATATCGGCCGATTATTCTTTTTTTCCCTTCTTTGAGAAACGCATAACATAAACAAAGATTATCCCTTAGATATTGATAATATAACAAAATGCTGAACAAAAATACCACAAAATATATTAAAGTTTAAAAAAAATAAGAGTCAGAACTACAAAAGAGATTTAAAGATCCATTATAAACTATTGAGTACTACTACTAATAGACCAGATATTACTCATGCCATTACAGTTATTATATTACATTATAATGATAAACAGGGCTCTCCTACACAGGCAGTATATATTTTTTGTCATGCAATAGTTATTACCTTACACATAATCTGCCCCAATGACTATTTTCAAAGCAGCATGTTCACGTCTAGTTTCTCTTTACCAGCACGCTTTCATTCTATCCAAAGCTCCAAGAAGTTTTAAACAACCATCTATGATACAGTGACCCAGAGGAAACTCGCTGCTGAATGCATGTAATACTACATGACTGTCTACAACGAGGACCTGCAACTTTGAGATTTCACACTAAAGTTGAACATTTGAAAGAGGGTTTAATCATTTCTGACTGTAACTACAGACAAGCAGCTTACAGATATATTTAGAAGACATTAAACACTATAGTTTAACCACTCATTAACTTTAGCACTCTGCCACTGATTAACATGGCATTAGCTTTGTGGCTCCTCCAGGCTGCATGTCGAAGTATCCTTGGTACTGAACTGGTGGCTGTTCCCCCAGTGTATGAATGTTAGTTTCTGTTTGAGCACTTAGGCTCAGTGAATGAATGTAGCGTAAAAGCGCTTTGAGTGGTCAAAGACTAGAAATGCGCTATACAAATACGGAGCATTTACATTTAACATTAAACATGATGCTGCTGTGACCTGGGAGGAAACCAGCAGAGGACGATGAAAAACGGGAGGGTTAAAAAAGATGGTCATGAATGTTTTAAGAACAGGAGAAGTGATGAGGGCCATTTATATTATTATTAAGTCATGTTTTTCAAGTGACAAATGACTATCTGATCACATGCTCTCTCCTCTCTTATTTCTGCATGCTCCGTAGACTCCAGTCAGCTGATTGTTTTGTTGTGCAGCAGGGTTAATAGGAGCATTTGATTTCATGCGACGCTGCGCACCGCTGACTTAACGTGATGCATGCTGGACTTAAAATAAGGCATGCTGGTTAGAAATTGTGTCCGACTTTTGCTGGCGCTGCAAAATATCATCATGTCACATGACATTAAAACCAGTCACCGATTATCAAGTAACGCACCTATTAACAGGAGAGTTGCAGTGCACCCTCTGTTGAGCAAACTATGCAACACTCATGACACAAGTGAAGGATGTGATTCTCTGTTTCTTTATTAAATTGACTGTTATAAACGCAGATACCGATTACTCTGCAATTAGCTCATATCGGCCGATGATATCTGCAGCAGTCAGTAATGTTTTCATTGTTGATTTATGTAGTGAGCACACTGGGGGCGGCTGTGGCTCAGGAGGTAGAGCAGGTTGGCCTTTAGTCAGCGGTTCAGTCCCGGCTCCCCCAGGCTGCATGTCGAAGTGTCCTTGGGCAAGATACTGAACCCCGAATTACCCCTGGCGGCTGTTCCGATAGTCTATGAATGTGTCTGAATGTTAGTTTCTGTTTGAGCACTTAGGCTCAGTGTATAAATGTGAGTGAATGATGAATGCGGATGTAGTGTAAAAGCGCTTTGAGTGGTCGAAAAGACTAGAAAGGCGCTATACAAATACGGAGCATTTACATTTACACACTGCTGCTTGGCAATTGGTAACAAAAATCAACTCCCCAGTGAATAATTTGGTCTTAACTGCTTTTCAGAAGCTTGCTTAGGAACAAGAAAGAAACTGACAAGATAATTACTTTTCATGGGCTTCAACATGTATTTTTTAATATCACATCAGTGTGTTGTGATATGGAAAACACAACTGCATTTGAAAGCACCATTAAACTCAAAGATTGACCTGGCAGTGCCACCTTAGTGTTGAGATGGTAATAGTCTGACTTTACATTATGCTACGTAGAAACATGCTCTTTAAGTTGCCTGTTGTTGTTTTACCCAGTATATATCAGGATTTAAAGGTGATGTAGATCCCTGGTTGAACTGTCTCTCCTCCTGCAGGTGAAGATCGTCTGACCAGGAGGAAGAGTTTTGTGGACACAATCTCCCTTCAAGTGGACATCATGTCCAACAGTCTTCCAGACAAGGTCAGTGTAGTTTTCCCTGAGAGGGACGACGTCACAGCTCCGATTCAGAAACACACCACACACTGAGATACTCCTGGGCAGGGAGGGGTGGGTAAATACAAAGGTGAGAAGACTTCAGAACCCCAATATAGAGATGTTAGAGGTAGTATACTGTATGCACCAACACTTTTAAGTTTTATAACTGAAAAGGGGAACATTGAGAGCGACAGTAACCATACTATAGCCTTCCCTGTTTAACCAAACTAACCCATGTATTTATAGAACCAGTTAGAACAGATTTATACAAAGGTTGTAAAAGCACAACATTGTTCCTGTACAGAGCTGTATCAGGGATTATATTGTCCATGCTAACATGCTTTGTCAGAGGATATACTCATTTGTTCACAGCTCATCGTCATAGATCGATCAGCAGACTGACATCTTGTTTTGGGGAAGATCTTTGTTTGATCCCTGTATGTTTTTATTTCTCTGCAGTCCCAGCTGGCTGAGGAGATCACGTTTGAGACCCTGAAGAAGGCCATCGGTGAGCTCAAAGGGGAGGTTTTCACCTCACCTTTCTGTGTGTCTATATTTATAAATATCTAAATATATTTGGCTTTTTTTTGTCGAGTTCCATCGTCCTTTAGGCCACTACTTCTCTGACAAGCAGCCAACATGTTGACAGTAATGTCCAATGAATTATAAAGATTTACTGACTGTCATAGCATGACTTTTTAAATTTCATTTACAGCCCACGTGGCTAACATTAGCATCAGATTTTTTAACATTTCCAAATATATCTTTTTTATTCTGCTCATAAGAAAAACCTTAACTTTGTGTTGACATGAACAATACACTTAACTGGCCACTTTATTAGGAACACCTTGATAGTACCAGGTTGGACCCCCTTTTGCATTCAGAACTGCTGCCACAAGGTGTTGGAAACATTCCTCAGAGACTTTGGTCCATATTGACATGATAGCATCACGCAGTTGCTGCTGACTTGTTGGCTGCACATCCATGATGTGAATCTCCCGTTCCACCACATCCCAAAGGTGCTCTAATGGATTGAGATCTGGTGACTGTGGAGGCCTCTGGAGTACAGTGAACTGAAATGTTCAAGAAACCAGTTTGAGATGATTTGAGCTTCGTGACATGGTGCATTATCCTGCTGGAAGTAGCCATCAGAAGATGGTACACTGTGGTCATAAACATGGTCAGCAACGATACTTGTTTACACCAAATTCTGACCCTACCATCTGAATATCGCAGCTGAAATCGAGACTCATCAGACCAGGCAACATTTTTCCAATTTTCTATTGTCCAGCTTGGGTGAACATGTGTGAATTATAGCCTCAGTTTCCTGTTCTTAGCTGACAGGAGTGGCCCCTGTTGTGGTCTTCTGCTGCTGTAGCCCATCTGCTTCGAAACACTCTGCCCATTCTCCTCTGACCTCTGACTTCAACAAGGCTTTTTCGTCCACACAACTGCCGCTCTCTGGATATTTTCTGTTTTTCAGAGCATTCTCTGTAAACCCTAGAGATGGTTGTGCGTGAAAATCCCAGTAGATCAGCAGTTTCTGAAAGACTCAGACCAGCCCGTCTGGTCAGCAGTTGTCTTGACCACGTCTATGGGCCTAACTGCATTGAGCTTCTGCCTTGTGATTGGCTGATTAGCTATTTGTTTTAAAAAGCAATTGAACAGGTGTATCTAATAAAGTGGCCGGTGAGTGTTTAAGCAAGCAATACTTAATTCTTCTGTCTCTCAAAACTTTGCTGAGTATAAGCTCAGTATGTCTTAGTGCCAGTGCTGTTGTTGTCGTCAGTTAGTGTAAAGTCTTTGGGATTTAAGCTAAGCTCAATGTAGTGAGGAAAAGGTGGAATTTACCTTTTTAATTTTTTTTTTTTTACCTCTGCCTGTTTCCAGACACCACCGGTCTGGAGGAGCAGGAGAGGGAGAAGAGGCGTCAGGTGATGGAGAAGTTTCAGAAAGCTCCTTTTGAAGAGATTGCTGCCCACTGCGAGTCCAAGGTAAAAACCCGAGTGAAACTGTTAAAACAAAGAGTGTTCAGGAATTAACTGTCTAAATTATTACTAAAATGACTATTATTGTTTGTTAATTAAACCCTTTGTCTTCTCTAGGCGAACATGTTGCACGACAGGCTGGCACAAATCTTCGAACTTACAATTAGGTAAGTCATCTTTTTAATCTTAACTTCTTAAATCTTAATGTTTAATTTCAATTAGTTTGGCTTGAGTTGTCTCATCTATTTAATTTTTTTCTTTGTTATATTGTATTTGTTCAGTTAGCTTTTCTTTTTTCATGTCTAACTACATCCATATAGGCTACTTCCCACAATGATCCCATTATGATATTATACTGATAAAGTCAACATCGTTAAAGTCTTGTTAGCATTGCTACCATGTTACATGCTAAACATTAGCATCTTAAAAGGGAAAGGCTGTCAAAGGATAATGCTGTTATTGTTATTACTTTTTTCCCTGAGGAAACTAAAACCAAAAACAAATGTGTCCTTCTTGCTGTACAAGGACTGTTCTGTGTTAGCAGAACTGTGCTGGTTTGATGAGATGAATAAACAACACAAGTCGTGTTTAGACTGAGGGAAGTTGAGCCAAGTCAGCAGTTTAAAGCTGAGGCTGACATGCTTCATCTGTCCTAAAATAAGCACCTTAAGAAAACTCTTTTCATTTAGGTAATAAACTGAACAACATCAATTTAAAACATTTTGCACATTAGTAGTGAAGATCTAGACTAGAAAAGTCGTCATGCGTCAGTTTAATTTTCCTCGATGATGAAATCCTGTCATCTTCCTTCCCAGGCCTCCACCCAGCCCGTCCGGAGTGGTTTCCATCTCAGCAGGACACACCCAGCACCAGTCTGTCCCTGTCTATGAGATGAAGTTTCCAGACCTGTGCGTCTACTGATCACAACACACACACACACACACACACACACACACACACACACACACCCCTCCACAAAGATATCTCATCAAAATTCAAAATGCTGAGAAATAACTAGACTAGTCATAATCTGCACTCCAATTTCCTCTATCCTGACCAGCACAAAGGTGACAGGGATACTGTCAGAAATACAAATTGCAGCAACAAAAGTTTTGGTATAAACAGGAGTTGCCTATCCAAAAAAATGAACCTCCTTAATCTCTATTACAAACCGACACACCGGCCACAGAGTTTCTTATTTCCACTTAGTTTGAGAGCCTCAAAAGCGCTTCTGAATCCAAAAATGCCTTCATTATCAATTTGAAAACTTCTGTATTTTTAAAATACTCTGATCCTTAATTAAGCAGAAAGCAGACCAGTTTGTATCCCTCTAGCTCTAAATGAATTGATGTGCTGCACTTTGTTTCCTGACTCACATCCCTGAAATTCAACAAAACTTATGAGTCACCAAGAACAAAACATGAACAACACTCACTCTAACATTTCAGTGTATAGATGCTGAAGCTGATGTTGCTTCCCAGCATGACTCATCCAGTCTATCATCTGTGGTCTAACCAAAGCTTCACACATTGTACATAAGCTGTAGTCTAAAATGAAACTCTTGTAGGAATGGCTAAAACCAGTTTCACATTTACATTTGAGGCTGGTCTTAGCTGTACTGCTCCTTCTTCAGAGCCAGCTTCTGCCTCTTAACAAGTATCTGTTCTCATGTTGATCAGTAGGCGTCAGTGCAGTCACAAATTAGTAGAAATGTATATTATATTAGCTGCTAGAAAAACTGAAATAACTTCACTGGTGGTAGAAGGCAGGCGAGTTTTAGGCTCCCTGCTGCACGGCTGTTACAACCTGTTCAGTCTGCTCAGTGTTTGCTATTTTTAGGTAAATATGCATCAGAAATGACTTCAACAACCAGCCAAGGTTCATGTTGGGAAATGAAATGAAAGCAATACTTCCATTTAACGTATCTGGTCATGAACTGCTTGGCAACAAAAGAAAGCCAAAGAGTTTAGTTTTCAACACTGTTCAGTGGAAATGGCTCGCTCATGGTTGGTGTGTTTCTGTGCTCCATTTATTTCAAAATGCTGCAATTTGCCCTTTGTGCTGACATTGTCTTGACATAATGTAAACGTGCCTGGATAGACCCATTTTTAACAGAAGTCTTGATTATCAGCCAACAGGGTGTTAATGTTTGTTGATTTGTTATGAAACCTTTTGAATTAAGATCTTACAACACAATGCTGATAAAATGTGACTGATTGTTTAGCTGTCTTTAGAGCCAGCGCGTTGTAAATACAGAAAAAGCACAAAACTTTAACTGCAACATACTGAAAGATTTGAACTGCATTGAGGGACAGTTCTTTTTAATTGGAATAAATTCATGCACATATTACATTCATACATCTGCAACCTTTCTGTACCTTTATATAACATATTACAGCACTTATTTTACTGTGTTCATGTTAGTGAATTTCTTATTATGGGAAGAAATATAGCAGTTTAAGAATTCATTTTCAAAAACCTCAAGCTGTTTCAATGACAGTTGTCGCAATTTTCCATGAATATACAGCTAGCTTGCTGGCTACAATACTTAACCCTGCCTAATAAGCTCTGATTGGTTGATTATTTCTACAAATAGCAGTAACCATTCCTTTCTGAATTGCTGAAGAATCAGAGATGTGTGCAGCGAGGTCTAAAACCAGGGTATTCTGGCATTGGCCAGATTAAGTCCATATATGCCCCCTAGTGAATATACTTTAAATCACCCAAGCACACATCAACACAGACAAGCATGTAGACGTGCCGCGTGTCAATGCATGCACGTTGTTAAAAGCGTGTGTATAAGCGCTGTAAGTTTGTGACATTGAATGTACGTGTGACTGCTCCAGAACTCTACCAGCAGCATCAACTGTAAAAACTCATATCCTTGTGGATTAAGAGTTTTCCGGCACGATGGCTTTGTTCTGTACTCTCTGTGCACAGTTGGCACGTTGATGATATCTCCAGTCCAACCAGCAGCTTTTAACTCCTCACAGCTTTTTTCACAGCTTCTAAAAACCAAAACATGTTTTGCTGCCAAAGACAGCAGTCCCCCCAGCCTCCCACACCCTTCCCCCATTTTCTGAATTCAGGATGTCTTAATCTAAAAACACTGGATGCTTTCCGTGACGACGTCCTGCAAGCAACCATATGGGCAGTTTCATCCCTAAATAAGAGAGCAGCAGCTGACTCCTCATGAAAGGTAACCTCCCCTCTGAAGGTTTTAATACCACCTTCAGATACAAAGCGGTGACATTTCAGAGGATTTAATCATCTGTCCTTGTTACCACAAGGCCACTTTCTGGTTCCAAAAGGGGTACGGGAGGCGTTTTTGGATTGAGATCCTTCATATCAGGTGGAGCTGCAGCTGTGATCTGTAACAACAGATGGTTATCAGTATTTCCTCTGATCTAAGAGCAGTGTAGGAAGAAAACTCCCTCCAGCTGAAGGCAGGTACCTGCTGCCATCATTTGGTCTGAGCAGCTGTGCAGAGCACATCTCTGCTGCTGCTGATTGATTCAGGGTTGAAGTTTAGTGTTTCCTTTCACTCAGAGATGACTGGTTTCTTTGTAGGTATATAGTGTATGTATGATGAACGATGGACAAACAAGATGGAAAACTGAATGAAAGATGAACGAGAAAGAAATAGTTGAGGTGTTTGTGTTCTGCTGAGCAGGACGTGGAAGCCGTTTTATATGTGGCCGGGAAAGTTTCAGATGGTTTTGTATGTTAAAAGTTGTTGAGTGCAGGTTGTGTTCCCAAATGACAAAGCTTGGCTAAACATCGTTTGAAATCACCAACATGAGCCTGATACATTTGAACCTTGGCTGGTCTTCTTCAGAATCCAGCTATACAGCAGCTTCTGACTCATTTCCACCTGGTATTGACACGCTGTCTATATCTGTGTACCTTATCTGGATCAGTAAAAATCACATCTGGAGATGGTCTGATCAGATCTCAGCCAGGGGTAAACAACATCTGTTTAAGGGAAATAAGCAGAGCCCACATAGCAGCATCGCTTCTGGAGACTCCAATGGACTGAAACAACGCGCAATTCAAGGGTCATGTGATCAGTGGTAGCATTAGTGTCAGCAAGCTTCTCCATCGACTCTGCTTACCTTCTTATAGTATAAGTAATGTTAGCGTAGTTAGCTAAGCCACCCAAAACTGAGACTAAACAATGTTGCCTCAAGATTAATTTAGTAGGTCCCAGAGGCTCAGACAGGAGCAGACACACGCACCTTAGTCTCAAGGCTTAACAATGCACGCAAGAAACACCCACAGAACCTCTCAGACACCTGTGCACTTCCTCCTACGGCCATCCTGGAGAAGCTTGTTGCAGTTCATCTCAACTCGACTGTGGTCCGTTTAGTATCGAAAAATGTGCCAAAAGTATCCTACAAAAACCTTCGGTTGTCTGTATGTCACATGACCCTCGCCCTAGCGACGTCCTAGCCTACACTGAAGACCATTCCACAACGCTTCACTTCACCTGAGGCACACCATGCTTCATGTGAATATTGAGTTGGGATTATAGTGTGCGTGTAAATGCAAAGGCCCATGATCGAACATTGTTATCCAGTTACAGATGGCAGCTTAATACCAGGTGTAAATGTCTTCTTCTGCATGTGATTTAACATACTGCAAATGGCTGCTGATGTTTAGAATAAAGCAGCCAATGATAGTATGTGGATACTCGTAGAGTTTGTACTCCATCATTAAAGGGTTGATGTCCTGGATTGACAAAATTATGAGCAGAGTTGCCTCAATAAAATAAAAACTCCCTTTGATATTTTCCTCTGTATAAAAAAATATCCTTCACTTAACATTGCACTGATGCATTAACTCTTGTGCATATCTGTACTGTGTAACGTCTTAGCTTTAAATGCAAACTTATGATTTAATATCATAGATAAAGAAATGCATTATATGAACTAACTGCATGATCTCTTAATAACATTGTCGACCCCTGAGGGGGCGCTGGGAATATATGCTGAAACAAAAAGCCTGAACAATTCATTTCATCAACTGAATCTCAAAATCAGATTATTCCTCAAACAGATGAAAAATGAACCAGCACAGTGGAAACGTCACTGATTTTAGTTTGGGGAAGATTTTGACAGTAGATGAATTGTTTGCTTAGATGCAGCTGGAATACACAATCACTTCCTCTACGAATGTGTCATAGCAGTATATCATATATTTTTGTACATTTTATGCATCATGTATTGTTAAACTGTTGCCTGGTAGAGATTTAGAGATTTGGGAGATTTATTGTTGTCCATCACATTTATCAAGATGAAGACAAATGCTGATTTATTTTTAGATTTCTGTTTACTATGAAGTCAACGGTTCAGGGTTTCAATGGGATTGTGCAGTTCTTATCGGTGCAGGAGAAATGTCATGTATGAAAATGTTACTTGATTTCTTGTTGTAGAATCCATTATTTCTTTTTTTTTTAATAATTAAAATGAATGAATATTATATCTGTAGCCAGATGATATTAGTTATTTTTGCATACCACAGGGAAGTAGAGTAAATCGGTGCAATCTGCTAATTTTAGCATCTAGATTTTCAATTTTTTCCCAGCAAGAAGTTGCAGCTCAGACTCTAGGTTATTTGCAAAACATCTTGCGTCATCTGATAAAAGGATAACCCCCCCCCTCCCCATCACCACGATCAGCAGTGACACAGCTGATTTAAGCAAAAGATAATTTAAAATGTAGCGTTAGTCTTTCTCAGATTCAAAAGTCAATCGTGAACACAGACATGAGACATGAGTCTTTATAGATTTAGTGTGTTTAGTAGGGGTGTGGCAAGATCTCGCTAGATTAAATTGTGATGAGAATTCTCGTCAGGTAAAAAGGTGTCTTGTAAGACTCACTCAAATTAATTTTTCACACGCTGTCAAGCCACACATTAATTTTGTCATGCTGTGAAATAATGTATAACTAATAAGACTCGGAGCGAATCGACTCTGCCCAGCTGATTGACACCGGCGTACACTGGGATAGTAATCAGCTGAACCTGCTTGTGCTCTGAGTCCAAACCTTTTTATATACAGTCAAGACAGCTGTGACGACATAGCTGGTAGAGTTTTGCAAGATAAACATCTAAAAGCTGAAGCGCAGCCGGCTCTGTTTGGGACTGTGAGCTGCACTGGAAGTTAACGTGTGTGGGTCTGGGGTGAGATTTCTGCCTGACCACAAGTGTTTCATTTACTTTCGGTTTCACATGCAACATGCAGTCCCAAACTGCGTCGGTCAAACGGTCTGAAGAGGGTAGCATTACTACCAGTACACAGAATGACTGAGAGCTGCACTGCCTTAGATTCTGTTATAGTTAGGCTATAGATTTTGAATCGTCACCTGCACCTGAATTTTGTCTTTCTCTTTATATACATAAATTAAAAAATCACCATAAACTGGTGCATAAAAATTCATCAGAATGCAGGAAATAAAGTATTCAGTGCTCAAAATTTTCATATAATTCAGCATTAAAGATTTCTTAATTTCTTAGTGTTAAAATCTCGTCTCGATCTCGTGAACCCAATCTCAAATCTCGTGTTGTCTTGTGGGTTAAGTGTCTCGTCAGATCTCTGCTGTTTAGTGATCATTTATCTCTGATGTCCACAGAGAATTAAGATCCAGAAAACTTACGAATCAAAGAAAAAGATTTTCCTTATAACTCTAGATCAGGTTTTTTACAGTATCAAACTTATCCAGTGAAGTTCAAGCTCAAGTTGTAGCCCACCGCTAACTCACTGAATCCATGGCCTCCAGGCATTATGGGAAATGTAGTTGTAAAACTTTGCAGGACAGTGAAAAGTTTGTAATATTAAACATGAGGTTTTGCTCAGAAAGATTTTACATAACGGGAAACGACATGATCCGTTAGATTGACAGCAATGTTTATTTTCACAACTTCACCCATTCAGAACACAATCAGATGCGCCATGCCTGGGATCTAGTTAGTGCGTACATTCTGCCCTGAGCTGTAACTTCTTTTCACTGGTCAATATGTGACTGATAACTAATGTTTAAATGAGAGTGAATGATCTCAGAACAGTCTAACGCTGATAATACACAGGGCAACTTTTTGAGCAATGTTGCTGGGAAATCTTGTTGGTGGCAAGTCAGGCTATGTTTTGACAGCAACATTGCTTTAAAAGTTACTTTGTGTATCATCAGATTAAAGCTTAGCTGGATGCAGAAATCAATCAGTCTGTAAATGAGTCAACTCTGCTAATTTTCATAAATCAACCGTATATTTAAAGGATTTAGCTGCATCCATCGTTTGAATAGTGGCACAAGGTGTATTACTGCATATTAAAATACAATGCTGAGCAGTTAGTAACTGTCACAATAAAATATGACATTGTGTTTGCACTTTGGTCACAGTGTACCTGGTACTATAGCAAAAATGAATCTGCACAGATAAGTGTTCGGTATAAGTTGATCATTAGAGGTAATTTTTTATTCCCCAATGTTCAGTTTGTGAAATGTTATATTCAAGAATAACTATGTGTGAAACTGTAAAAAGCGTCCCTCTTGACTGGTGATTGATGTCTGAATCAAGTCTTAAGTACTGTGTAATCAAGACAAGAGAAGAACTCATAGATGGGGTGAAATCATTTCACTACTGACTGCCTTACTTCAGAATGCTGGACACAGAAATTGCTTTAAAAAATGTTAACGTGACAAACTTTTCTTCACTTTTCAAGACGGACTTTTTTTCCAGTTTACCTGCTGAATTCTGCAGAAAAATGAAAAGAACAATAAAGAAAAAAAACAAGCTTCTGATGATGTTTTCATAAGTTTGTGATGCAACAGTTTGTATTTTGGTGGCAGTTTTAGAGGTAACGGGTGTCACGTCTGTGTTCAGCCTCTTTGTTCCAAACTGCTAAAGCTTGGCTTTGTTTCAAACACACTGCTCTGAGACAGCGCTGAGGTTCTGTCCCCACTGTTCAGGAAATGGGTTTGAGACTTCAGATCTGAATGGATCCACATGTGCACAAGTCCTTCATTTATCATTTTCTACAGTTTACTTACAAATTACTTGACCATCAATAAAATGTTTAATCATAAACAAAATCTGTTCAATAGCTAAGAGATAGTCTCACTAATTTGTAGCTTGACTATTGTCTGAATGACGCCACATAATCTCAGAAGCCTAAAACTGTTCTTTTGCTCCATTCTCTGATGAAGACTGTGTTTTTGAAAGCTTTTGAGGATTCAGTCTCTTGTTTTTGCGATAAATCAATAAATTTTTTTAGTCAAAATGTATGAAAGTGATGATGTTCGATCAATGATATAAAACGGAGACCAAAGCAAATCCTCACATCTGAGAAGGTGCAAACAGAAAATATTTATATATATTCCAGAGATTATCAAATTAATTGACAAATTCCTTCAATACTAATGTGTTCCCAAAATCCTTCAGTTCACTTATTAGGAATTCAAATGTTTTCACCTGGCACCAGCGACAGAATTTATGGAACCAACAAATGTGTCTATCAAATGCAGTTAAAGGATTTCCTTCAACCACAGTGGCAGCAGAGCCTCAGCGCTTTATTACAAAGTCTCTATCTGATAGTATATTGTGTGTTGAGATTAATGTTCAAGACTAAAATAAAATGTTTCTATCAACACTGGTGACTTTTGATGTCTTTATTACTGTCACTTCTCTTTGGAAGGAAGATGCAACAGACGCACGTTTGCTTTTATTCATATGTTTTTAATAAGTTCACTTCTTCCCTTGATGTGCTCTAAAGAGTTGCTGCACTTCACAAATCTGTGAAGAAAACCTGAAAATCAAAGTTAACATTTGATTTCTGATTTGTGATCATTTCTAGAAATTACAACTTCTGTTACTGGGAACAAAATGATCTGACCATAATCTTATCAGTGATCCCCAAAATGACTTCTTCACATCCCAAAGCTGCCTTTGAAAAGCTTTTCATTCGCTTCTAGTTTCCTTTCTCCTCCTCCTCTTCCTCCTCTTCTCCACCCTCCTCCTCTTCACCTCTCACCCCGGGCCCTCCCGGTCTCTCTGCTGGTCTCTCTGCTGGTCTCCCTGCTGGTCTCCCTGCTGGTCTCCCTGCTGGTCTCTCTGCTGGTCTCTCTGCTGGTCTCCCTGCTGGTCTCCCTGCTGGTCTTTGCCCTGCACTCGGTCTAGCGTTGTGGGTTTGAATCCCGCTGTGTGTGGTTGACTCTCTGCTCTCCTCACTGGAGGGGGGCGGTGGAGGAGGAGGATGAGGAGGATGAGGAGGATGAGGATCAGGTCTCGTGGAGCTCTCGGACGGTCCAGCAGGAGGATTTGACTTCTCGTCGTCTGTCAGGTCGGAGCTTTCATCACTGCAGACAGACGGTATTTTGTTGTTGAACTGAACATGAATCAATTCTGGCAAAATTATATTAAATTGTAATTTATATTTTATGTTGTAAATCATGTTTTAGACATTCAACAGAGGCTTTTATTAAGCGGCCAGTACTCTAAACCAGCACTCATCATGCATAAAACCTATTTCTATTATTTCGTACTAATTTGTTGTAATAATTTTAATTTGTCTGCACAGATGATGATGAAATGAATCCCTGATACGTGCTCCTTACAGACAACAGAGAAATTGGCCTTTTCCTCGACACTTGTGCTACCTATCACTAGAAGGAAGGGTACTGAGAAATAAGTACTGATACTGAGTATATATTACTCTTATCTGGCCCAATCAAGGTGAAACCCAACTATTTTAATTGTTAATTACTCACAGCATCCATAATTAGAATACCAGAAATGAACAAAGATATGAAAATGATTTACTGTGTTCTAAACATCTTCATCATTCAGCCAAACTGTGGCTGAAGACACAGCTTCTGGTGGAGGACGCTGTGTGTTCAGCTGGGTTTTGGCAAAATGACGAGTCACGTTTCTATAGATGTTTTACATACATGCTTTTTTTACTCTGAAGAACGAATGTCATGATTTTAATCAGACCATGATTCTCAACCTCAAAGTTAATATGAAATTCAAATTTTCAGACTTTTGCTTCAATGCCTCCAAAGTTACACAAATGAAGCAATCTGAGAAGGAACTGTCACTCTGTCACAGAATGCATCTCTCTCTCTCCCGCCCTCCTTCCTTCCTTCCTTCACCCCAACCGGTCGAGGCAGATGGCCGCCCACCCTGAGCCATGGTTCTGCTCGAGGTTTCTGCCTCTTAAAAGGAAGTTTTTCCTTGCCTCTGTCGCCTAGTGCTGCTCTTGGAGGGAACTGTTGGGCTTCTGTAAATAACATCACAGAGTACGGTCTAGACCTGCTCTTTTATGAAAAGCGCTCTGAGATAACTGTTGTTGTGATTTGGCGCTATATAAATAAAATTTAATTGAATTCCCCCAAATTAAGCCTGAATTATTTGGTATATTTGGAAGTCCTGTGGGTTTAAACAAAGCCTGACCACACAGCATGCAAATACAATGCTGATATTTTTATAATAGAGTTAAAGGTATAATGTGTAACTTTTCTGCATTAAAATTTCTGAAAACAATTAGGCCTATGTTATACATTTTCTTGAGTTTTGTACTTACATTATTCCATCTGTTTCAAAAAACAATTAAGCCAGAAGAATCCGTCAGTTTAATCAAGTTAACGGTGTGTTTCATTTGGCCGCATGTTAATTGCATCATATCCCCTTTGCACATGCATCAGCATTGTGGCATACAATAGGCGTGTGTGACTTCAGGCGGCGCAGCACAGCGCCAACTTAACATGATGCACGCTGGACTTTAAATAAGGCATGGTGATTAGAAATTGTGTCCGACTTTCACCGGCACTGCAAAACATCATCATGTCACAAGACATTAAAACCTCACAGGAGCAAGGCGGCTGCAGACGCCGGGTCCCGCTTTGCTTTTCTCCGGCTGCACAAAGTTTGAACCGCCTTTTGCCTGGTTGCGCTGCAAATACTGCGAGATCAGTCATTGATGCTCACAGTAAGCTCTTGCAGGGAAAATGTATTAGACTGGTGGCGCTGTTTTTATTCCCCACCCCTGCAGTCGCCTGCAGCTCACATTAGACTATCAAGTTCGGCAAAAGTCAGCCACACTCAAACTCCCCTAATGATTGATGATCCCCTAATCGTTATCCTGAAGACTACAAATCCCATGATCCCATGCTACTTCACAAGGTCATCAAACTGCATCTTTTGTTATTGTTTTGATGTGACACAGACCTAGTGGCAGCAAAGTCCATACTGTGCTGATCTGCTTTAACTCTGGTTTGAGAACCTTCTCACCTGCTCTGAACTCGGCGTGGCGGAGGTGTGTTTGTGTCCGTCGATGTTTCCTGTATGCTGTCAGGCTTCTGATCATCAGAGCTTCCTCCTAGAGGCTCCTCACTCTCCTCACTAGACTGAGGGGTAAGTCGTGATTTGGGGGGTCTGCTGGCCCGGCGGCAGGGAGGTCCGGGGCCGCGGCACTGCAGCAGCGGCAGGCTGTGGTTAAAGTGGGCCGCTGCCATACACTCGGCAGTCGTTTTGTCACACACACACTGCAGCTTGTCACATACAGTGAGGCCCTGACCTGAAGAGGAGACAGAGAATGAGGTTCTAGGTTAAGAATGAGCTTTAGAAAGACTTTTTGATATTAGTGGAGTAGCTATGTGGCTTTGTTTCAAAATATAAGTTTGGTGCATCTTTCTAGCCTTAGTCATGGCAACTACCACATCAACATGTCTTAAACAGTTTGTAATCCTTCGTATCTTCATCACACTAAAAACACATACAGTTCTCTAAAATCTTGTGGAAAACATTTGACTTTCAAGAGAAAACATTGGGGTTTTCTCCTTCACATTGATGCAGTCTGATTTTTCTGCGGGCCACAAGACGAACTGTAACTTAAGAGTTCAGCACTCAGCTGTGGCAGCTACTGATACAAAAATCCAATCCTCCTGTTGGATGGTAACAGGACAGATTTTGTGTAAGATTCAGAAGATGAAGATGTAAACTAATGCAACCTTTGGTTGTTACCTCGGTGTGTTTCTGCCGTGTGTGAAATATTCACGTTACAGTGCTCACAGTAGACCCGCTGTACTCACATCGTGGTTTCCCGTTCTCACAGGAGATCTGAGCGTTGAGCTTCCTCTCGGACCTGCAGCCCATGGCGTTGATCTGCTTCAGGCAGCAGTGATGAAAGAAGCAGCACCTGATGAAGAGCGACAGAGGTGATGAAGAATGCTGAAGTTTGTTTAGGTACACTCCCTAAACAATCAGCTTCAATCAGCGGAATGTTAGAAGAACGTCGGCGGTGTTTTTATGAGCCTGTCCTCGGATGTTTCCTGTGCTCTATGGTCGTCTGTGATTCGATACACATCTACGCCAACTGCAGAAGGAGGTAGCCATAAAACACAAAGATTATGTTTTACCTTGGACACATCTTTTGAGTGTCTAACTAGGGATGCAAACCACCCCACTGATGGTAAATTAAACTTGCAGCTACCTCAAAGGTTGGCTAACATAATAGATTTCACTATAACACATCATCACTTCCTATACTCTCCTCCTACTGCAGCTGCTGACCTGTCCAGCTGGTCCAGAGGTTGACCCCCGCCCTCGTGTCCGCAGTAGCAGCCATACATCTCATACTCATGGGGGCAACGTCCCGTCAGGCAGTGAAGCATCTCCCCCAGAGCCGGCATCTCCTGTCTAGCTTGCCCATCGCTGCCATACAGGGTGAAGGAGCGACTGCATTCTGTTTGTAGGAATGATTGTAGGAAGAAATGCAGGTTAATACAAGTAAACTACGGAACTTATGCAAAAGGGGTTTAGACGCCTTTAAAAATGTGGTTAAGCTGCAGAATTAAAAGGGCTACAGACAAATGCTTTAGTCAAGTCTGCAAAACTCAGCTAAAACACAACTGTTTAAAGATGGCAGGTTTTTCCACACTTTGATGATCAGGCAGCAGAGTCCAAGGCAGAATAATGCAACACATCAAGTAGGAGAAAACGATCTCAGTATGCGTGACTGGACTGACTAGAGGCTGTTTTGCCTTTAATATCTTTGACACATTCTGAGTAAAGAAAAACCTTTATTCCACCAGTGACATGCAGCAGAAGAATAGAAGAGTTATACTCTTTTACCTTTGCTGTCTGGCTGTAGCTGTATGTCCGTCAACCCAACAGACTCCAGCAGGGACCAGGCGAAGAACGGCACCGTCCTCTTCTGAGCCACATCCCAGTCTGCCAACACAAAAACAGTTTACTCACTCCAGCTTGAAAAGGATTAAATATCATCATCAGACAGGGACAGAGGAGACATTGAAGATTTGCTTCGTGTACAAAATATCACAAACACCTTGAGTTAAAGGAGATATGTGGTAATTTGACAGATTTAAAGTACAAAGGGATCTAATTCTGTACTTCTGCAGGGACTGGATTGGGTTAAATGTAAATGCTCTGTACTTGTATAGCGCCTTTCTAGTCTTTTCGACCACTCAAAGCACTTTTACACTATATCTGCATTCACCATTCACACACTGAGCCTAAGTGCTCAAACAAAAACTAACATTCACACACATTCATATAGTGGTGGAACAGCCACCAGGGGCAATTCGGGGTTCAGTATCTTGCCCAAGGACACTTCAACGTGCAGCCTGGAGGAGCCGGGGATTGAACAGTCGACCTTGATTAACAGGCAACCTGCTCTACCTCCTGAGCCACAGCTGCCCTGTTCTGTGTTGTTAACTGATTGTAAGGAGACTCTTATGTGTCGTAGACAAACATACTGCAGGCATGCTGTCAAAGCCTCATGAGGTTACAGCTCCCACGAGTCATCTGCTTTTTACAAGATGCACTTCTGTGGGTTTCATCAGACCGTAGCCTTCGGTTGCAGCTGAGGGAAGCAGTTGAGATGAGTCACCCGATAGTATGAGGCCAGACTTTAGTCCCCCACACCCCTGCTCCAGCTCCCGCCCCAAGGAAATGTGATTATATATCTCTGCGTTTTGATTATGAGTGGTGTTAAAATGAAGCGTCAAATAGGTCCCGTTCCAATGTCCACTCTTACTGACTCACAGACTTCTATGCGTCCTCCTGCTAAGTCAAATCAGAAAGTGTTGGGCTCTCTCGTGGTGACTTTTGAGCCCTGTTTGCGCTTTCTTTAAGTTTGCAGCTCAGAAGAATTTCTTAAGGGAATAACACATAATGCATAGCATCAATTGTGCGTGTCATAAAACAAACAAAACAGGAAAGGAGTCTGGAAGAAGACATTTTCCTTATAAACAGGCCATTGGGAACAGACCTGACGATCTACGTTCCAACCCTCAAATATGGGCATGAGTTCTGAGAAGCGATCAAAAGAGTGAGTGATTGTGGTGGAGAGCGTTCAGTTGGATTGCAAGCTGGTGACTGTAATGGTCATAATTTAATTCACATCATTTATAACCACTCAGTGAACTCTTGTGTTCTGTATGGAAGCATCTACATTTGTGGTTTAATTTGTGACCCATCTGCTCTGGGAACTCCTCAGAATCCCCCAGGAGGAGCTAGAGGACTGGTGTGGGCAGAAGGACATCTGGGGAACTCTGCAACACCTTCTGCCACCAGACCTGGATAAGCAGAAGGTAATAGATGGATGGACAGATGACTGTAAACACAGCCTCCCGTTTTCTGCTCAGGTTAGAGACTCATTTATGTACATTAATCTGGCAAATGAATGACAGGTCAAATGGGAAGAGAAAGCATGTTGTTGGGGGACTGGAAGTAAAGAGAAGAACAAAAGCAGCATGCTTCTTGTATTTTGTATATTTTAACTGTATATTTTTAGCCTAAATCTGACCATCTGTGTCTTTCTCCTGCGAGCTGTCTGCCAGCTCTCCTTCCACACATGGAGGTTTCTCTGTCTTTTCTGATTTCTCCTGCAGCTCCTCTTCAGATTCAGCCTCAGTTGTTGTGTACGATACTGCTGTCGTGGCTCTGGTGGACGTGTTGATCTCTGATCCCGGTTTGATGGAGGTGAGCTGGCTTCCTTGTGTTGCCTCTGAGACACTTCTCATTGATGACGTTGTCGACTGTTGCGTTGCATGTCCTGAAGCAGGAAGTTAAAGATCGTTAAAAATTAAGTCTTTTAAGTTTAAAATTAAGTTTTTATGCATAGAAACACTGCAATGTTTATACCTTTTCAAATTACCAAAGAATAAAAACACAATGCAACAAAGTGCATGAAGACTTCAAGGGGCCATTTGTAGTTTTCTGTGGCCTCTAGTGGTAAGGTTTCAGATTGCAACCACTACCTTCCAGAATGTGTGCCCGTGCGTGTGCTCGAAGTAATGAGCAAGCCAAAACAGAACAGAGTCCCACACACTGGAGACAGCTGCACACAGCATGCTGGAAACTCAGGTAAACTGCCACTGCAACGTTCCAGTAATTTGATCTAGCTCCGACAGATGGCTCATGCACTTTTATTTTGTAGGCAGCAAGGTAATGAAAACAAACATACCCAACAACACGGTGCAGGATGAGAGAAATGTGGCAGAAGTTAGCAGACAGAGTGATGGACTTCACATGACAGGATTCATAACTTGGATTCATTTTTTTGAAAAGCTGTTTTGATTCTTTTGATTGGTGGACCTTTACAGACTAAAGGAATATAAATAATCAAGAAATAGACACATTTAGACTTAACAAGCACTGGAGTCAGCCACAAACTGAATTCAATTTATCTCCATTGTATTGGGGTGGAAGAAACTATTTGCATGGCATGAATGACCATTAACACTACGCGACAGGATGGACTCCTGCCTTATGTAAATATTTGTGCAGATCAAAGGGATTCTGACACTTCTGCAACAGATGCAACATTTCAAAGATAGTAGAAAATTTATTAATTCCACTTACAGTGTGTTAATGTTATGCTAATTCATTTCTAAAGATGTTTCCAAGCGAAGAGCTGCCTCACCTTGACTCAGGCGACTGAAAGCAACAGCAGCAGGTGTCTGCAGTCTGAAGTTGTCGGTCCATGAAGTGTCAGGAGTTGTGGGTGAGCTTGTTGTCGAAGAACTTTTTGTCGCCTTGGTAGTAACTTCTGTGAAAGTGGCTGTTATAACAAGAGGTTATAGGGTGAGGGGAGCAATCCTGAGGCCTGTCCAGAAAGCAGAATTGGCAAAAACACATTTCTCCTTGCATTCCTTTGCCCTTGCATTCAAATATTACACACTGTGGATTCACCTTCAGCTCAGATTAAAATGTAAGCATTGATCTCTCCCTTTGCAACAGTTTCTTAATATAGAATGCAGACAGTAGCAGGTTTAACCACAACTGCCAGTTTAAATATAGGCATTTAAAGCTGTTGAGCAAAGTAGTATTACATTTACATTACATTTACTCATTTCATCCAAGGCAACTTACATTTGAGGAACAACATACAAGCATTAGTAAAGTGAGAGATCTACGAGCAACAATAGATACGAATAAGAGCTGGTCTGGACGGAAGGATAGGTAGAGTTGCGTATCATCTTCATAGCACTTGTAGGAGAAACCATGCGAACGAACAATCGACCTCAGTGAGGTGGTATAAATTGAGAAAAGTAGGGGCCCTAGCACTAAGCCTTGGGGCACCCCAGTGGAGAGGGAGTGAGAGGAGGATAATTGTCCTTGGGCACATAGTAGGGGCACCCAGAGAGGTAGGATTCAAACCACAAGAGTGCACTGCACGAGATGCCCATTGCCAACAGTGCCGATAGATGGATCCTGTAATTGACTATGTCAAAGACAGATGGTAAGTCAAGCAGGATAAGAACCGATGACTGGGCTGAAGCTTTAGCTAACTTTTGGGATTCTGTCACAGACAGCAGAGCCATTTTAGCAGAGTGGATACGCTTAAAACCTGACACATGAATTAAGGAGGTAATTATTTGACAGGCTTACTTGGCTTAACAAGTGACCTATTATAAAATATGGAATTAACTTCATTCATTCATTCATTCTGCGCTTAGCTGATGCTTTTATCCAAAGCGACTTACAATTGCTATACATGTCAGAGGTCGCACACCTCTGGAGCAACTAGGGGTTAAGTGTCTTGCTCACGGACACAATGATGGACACCAAAGGCATAGTCTTATCTATTGCACCATCACCACCCGATTTTACCTTTTTTTGGACTGTTACGTAATTTTTATAATGACTAGCAGGTGGACCCCAAGCTCTGCCCCCACTGTGCTGGGAGTCATGGCTGGTCTGCTCCTCTGACAAAGATCACAGCGACAGGCTGAAAATAATGGACAGATGATGCAGCTGTGAGGAAACAGCTAGCCTAGCTCTGCCAGAGGTAACATATGGGCCTGCAGCGGATCTGCAGAGTGAGCCATCCTTTATGTGTCAGACTATTTTTTGGCAGTGAGTGGCAGAGATGGGGACTCGAAGTTTGACACTCGGACTCGAGTCCGACTTAAGCACACACAGTGACTTCAGACTTGACTTAAGACTCGAGGTGCGGGGCTCGTGAACATGAAATGTTTATTTTTAGTAAACGTCTGATGAACTTGCCGTTATTATTCCCCTCCCTGTGTTACCTATAACCTGCCTACGTAACACATACTACATATCTGCTGTGCGAGGCCGCACGTGAGAGAGGACAACAAACACCGGCAGCTGCTCTGCCATTCATCATAAACTTTGGCTTTAAAACATCATACAACAAGACCCAAACAAAGAAGCGCTGAACGCAAGATAGGTTAGTAACCTGAAGTTAGTAAACATGTTTAGCTCAGCATTTGCCATCTAACGTTAGCTTGCTTCTTGCATTAACTCAGACTGTCGTTCGTTATGAAAAGATGAATAAGCGTTTTAGGGCTGCAGCTAAAGATGATTTTAGTATTCGAAGCTTCTATAGATTATTTCAACGGTTCATTGATGCGTCGTTTAAGAAGTACTTTTGCTTGGCGGTGGCGCCCCCCCAGTAATGGGATCAGCTGTGCACGTTTATAGGTGATAGATATTTATTAGTCCTTTCGGAAATTCATAGTGTGTCATACAGCTAACATCAGACCTGCTTTACAAACACAAACATCACCCCAGTGCTATACAAGTTATACTACAGGCTCGTGCAGACTACACGATTTTCAGCGTCGGCCGCTGGCCGTGCAGTTCACACAACTTGCCGTAAGTTTATATGACGGCAGTCTTGCAGTCGTTGTGGCGTTCACACTACTTGACTGATCGGTGACAGGGGGTCACACACACTACAGGAGCTGACAACAGCTATGGCACCCGACGCTGGAAGCACGATGTGCGACAGTAATAAATGTCCGTGCGAAACACTGTGCTGTATAGTTATATAGATTAAACGAAGCATCGATGCAAAGAATTTGTGTCGAATCGATTTAATTGATGAATTGTTTCAGCCCTAGTTTGTTTACTTGCCAGACTTTTGGTAGTCGATTAACGTAATCATTTACGTCGTGCTGGCATGCCATCACATAACAGGTTACAGGTTTATTGTTGATCATGTAACGTTACAGTTTTATTGAGTTACCGTTCCACTGTTTGAGAGTCTGCAGAGTGTGTTGACTTACAGTAGTTTATAAGCTGTCATTAATTGCATTGCACATTACATGGTTGTGCTTTGTAAGTGAAAAACAGAATTCCTTACACAGAGTACTAAGCAGCCTGGATTGAACGCAGCAGTTGATACAACATTCACTATAACCACAAGTGACGTGAGACTTGACTTGGACTCTAGCTCAAAGAAGATGTAACGTTATTTAGTGAGCAGGGGTGCTGGTAAGTAGTTTTAGTTACCTTTAGACAGAGCTAGCTGTTTCCACATTTCCAGTCTTCATGCTAAGCTAATCACCTGCTGGTGGTTGCTTCGTATTTACCACACAGACAACCTCTTACTCTTGGTCAGAAAGCGACCAAGTGTTTTTCCCAAAATCAAACCTTTCCTTAAATTCAGAGATAACATACTAAGAGTTGATTGAGTTTTCAGAGCAGGTGATCAGAGTCCTGACTTTCCCACCTCAGAATTAGTCAAGTCAGAGTTCAGGTTTGGTTCAGAGTCTGTTAAACTTGCTTTCTCAAACAAACTGCTTTTTATGACAACAATGTTTGTGCACCAGGGAGCTGACCTTCAGTTGCCCTCATAAAACTTTTGTTCTCCTCGCCTGAACTTTGATCTCCTCCTTCCTCTGAAGCTGGAGGTGTTGCTAGTGTAAAAGTAAAGGGGACTCCTCCACCTGAAGGGTGCAGAACAAAAACACATTCAGAAGATATTAAGACATTCCACTTAATTAAGTGAGGCATTACAGAAAAAGCAATAGCATTTTCTTTTCCTTCCTAGAATTAGCAATTTACATGGTAATTTATGTGTGGAGTGTTTTACCCTCCTCAGGCACCTGTCAAAGCCTCAGTGTGCAATTACCAACACTGTTAGCGTCAGCAAAATATTTAGCAGTTCAATGTTTTGTTTTTTTTAACTGATAGTAGGGACGTGACACTTATTCAAATCACGTTGCAGGTCACTGTATGTGTAGTGGCAGTGTTCATACCTTGCTCTTAAAAACTATTACTACAACTCATACAGTGTTGATATAAATCAGCTGAACATGTCATTTACAGAACAAGTTTGGGTGATATTCCAGATTTTTCTTATTGTCAAAAAAGAGAGTGACCGAGCAAGAGACCTGACAAGAGTCAGTATCTAATATAATGGCTGTTACTCGTTGCCATGAGCTGGAAGGATGCAGGACAGATGCAGAGTTGGCTTTTCTGCTGTTGGGGCGAGTCAGTAATAACTTATTAGCTGCTTGCTGTGTCTTGTCTTCTTGCGCTTGCTTGGTGTTTGGCTGTGTTAGCAGAGTTGGAGACTTGCTAGTTTTTGATCACAAGTAATTTAATCATAAAAAATGCACGTTTACAGCTGTCCTTGTTTACAACAGTGGTGTTACACTCTGAAACGGAAGGGGCACCAAATCACACAGACACATTTTCCAAAATGTTGCCTAAATGACCCCTAAACTGACTCAAATATAAAAAACTAGTCATATTGTGATCATACATTTTGTCTTTGTGTTACAAGTGGATGGAATTATAGTAATAGAAATTTGCAGGGGAACCCATGGCTCCCCCTCAAGAACCCCTGACCCACTTTGAGAACCACTGCAGTAGACAACCAAATGTGGATTAACCTGCCGCAGTCAATAGTCCCCATCAAATGCACTATTTTTTGTTTGTCTGATAAAAACTACAGTGAGAAGCTGTTTTAGGAAATTATGGAGCACTTATTTAAAATGGAACTATAGATTTGTGAGGCGTTTAATATTTACATCTTCAGTGCTACAGATGGGGTAGAGAAGCCAGAAAGTTAGTTGGACTAGTTGGATTAGATGGACTAAAACATTGTTGTTCTGGGTCTATTAATGACTAGAAGAACAAAAGTGAATCTTTCCAGATGTATTTAACTACTGTAGATGATCCAACAGTTACTTAACCTTTCTTAGGTATCATATGTTTGCTCTCTTGAAGAGATTAGATTCTGAGGCCTGTACTACGAAGGGAGTTTAACCTGCTCAGAATTAACTCAGGGTTGTAAAGCAAACTCAGGGTTGACAAACTCTGACTGCCTAGATTGTTGTACGTGTCAGAAACGGTCCTACGGTGGTGAACTAGATGTTGGTTAGTTAAGTCTATCAGAATTTCCACACATGTTTGAGAGAAACTCTGAAAAATAGTGGGGGGGTTCAGGGCACCGCATCGCTTCATTTTACAAGGCTGCACACCCCCACTGCTGTGTATTATGCATGCAGTGGAAAATGATATTATAACCTTCAATTGAATTAAGAAATGAGGAAATTGGCTACTCATGATTTTAGTCCACAATCACCCTATTATCATACACATCCGACGTCACAAAGTTACTCCTGAAGGTACCTGGATAAGTAGTACTGGCCACGGGTCTTATGACCCCTTTTGAATGAAATAAACTGCAAACAGTTCTCAATTTACACTCCTCTTTGGTTCTTTATCATGTCACCAAATTAAAGAAAATAAAATCTACAGATGACAAAGTCTTTAGCTGCATCACGCCACAGAAGCCCCTACGTAAGAAACTCACCTGTGCGTGAGGCTGATGTTGTCTTTGCGGGTAGCGTCGAGCTTCCCTTCACCTCGTTGGCTGTGACAACAGCCTGTATCGTCGTCGTTGACTGTGTTGTTACTGTTTTGGCAGGTGCAGTTGTGAATACAGTAGTGAGCAAATTCTTGTCTGAGGAAGAACAACAATAAAAAGAAGTTTTAGATTCTGACCAGAGCTGTTTTTAGGGCTTATGAGGCGAGTTCAAGTCAAGGTTTTAATTTGGGCTAACAAAGTAAGTGGCCCAGCATGCTAACATTTTCCTATTAAGCTGTTTTAATAGTGTTTTTGACATAACGTAAAGTCGTCTGTGAAGCTTCTTAGTCATCCAAGGGTTCAAATCAGGGGCAACTGGACTTTTGTTCATCCAAGAGAAGAACTGAAGAAGTCTTTGGAATAAGAGGCAAAATGTCTTCAAGTAACAAAGTCCACTTGGCTTTGATTTTAATCTTCCTTGGATAACGTAACCTCTCTAATGAAAGCCTGTATTTTACAGCACAAAAGCCGGATAAAAAACATTACAAAGGGGAAGAATTACCTGTACTAAAGTGGCTTACATGGTTATTTATTGTAATGTCGCTGAGGTAATTAAAGGCCACTATTTGAGAATTTATGGTTACTGATAATGAGGCTCATTTAAGTCATTGTTCTGAGAATTGAAACTACAGTCAAGTCAAAAGTCCCAATTTTTGTTTGGCTCATAATCGTCAGATTTTGTGAAAATCCCTAAAATCTACTCTAATAAAATTTGACTGAATCATGTTGGAATCAGAGGATCCTGTGATACAAAAGGAAGTGTGTTCAGTTAAACTTACCATGTTCATCTGAAGCGTCCTGCTCCCCTTCATCACCACCATCATCATCATCATCATCATCATCATCATCATCATCCTTCTCCTCTTCCTCTTTCCCATCTTCTTCTTCAGCTTCCTCAGATGACTTTAAGGCCTTCGCACTGGCTGTGGTTATTTTCTCTGATGGACTGATTGGTGGTTTTGCTGATGTCAGCAATGAAGTTGTGATGCTGCCTGAATCTGCAGAGGCATCAGATATAATGAATAATATCTGACAATAAACTTTTATTTGCCATTAAAAACACATCTACAGATACATTTAAGATTTACATTGCAGATTTAGTTCTACAAACATTTTCTAGTCTTTCAAGTATTTACACTCTTTGTATTTTTTTTGATGTGTTTCTGTTGTGGATCTGGTTTATATGTCTTTACAAAAGTCAGACCGTCCCCCATTTCTTAATCACCTTCCTCGGTTGACTCCTCCAGACCAGTGGTCGTCAGCTTTCTGGGAGTTGTAGTCTGTTCGAAAGGGGCGATGCCAGCTGGTGTTGAAGACGTCTCCATATTTTCATCTCCATAGCTCAGAGGAGAGAGTTTGGTCAGCTCGGATTCTGCTTCGCTCAGTCTTTCTCTGTCGTGGACGAGCAAAACTGAATCTGCAGCAGAGAAGTCAAAAAGTATTTAATATGTTGTGTGTTGTGATGTGTCAGATACCTGATCAAAATGTAATTAAAGCCTTTGAGCCCATACACAGCCTGAGACTGCAGCTTTAGACTAAGATGTCTTGTTTTCAAACTGTTTTCGTCATAGTTCAGATTTTATCTAGTGATCATTTCATTTAAGCCTTTTTGAGCTATTTGACTGATGACACATTTTATTTCTTACATTACTAATACAGAGAAGTCTTTCTCTGATCACTTCCTGTGTGACAGATCAGAGCAGCATTTAGAAAGATTTTTTTTATGAATTAGACATCAGGGGATTCACTGTTCAGTTATGGGAATAATGTGAACGCCTCATCATCCAAATAAAATTTATAAAAATCACACATTAAAAACTAGAACCACATTCCTGCTCATGATTGAGATAGGCAGCATTATTGGCTCACCGGTGCTGATTGCTGAAGGATTGTGGGTCGTCTGATCCTTATTCATCTCTTCCAGCTCTTGTGCTTCCTCTGTCACAGCCTCATTCAAATCTGTAAAAGTAGTGACAGGAAACGTCTGAGCCAAGTGATTCATCAAGCAGCAGCAGACCGACAGCAGGGAAATTATTTCTAGTGTTTTGGAAGCTGCATAACGGTCAGCTCCAGCCAAATGTAATTATGAGCAGCTTGGAAAAACACAAGTTTGCCAGGAAACTACTTCGGGGAGGATCATAGTGAGTACAGATGGAAAGGTGATGGAGAGTACTTTAACTGTTTTACCTTTAGAGATGAAACTCGCTTCTTCCTCTGTGCCACCTTCACCTCCCTCAGACTCCTCTGAAATGACAAGCCGCAGAGAAAAGTCACAATTAACGTGTGGATGTTTCAAAGCAAATAATTTCAATATCACCCTGTAAAAATGACTGATGTTCAATGAGATTGGAAAACCACGCTAGCAGCTTGAGGCTGTGATTTGAGCTAACAATGTTGATGCAGATAAAAAACTTTTTCTTTTATTAAATGAATACATTTTCATGATTGTTCAGATGCATTTATCCCTGCTGAGATGACCAAATGGCCTGATGGTGTTATGCAAATGTAACCATGATGCATAACACCTGCTTTTACAGCATGGACCACACATACAGGAAAGAGACGTGACAGGAAGAGTGTGTGTGTGTGTGTGTGTGTGTGTGTGTGTGTGTGTGTGTGTGTGTGTGTGTGTGTGTGTGTGTGTGTGTGTGTGTGTGTGTGTGTGTGTGTGTGTGTGTGTGTAAGACCTTGTGTTAAACCCACAGTCTATGGTTCAACCTGTAACCTGTGAGCCAATTACAGAGCGTACCAAAAGGCGTCAGAGGGGGGGGTGAGCCCGACTGCAGGGTGATGAGGTCATCGTACAACGTTGTAGTGTCACTCTGGTTATCCACTCTGCTGGTCATTAGAGGGTCCATCTCTGCTGGCCAGACACAATAACAAGTCAGGCCGAGTCAAATCCAAGACACACTGATCATTTAACTGTCTGACTCACAGCGGAAATGTTTTTTAGCCACATGTTGAGCAGTTCTGTACATGCACCTATCTCACGCCATCTTTTTTAATTCATTTGATGAACTGACAGACTCCAGGTTTTCTTTGCAAACACTGGGTGAGAACACAACACGTCATTTGTACTTTGTGTGAAACTTGGTTAAACACAGTCTGATGAAATATCACACAAATAAATTTCGCTCAATGGCACAAAATGGCTTAACATCATATCACATGATATATTTGTGTCCTATCATTCACTTTTTAATAATTATGTATCATTAGGCTACATTATGGTAGTGGCTCCCAAGATAGGGACTGACGCCCTCAAGTGGGTCACAAAACAGACTTTGTGAATATTTGTGGCGGCTGTGGTTCAGGAGGTAGAGCGGGTTGGACATAATCGGAAGGGCGGCGGTTCAATCCTGGCTCCCCCAGGCTGCATGTTGAAGTGTCCTTGGGCAAGATACTGAACCCCAAATTGCCCCTGGTGGCTGTTCCACCAGTGTATGAATGTGTCTGAATGTTAGTTTCTGTTTGAGCACTTAGGCTCAGTGAGTGGATGTAGTGTAAAAGCGCTTTGAGTGGTCGAAAAGACTAGAAAGGCACTATACAAATGCGGAGCATTTACATTTTCTTACTATACTTTTGTTGTTTTTGTATTGTAGAATTTTTTTCAGACTTTTCCACCATCAGTTTTTTATTTCTTGTACTTGAAAGTTTCACCTCTCCAGCAGCATCACTTATAAAACAGTGCATATAAACCACTGTAAAAGCGTGTATGTGCACAAAATCCGAAAATAGCAAACACCCAAAAAAACATCTTTTGGATTTACCAATTACTTTTTTAGTACATAAAATGTCAGGAAATAAGTGCCGGTTCTTACATTTAAGACACTAAAAATGTGGAAATTTCACATTTAAAACAAAATAAATGAAAAAGTGATTATTAAAATGGTTGTGACCTCTGACAGCAGTGAGCACAATCCATAGTCAGTCATATGACTACATCTTCATATCATTTGTATCTTAGAAGCTCTTCAGGAATAAGGAATAGAGTCATATTTCTCACTGATTTTTCACACTCCAGTTTCATGGACTCAATCATTACACACTCAAAGCAAATTTATTGAAATTCCATTTTTCGCAGTGATCGGCTGAGTGTGAACAGAGAGCTTTACAAAGTTAACTCAACCATAAACAGGGCTTTTACCTGCTGACAGGACAGAAGAGTTGGAGAGCTCGTAGCTCACGGAAACGTTTCCTGCTAGGAGAACATCTGGAAAGAAGGACAGGCCCAACATATACAGGATAAATTCAATCTGAACTTATGTGGTCACAGAAGTAATTAATTACAATTGTACTTATTTTGTTACAGCACCATTAAATCCCCGAATGGCTGAGCTTTCTCTCAGCTCACTGTCAGCTGTAAGTGGAATTGGAGCAACACATCTGTGCCAGGATGCTGCACAGCAGTTTGTAATACTATGAGACAGAAAACAGGAGCTACTCATTAATCCTTGGGGGACTGATTCGCCTGATTTTTATTGGTTCTTCAAAGGGACTTTTTAGCTTCTGTTTAAATCAATCAGTCGGTGGTCATAATGTTATGGCTGATCGTGTAGTTCCTCATTTACTTTGTTAGTCTCCTCTAGTTCCTACATTTGGCCTTAACTGACCTAAAATTTATTGCTTTAACACACCCTGAAGTTTGCCCCTGTCAGAGTTTATATGTCAGGAGTAACACTTGTTACTTTTGTCCCATTACAGTGACCACAAGTGTTTCTTTTGTCCCGCTGCTGATGTGGTGACTTTCTGTGTGTTGCAGCATTTATTAAAACATGTTTATGTCATATTATACCAACAGAATGTGCCAATAGCGTGGGTCAGAAAGACAGAGGTCTGATTCAGCCAGATGTTTATGACAAGGCGTTTCTGGACTATTAGAAACATTAGTCTCAGGTGAGCTGATAAAGTCGCTTTGTTCAGATAATGCAGGAGGAGGGCAGAGGTTATTGGGGAGAAGACTAGACCACAGGTACAGATCACATTATTAAGTTTTCTCCTTAGACTAGGAGAGGAAGCTGCATGCTTATATTAAGAGAGAGCTGATATTTATTTTGGCCTCCTTGGTCTCCTAAGGAGGTGTCAGTAAAAAGCACTCAAAATGCAGATCACTGATACTGTTCTAACTAAAACAATTTTAAATTAATTTCAAAATGTGAAATTTGTATAGGCCTATTCTGTAAATAGCATTTTAATTTTTATCTTAATTTTATTGTTTATTTTCATTTTTGTCCTATCTTTCTAAATTATGTTTCATTTTTTCACTGTTTCTGAAACTGCTGCAACATGCAAATATCCCCAGTGCAGGATCAGTAAAGTCTTATTTTATTTTAATCATGTCAGGTTCATAAACAATCTCCATCTAACCATTTCCCCCCTGTTTTAGGTGCAATTGCATATTTATATTATATATTTATAATATATCCTTAATATAATATGAAATATTCTAAACAATTCAAGTCTGAATATTTAAAATAAAAATGTAATTTAATTTTTTTTAAAGATTAAGGACAAAAGATGTTTGCAGTTACACATTACCAAGGTCACAGTCATGTTGATTTATTAAATACAAGGGTGGTAACACAAAAAATCTAGCTTGTATTGTTGTGTTATTTTTGTCCCAGCTGACGGGGTAGAAAGTAACAATGCGCCACTTATGTTTAAAGTGAAATTATACGGAAGTCGTTCTACATTTGTACAAAATACCACCTGATATTGATAGACCACAACTGTGAGTTAGTGACCACAGCAAAATATCTGTCTGAAACATTATCTTTTAAAATCAGGTTTTTCCTGAAAATTGGTACTTTCGCCCCTGCTCTCCCCTACTACAGATGTTTTCGTAAGTACTGAAATAATCAACAAAAGCATATAGAGCTGCCGACAGCTGGTCTTAACAAAATATTTTTTTCAAACCAAAAAACTGGTTGGCGAATCCACCACTGATAAACTCCTCTACCTCAACTGCTCCTGGTTCTCTCACACTAAGAGCAGCTCAGCCAGGGCTGGACATCTATATTTGGACCTGACAGAACTTTTTTCCCCAGATGTGCGTGGGCAGGAAGGTGCAGGATTAAATGTCAAGAGGTCATTGTTTTAATTGGCTGAGAGCCACAGACGTGTGACTCAGCCATCTGCTTTTCTACCCAATCAATAGCTTCTTCGGATCTGACATCGCTGACCCGCTCGGAAACTGACACACCTCGACTGACGCACTGTCTGGAGAAAGCTGATGTGGACAACTTGGTGGTTTTGTCCTTAAAGCTCCCCAACTCTTTGTCATTTGATTAGAGTTTCAGCTGAAGTGTGCTGACGCTCACTCAGACTCACCTGCTCTTCTGGAGGCTTCGCTGGCCTCCACGGTGCTGCTAAGCACATCTGAAACACAGAATCAGACTAATGAGAGATTCTCATTTTGTTGGGTCTCTGCTCTGTCAGGCGGTGTGGATGGAAAGTAGAAGCAGTGTTCATGATGCCAACTGTACAGTAGATGAAGTCATGTAGTTTTTTAATGTTGATTCCGTTTCATCCTTCCATGAGGATGTCAAACAAACTTTATATTTTATTATACATATATATTGTTACCTGATATTGATATATCAGGTAATGAAAATATTGTGCCATGTTTTAAGGCATAAAGGCATAGTATTTTGCTTATTGTAATATTTTGATAAAAAGTCTTGGTGCTTGAAATAGTTTGTACCATCATAATATTAAAATAATATATATTTATATTTTTCTAAAAGAAAACATAGAAATTATATTAATTATTATTATTTATTTAATTTTGTCCCTACCTACCCAACCTTATTTGCACTCACAGTATTTTGTGTTAAATGTCCACATTGTTGGAGCTGAAGGAGCAGCTTGCTGGTTTGCCCTCTGCATGTTTATTAGGCCGCTGTCTCCTGTTTCTCCTCTTATGAAGGTACCTGTTTGATTTGCAGCAGAGCACGATGACTCGGCGAGGCCTCTCAGTGATGAGTTGTATGAGCTCCGATTCATGCAGTCAATAGCAGCCTGGTCACATTCACAAAACCTCTGCTGACACCAATTACCAGCATCTTCAAGACAAAAACAGCCTATTGATGTCCATAGACATAATATACATCAAGACATGTAGGACTAGTGTCACAGTTTTTATTTCATCTGGTGTAGTAGTAGCAGGACACAGCTCTCTGCTATGTTTGTACTGGTGTAACACCAAAATCTGTGACCTATCAGATTCTGTGACTAAACCCAAACAACGATGTTTTCCTAGCCATAACCAATTACTTTTGGTGCCTAAACCTAACCGAACTGCAACCACTTCACATCGTCAACAAAGCCTCTGGCACTTAACTTTCCATTTGCATCCCAGAATCTGATAGGTGTCACACCAGACTATTTCTTGGCTGGGCAAAGTCACTTTCTGAAGTCTTGTCGTCATTGAGGTTGCCGGACACCCAGCAGAGACTCCTGCTGTTTGTAGCTTCATATGTACTGCACAGACCAGAGTGGTATTGATTTTCTCATCTAACTCTCAGCAAGAAAGCAAATAAGTGTATTTCACACATATGTCAAACTGTTCCTTCAAAGGTCTTACCACAGCTGGTGTTTGCTGCTAAACAGGTGAAGTTGTTTGGGAGAAGAGGCATCTCCTGCCTGCAGGGGGCAGCATTCTGGTAACACAGTCTGTGAGTCTCACAGCAGCTGCAGCAAAGAACAAATGAGAGTTACTTTAGGGCTGCATGAGGTCAAGGAAAGATGTGAAGGAGAATCCGTAAGGACTTAGGAAAAGAGGACGGCGGGTCTAAGAGAAACCGACTGCTCTTTTCTAAGCGACGTAATTATGCGACAGCGGATTTTAGTGACCTGCCGCGATGAAACTACAATGTTCTGAAGATGGACTACAAAAAGCGCATCTCTGACACTGCGCCCCGTGTTGTTGTAATGCAGGCTATCTAAAGGTGGACAACACGGTGGAATATATTACTTAATAACCAAGATAGCAAAAAGGCAGATAAGGTAGCCTACCAGTCACTTAATAATAGACAGGGTTGTCACATTGAGAATGCTTGCTCACCCTCCTGCCCACCCATAGGCGTATTTATCAACATGAATCCCAATTTCTGTTTCCCACAGAATGACAGCGTAACTATGCCGAGAGGGAGAGAGAGAGACACGAGGCAAGAGGAGATTCTGAGAGTATATATGCGCTGTGCAGCGCTGTGTCATCAAATACGATTTTACCCATTTTAATAGTAACAAAATCAATCGAAAATCAGCCTTGATAATGTGGCCTCCACAAATAAATCAGTGTGTGGGAAACGCCTACTGTAGAGGTTGATCTTTGCCTTTATTAAGGCGAGGGTGTCAGCATCTGTGACTGAAGTAAAATGTATTTGCTGAAGGCTGCGGTACATAACGTGAGGCTACACGCTGCAACATTATCCTCACTTTGATCACGTTACAAGACAGCTCGCATGGGTCTCAGTTATTGTTGACAGTTTAAGATATATGCATTTAAGCAAGTTATGGCATAAGAGAGAAAAGGCTTAATAGCCAATGGTAACTTACATGGTGATCAACCTCCTTTATCTGTCATGGTTGGTGAATTATTTATTTATTTTTTGTAGAAAACACTTAAATGTTGCAGCAGGAAAGAATTGTGGGACGGCATTCTCTAATTTCCTTTTGTAAAGGATGGTCAGGTGTACCCTATGCTAAAGGAGATTTCCTTTCCTCAGCTTTTAGAGAATTTGAACAGCTCTTATCATGGCTGCCACTGAAATACTTCCAGGTCACTTCACTCAGTTAGAAACCTTCCTGAGCAAAAAAGACTTTTCAAATGCAGCCAGGGTGTCTAAAAAAGACAGAGGTCCAGCTTTACTTTTGCCAGCAGAGGTTGAAGTACAATATGTTTATTAGGAATTACGGACAATAGAGGAGGGCGGCACGGTTGTGCAGTTTGCATGTTCTCCCCGTATCTGCGTGGGTTCTCTCCGGGTGCTCCAGCTTCCTCCCACCGTCCAAGACATTTGGCCTAGGTTGATTGGTGACCCTAAATTGTCCTTAGGTGTGAGTGTGAGTGGTTGTTTGTCTATGTGTGGCCCTGCGATGGACTGGCGACCTGTCCAGGGTGTACCTCGCCTTTTGCCTGATGTCAGCTGGGATTGGCTGGGATGGACATTAGGGGTGTAACTGTCATAGACTTTATATAAAAAAGTGTACATGAATTCATCTGAACCATTCAGTATGCAACTCTCTCGGTTTGGTACGCCCTGTGACCCAAACAATTGCTGTTAAAATAGTCTATGGCTGTATTTGGAACCGCCTACTACATACTACTGGCAACCGCAGTATGTATGCAGTATGTAATATACGGTATGAAACTGTTATTTGATTTATTTTGCAGTATGCTAGGCCAGGCTTAGCCAATTTCTGGTTTTCAAAATCAGAACAACAGGTGAAATATAAATGTAGGCCTAAATACTACTTAAAACTTATTTAAAAAAAAAAATCTTATGTAAGGAGAACAAGAGTGCAGACGATCTGTAGCAGATGTTTGCTTTGGTAAATTGGTGGTACAGTGGTTAGCACTGTCACCTCACAGTAAGAAGGTTGTGGGTTCAAACCCGGTTGCCCCTGGGGAGGCGCAAGGACAGTCTGGACAAGAGGTGTTAGAAAAACAGTGTTGCTATAAACTTCTGAAATGTAACTGGTAGGCTTTTGCAATATAAAAACTGAAACGCGACCTTGCTGTGTTTGGGACTGAGAGCTGCTGAAGTTAACGTGTGTGGATATAAGGTGAGATTTCTGCCTGATCACAAGCATTTCCATTAGTTTTGGTTTCACATGCAGCATGCAGTCCCAAACTGTGTCAATCAGGCAGTCTATGGGGATATTACTAGCAGAGCAATAACGTAATGCACAGCAGAGTAAGGGGCAGGTAGACTTCTCATTAAATGATGACGTTATTCTTGTAATATTGTGACTTTTCTCTCAACATGTCAGAGAAACAGATATGGGAGAGATTGTGAATGTGCAGAAAGTTTTGAACATGAGCAGAAAACCTGTTGAAACACCGGAATAAAGGAGTTTATAACTAAGTTAAAATGAATTAATTTCTCATTGAGGTGAAAAGGCGTCACATGCACAGAGGTTACTTCCCCAAACAGAGAATCAAAGAGGAGAGGAGACTAAATCATACTGACTCAGCAGGGATTTTATTTAATAAGAAAAGTTGATCTACAGGAGAAAACGTATTTAAAGCAATAGCTACAGAATGCCTGAAAGCCTGACTGGATTATATTCTACTAATTTTTTTTGTTTTCAATTGTCACCTGCCGCCTGAATATTATGTTTCCCTTTTACCTTTCTCCACCATAAATTGTTGCAGAAATTTTCACCAGAACGCAGGAAATGAATAATGCAAATTTAAAATCTCGCCTAGGGCTCCAACACTACCGGCCGTGGTCTTACTTACAGGTCCATTGGATCCACATGTTTTCCAGCAGCCACGTATCTGCAGGAGCAGCCGTAATCTTCCAGGTCGTGTGGACAAAGCCCCGTCGCACACCGTAGCTCCAGAGCAAAATTCAGCAGTGAGGGGAAATTATCAAAGACAGAGTGGAGCCAGGTGAAGCGCAGACCGAGGCAATCTGCACGCAGAGAAGGGAAACAAGATGAAAATGAAAGAGACATACATACAGAGGCTGAACAAACCTCAACAATTTCACTCTTTCTTCAACTCAATTTCCTCCATCTTGCAAGTGGAGAGAAGAGTGATTTAATCATAGATAATCCTTTTGGCAGTTTCAAATAACCCAAGTCCAGAGAGGTATGCAGGTCAGAAAATTATTTAGGCCACAGCTCTCCACATGCCAGATGTACCCACAGTGCTGATTAGGACTACAGGTGTCCCAGAACATCACAGCTTGTGAACCTTGAGGTCAACATCATCACAAAATGGCACAAAGTGAAGCAGCATTATAGCAGCTGGACAAATTTTGGGGAAACAATTACCTGATATAATGACCTGAACGAGACACTGCTGCAATTTTCCAGCCTGCTGACACAACAACCCGAGCCAAATGACTGATTTATTTAGTTATTTATTTGATTTGCCAAAATTGCTCGAAAAAGTTAATACTTCATATGACTGATAAGCTTCTGCCAGTGAGGTTACTACTGAGTAACTGAGGTTCGAAGATTCTAAATCTAAACTCCATAATTTGAGTATCAAATACCTTTGCGAACTTGAAGAGTGGCTGTAAAATATTTCGTCTTTTGAAGACAAACTGCAGTTTTAGGCTTCAATGCAAGTCCATCAAAATTAAAAGATTTGGCAAAACTCTCCAGGGCACCATACTTTACTGACCAAATGTTTTCTTGCTTTCATCAGGGTGATGGCTGAGGGTTGAGGGTTGTTGTTTTTTCCGATGAAGAAGCTGAGTATTAACATCAACCAATTAATTAAGTGAACATATGAACATATTATAAACATCACATAGACAGTCTTACTGTCATTTGTTTAGTCAAAGCAGCAAACGTTAAACTCTTAAAATATTAACTGCACATTTAATAGCATTCACCATTTTTACTATAACTTGTGTTTAAAAGGTGGAGCAACTTACAGGACAAGTGCCTGAGATGCATCATCACGTTTTCAGGAGGGTCATTTAACAAACTATTCTATAGTGTCAACAATGAAATTTATAAATGTCCAAATTTGATGTTTTTTTAAAGAAAGGTTACAAACTCACTTTACCTAATGAGGATTTGTTTATTGAGAAGTCGGGTGCTCTCTGTTCCTTCGCTTGGATTAAAGAACACATCTTACAATAACAAAAAAAACATTAAATGTGGCATTTTTGTTTACCAAAAATCCTTCCTCTGTAAGACCTCCGATTCAGGAGGAGCACTATGGATTCCATCCTGGCTGTCAAACAGTGGACCAGCTCTTTACCATTGTGAGGTTGTTGGAGGGGTCAGGGGAGTTTGCCCATCACATCTACATGTGTTTTGTGGACTTGGAGAAGGGGAGTCCTTTGGGGGGTACTGCGGGAGTAGGGTGTACCGGAGCTGTTGCTACAAGATATCTGGTCCGTGTGTACCCAAAGCAAGAGTGTTTATTGTATTCTTGGCACAAAGTAAAACACTTTTTCATTGAGAGTTGGCCTCTGCCAGAGTTGTTCCTTGTTATCTTGTCTAAAGGCACAGTCAGGGGGATGAGACTGTCCAGTTTCAGTACCTCAGAACTGTGTCACTGCTCTTTGCAGATGATGGTGTACTGTTGGCTTCAGATTGTGACCTGCAGCACAAACTGGGGTGGCTTGCAGCAGAGTGTAAAGTGGCTAGTCAGACTTGGAGGAGGCAGTCTCTGCTGAAAAAAGGTGGATTGCTCCTTCTGGGTTAGGAGTGAGTGTGTCTGTGGTAAGCAGTGGAGCATGAGATGGGCAGGCAGATTGCGGGCAGGCCACATCAACAGTTGTACCGGACTGTAGTGAAGAGGGATCTAAGCCGGAAGGCAAAGCTTTGGATTTTTCAGTCATATCATAGTGACCGAAAGCATTACATTGTGGATACAAGCGGCAGGAATGAGTTTCCTCTGTAAGGTGGCTGGGCTAAGCCTTAAAGAGTGGGCAAGGAGCTCAGACACTCGGAGGGATCAGGGAGTAGAGCCTGGAAAACTTTGCTGGGGAGGGGGTCGTCTAGACTACCTTGCTTAGCCTGCTGCCCACAGACCCTGCCCCTGATAAGCGTAAGAAAATGGATGGATGGATGATCCTTCAGATTAGCATGCACTTAAACTACTTGGTAATAAATATTTAATGATGGTTGGCCCAGAGTTTGGCTATACATGGCAGGGAAGACACTTAATTCCCATCAGCACTCTGACTTTTCTGTTGAAGGAAACTGTTTGTAAGGGCTTCAATAAAGCGCCACACTGATTGAGCAAGGCTATGTGACACATAAAGTCATATTGCTCACTGTGTATTAATTAAGGTTTCATTCTCACCAATCATGTGATCTGAGTTGCTGGCCTCTGGGTCTTGGCAAAAGATGGAGTTGCCAGAAAGTGCTGAAGACAAAGATGAGTAATTATTATAGTAGTGATTTCATTAACATTTAACACATGAATAAACCATCATCATGCCACATAGTATAATTACACAAAACTTCCCAGATCCACTTTCCACATGTGTGGTTTTCTGTTCATTTTTTGAAATAAGCAAGTCTCTGCTACTGTACTAGGTAGATGGAACAGTAATCATTTCACTAACACTTAATAAACATAAATAATGGTTGTACCACTTTCTTATAAGGCACCATCTCTAAAGGGTAAGTGGGTAAGTGTGAGTTAATGGCTTCATTAACAGGTAAAAATGATTTATTAATTCATTATAAATCAGTTTCAAGACTTTAATAATAACTTAAATATCAATAACTTTTTTTAATCAATCACTATAAATGTTGGTCCACATGCAACTGAGTGTCCTCTTAAACTAGGAGTGGTACATGCGTTGTTGGGAATGTCGCCGGGAACTCACCGTCTGGAACAGCACAAAGCACGAAAATCCAGATGAGAAACATGACTTGTACCTGTGTTCAGAGAGGGAAAGCTTTTAAAGTCCCATCATACCAGAGTAAAGGCACAAATGATCTCTGAGCTCTGAACATCAGTATTGCAAAGCTTGTTGCAAGTTGGACATGGCAGTTATTTTATAGTCATTTTATATTGTATTATATTATATATAACATATATATACCATTTGCTTTGTTTGTTGTTGACAACACAGCTTATCATATCATTGCCTTTTCCACAGCATATCCTCTGTCAGGACCCAGATGTTTCTTTGAATCCACCACCAAGAAATGTGTTTAATTGCAGTTTAACATAATCTGGACTAAATAAATGAATATATGCATGTAAATGTTCACTGTGGTAGATTTGCTACCATACCTCCAGCAAAAAGTCTTGTCTATGATTTCCAGTACTGAAATTAGCTTAAATACATTGTTGCCTTGAATGTAAGGCAATATCTGATTTTTGGACAACAAAATATTAACCACTAGCATAAATCAACTGCTTATAAGTAGTGTGTATTCAAAACCTGGTATCTCTTCTTTCTCTGTGCCATAGAGCTCCATTGTTAGTTTAAAACTATTAAAACCCATCATTGAGCCCCACTGTTGCACTGGCAATGTTCCTCCATCACCATCAACACACATACTGCCATTTTTCTGACTCTGTCCCATGTACACTGCACATGTGGATTTATCTGCCGCTGGAAATAGTTCCCCATCAAATGCAATAATTTCTTCTGTTTGCTCAATAAAAAACACAGAGAGCAGCTGTTTTAGGAAATCCCTCAGCCTTTTTTTAATGAAACTCTGTTTTAAAGATTTGCATAGGTTTTTCCCATTTCCAAGGTTTGCATATATGCCGCACTGATTGCAGAGAAGATCTATAAGTTTTCATGTAATGTTTTACTTTTTCCCAACAAAAAACTATTTAAAAAAATACAATGAAAAACTTTTCCAAATACCCGAATTGTTACAAAATATCTGTTTACATTTTGCTTTACATGTAATTCTATGCATAACCACATGAGGCTAACCACTAGCATCTATACCACTAGTATAGCTTATAGCTTATTATGTCGTTGCAGTGACTGTAAGTCAAGAACAGGTGTTAAATAATATAACAGCACAGTAAGTACAAATGAGCTTCACACAATCATTATTGCCAAAGCTAGGCTCAAACTTTGTCACTTATCTTAACGCCCTCCGAGTGATGTGGGCACCAAATAAACATGCTCATCAGAGGGGATCAGAAATGTTATCTTTTTTCCATGTGTAGAAGAGACCTGAATTTACACCGACATGTCCTACCCAGCTTCATAAATTACCCCGTCATTACAGTGCTGATTAATGCCGCACCAAATGAGGCTGACGACCTTCTCTGCTCGCTGGTTCAGTGTCTTTAATGGCTTCAAACAGCTGGGCCACCTGCGACTAAAGTGTATCATTATGTTATTAAAGTCCCGAACACAGGGAGCAGGGAAGTTGTCAGTACTTCTTATGTCAAGGCAGGAGGTCACTGGTCTCATTAAGGCAGTTATATACAAGCTTTTTCAATCCTTGATGTCACCTCAAAGATGAAGTGGTCAGCCCTGCACGTTAATATATCCAAATGACAACAAAGTCATTTATACCATCTATGAAGTTCTTTTATCAAAATAGCAAAAAAGCAAAATAAAAACGCAAACTCCAAGCAAGGAGATGCAGTCCTTGCATTTTAACATCTTCCCTGTCTATCTGTCTGTCCTATAGTGGAGGGGGAAAAATGGAAGAATCTACCAATTGTAGTTTTTCCAAAATTGAATTTGAAAGTTTGTCTTAATCTCAGTGTTCCTAAATTTAAAACACAGGTTAATTAGGCAGCCAAGCAAAAGGCGTCTCTGTCAGTGGCTAAGAAACCAATAGCCTGTAGATGGAAAGTTCTCCATTCTGTTAATGCAATAACAGAAAATATTTCATACAGAGAACAAGCTATCACTACTACAAAATTCTTAGTGTAGACAATCTGCTCATCGATGAGGTCCAGGGTGGGTGGGTCGTTTCAAGGATTTTGGTCTCAGTAGAGAATTGGAGACAGAACTCCACAACAAGCTACTTTAACAGACAGACACAAACCTTGAACTATTATTAGTTTATTAAAAGTTGTTAGTGTGTTAGCAAACAGCGGCCACACTGAGCAGGCACAGATCGACATGATCATTCCATCGGAGTCAGGTTTGTTTCCACCTGATGGATGTAAATCAACACATTCGCATCCCACAGGGTACCCTCCAGAGTCCATATGGAAGGCCTTTTTAACATGTGGATAACACTGTGAAATGTTAACGGTTTGGTTAGGAAAAGATCATGGTTTGGGTTGAAATAAGTATATAACATGACATAAGTCACATATGTAATGTTAAGTAACTTAAAACTTAAATAAGTCAACTCTGACAATACAGACGCTGAAGGGTACCTTGTGCATCAAATATGCCCTTGGATTAGTACTGGTTTAGCTCTGATTTGGTTTCTATTAACTTCTGAAAAAAATGTGTAGCTTTTTGGCGGCTTAATGTTCCTTCATGTTCACCAGCTAGTCTTTGACTGTGTCTGTGTGCCTTGTTTGATGAAAACTGCTTCTGCTGGAAACACTGAGACTGAAGCAAACAGAATGTGCCAAACCAAAACTAGGAGCTGAAAGAGACGAAAAAGCTTTGTAGAGCTGCAGAGCTGCTGCTAATTCTCTGCGGATTTGTCAAGACAAAGGAACACATTGCACACTCTTTTTTAGTCATTGTACTGCTGAAAATGACAACTTACACCATCCACAAGTCCACTTTCACTTAAATCACATTTGTATAACACCAAATTACAGTGCAACAATACCTGAAACTAAGACATGTTAGTATGAATTAACACGCATCCAAATAGTGAGGGCAACAGTGAACCAAACAAGTTCAACATGTCAAGCTGGTAAGCAATTAAGAAAATCTTACCTTATTGGTGGGGTGGTGGCAGTTGTGGTTTCATTGAATGAAGATTGTTAAGTTCAGACACTGTTCTGGTTGACATTAGCAGCCAATACAGAAGGTAGAAGCATTTTTAGTGGTTTTGTAGTCTTGTTTCCTAACAGAATAAACCTTCAGCGCCACTGCCCCTTCAGTTCAGACCTTATTGGCTATCAGGTGACACCTGAGCAGGAGATTATCATGGTTTAGTTCCTGTGCAGGTATTTGAGGCTTTAACGGAGGTGGGGTCCTGACAGGGGGATCCACAGAGTGGTCTTTGTCCCGCAGGGGGGTTGGATCTGTGACCCGGGGGTCAAGCTGGTCTTATCAGATCCTCCCAGGAGTTCAGATCAATGACTACCTGCAGGGAAGGGTGTTCAGTGAAGTAGAGGAGCTGTGGGTTTAATAACCAGGGGGGATGATAGTGGGGCATTGTGTTGGACAGGTGCATCTGTCGGGGAGGATGCTACAGATGTTTATGTCTAATGTTATGTTACAGATAGGAAGTGGATAGAATTACAGGATGGATGGTAAATGGACTGCACTTATATAGAGCTATAAATTGGCCGCTCATTCAGACACACACACACACACACACAGCTGGCCTGTCCATCAGGAGCAACTTAGAACACTTTGACAGACATATGGACAGGAGGAGCTGGGTCTCCTGAGCCACAGCCACCCAGAAACACCTACAGCACAGCAGCAGTGTTTTGTCCATTCCTTTACAAACCAGTTTTAATCAGAGAGCAGTATCAGACAACTGTGAGTCACTCGTATGGGACTATTACTACAAGCCAGAAAGCAGATGCAGCTCCTGGAGGAAAGGAAAGTTCTACCTGTCAGCTTGTGTACATGATGAATCTAGAAAATGGATCTAATTTTGAAAGCTGCGATGTTTAAATTCTACTCTTCAGTTACTAAATGAAAACGCCTTTAAACAACAGATATGTGGTAGTCATCTGTACAACTTTCACACCTTTTCTGAGAATGCTCATGTGACGATCTGACTGAAAAGGAGCATCAGAGAGATGGTGCAGTGGCAGCTGGGAAAATTAGCCAGATTTTATTTAAACTGACAGAAGAAAAATTGAAATCTGTTTCTTTAGAAAAAGACAATTAAATACATTTGGTCTCAAATTCCAGACTGTTTTCTGAACCTTAAAATGATCAGTTGATTTGCTGAGCTGGTTTTAAATCTGACTTTCATAAATAGTCCAGAACGTGTTTTTGCAGTTTCAGGATTCCAGATTTTGGTTCAGTTCAGAATGAGTCATACAGTACATTTATTCTTCTTGGGCCTAAAAACTAGATCACATCACTTTCATTATATTAATTTATAATTATATTGACAATATAATGTCAATATATGACAGATTTGTAAAAGTTGTACATTTGTTTGAAAATCTTGTGAACAATTTCCAAACCCATCCATTTTTGAATGTTGCAGAAGTGTCCTCAGGTGTAGTTTGTAGTTTCAGTCACTTCCTGTGCTGATAAGCAGCTCTTTGTTTCTCTCTGCTTCCACTCTGGTCACAGTTTATTGCACATCTTTGTCAGGCATCTCTGTTTCAGATCTGTGGAGGAAGGAGTGGGGTTACAACCAGACACCAGAGGCAGATTCCTCTGTCAGCTGAGGATCGCATGTGGACATCTTTAAAATACTTGAACAGCTTTTAAGTTATTTCATCCACATTTTTGTTACTTTGATTTTCAGTAAAACTTTTTAATTATGAACATGAAGTTAAACTTTTAACAACCACCTGCTGCATCTTTCTGATATTAGCTGCAACATATTTTCCTCTCTGCTGACCCAAACTGTATCAGTTACTGCTAAACTGATGTAGAAGAATTAAAAGTGATCATAAGTAAAGCCAACAGCTCTTGGCTGTCACCTTACAGTATGTGTTGTATCAATTCTGTGTCTCCAGATATATGCACCTGCAGGAAGACTCGCAAGGTGCTTGCAATGTAGCCTACTCCTGTGTGGTCAGCAGCAAAACCTTTTAGCCACCTGAAAGAAGGCCCACCGGGGGGAAAAAATCAATATCTCTTCTAGTGTTTAATATTTTCACCGCTTTATTGCTATCAAACAGCCATTACCTTGGAACTACATTTTCTCAATAGTAGAACTTCTGTATCCCTAAAATACATTTTGCTGCTGACCCTTTCCACAGCAGCGCATTACTCAGCTTCTGTGCATGTACAACTCTCTGTTTCTCCTAAATGCGGAAAGGCTGATGGCCATCTGCAGCTAATACACAGACTGTGAATAAGTACCACATTCAGCCCCACTTCAGAAAACCTGAACTATCCATTTAATATTGACACCAGCACACTCTGCTGTGCATTACACAATTCTACCAGAATCTTGAGGATGTTTTGATTTCACTGAAGCCCAAACCTGGAAGCATCTTTTCTAAAAAAGAAAAAGTGAGTTTCCATCTTTCTTTGTGTTGCTCTTTTCCACTAACTGGTCTCAACTCCTAGGTGTGAATCTGCCATTACTGTTGAACACAAGCATGTTGGGTTAAAACGAATAGTCATGATCTCTGACTGCTTTGAAGTTTGCTATTTTATGTCAATTTCAAAGCAAACCCTGACTGCTTTGAAGTTTGCTATTTTATGTCAATTTCAAAGCAAACCCTTCTAAAACTGAAAAATACACACTGAGGGCTAATTAGAGCCGGAGGGAGGACTGATGACACAATGTGAGTCCTTTCTCTGGCCTGGCGGTGGGATCAGTGCTGGATTATCAGCATATCAGCAGTGTGAGAGACAGCTCTCTCTGCGACCTCTAGAGCCCATTAGCTCCGAGGATTCATGGCTGGGAGGCTCCTGCAGAGCTGCTGCTCTAATGAGCTCTGTTACCGACTCCCAGTAACATGGCTGACACGTCCCCATCAGTACAGGTGAAGGATGAAGTGTGCTCCCCAATTATTCCTGATTCACACAGTCACAACTCCGCTTGTAGTTGACTGTGTTTTAAAAGCACCAACATGACTTGCACTAAAAAGGCACTGGACAACAAATTAGCTTGTGTGTTAAACGTTGTCAGATGCATGGATCACCTGCTCCATGAGTTTTCTGTTTTGTCTGTTAGTTTGCACAATATCTTTAAAACTGCTACATAGATTTTTTGTTATAAAATTTGGCAAAGAAGGACTGGTTTTTGTTGTGGATCTACATCCACTTACACCATTATTTGGTACCATTTATAATGCTCTTTGTAGTTACACAGAACTTCTTTGTTTTGTTTTTCAGGGTCCCTTACATTGAAAGAATAGTTTCGTAAAGTGTTGTAGTCACCGTAAGGTAAGGCAACCGGCAGAGAAAACCAGAAATTATTGCACCAGCTGTGGTAAGACTTTAATTACCACAATTAAATTCACCATTAGAATTTAAAAGGAAGAGTTTTACATTTTGTGAAATATGCTTATTACCATACGTCCTCTTTTTCCCGAACATGACCTCTTTTTATGATTATTGACAAGTTAGTCTACTTATACTAGTTACTCCTCCAGGTGGATAAAGCCTCTGCGGTACACATTGCCACAGTGCCACTACACACTTGAATCCCCCATCCCCAACCTTTCACCCACTGCGGGTGTCCGTCTGCCTCCTCCACTGTGCTCTATTTTGAAAACCAAAGTATGGTCCCCCTAGCTTATTTGATTTCTTACTGAGAGTTAGAATCAATAGCACTCTTGTGTCTCTGCTGGGTGTCCGGCAACCTACTTAATAATAATAGTAGTACTTACACTATGTTATTGTACAAGCTACAATTATCTTTCTCACAATTTTGTGTTATGTTTGTTTTAATAATGTCTTATAATTAATGTTGTGGACACAAATAAATCTATGGATATAGGAGTTCCTAATAAACTGAAAACTGTACAGTGTATAGATACAATATCTGAGTTGAGGTCTGGGCAGCAGTGATGCACTGTTTTAGCACTTGTTGGCTTTTTACCAAGCAGCAACATCAGGGGCTGAAAAATTAAGCCAACTCTTCACTGGCTCTTCAGAAACCTGTGGGAATACGTCCATGTTTTATTCGTCTATGGATTTTACAGGGGATTGTCTCTGAGGCTAAAGCCCAAGGCTCTGAGGGAGCTCAATGATGTGGAAGGTTTCATTTAAAATGGAGACTCCAGTGTAAGTAGAGCCTGGCAGGTGTTGAGAATTTGCTCTGAGACTCGCTAATTTCGTCACCTTGGCTGATATTGATAGGTCGTACTTTTCTCTAAAGTCCACTTACTTCTTGAGAAGGAAACTCTCCTGACCCGCCGACACACTTCAGACGTGTGTTTTTCATACCACACGTGGCTGTCGTCACAGTATCTGTAACACAAGAAGATTTCGGACCATCACAGTAATACAGAACTGTGTTTCAACATCAGCTTATCATAGATTCACAAAAAGCATCTTTCAAAATTGGGTTGTTTAACAGCAGTTAAATTACTAAATTGCAATGTGTAGTGTAAAGGAGAAGTTACGCTGAAGCAGTCATTTGAATTCTAATGAAACACAATTTTATTTTTTATTTTTTTACAAATCAAATAATGAATTCTTACTGAGTGAAGTTGGGAGCTGCTTTAACATGTAATTAGCAGATTACAAGCAACTAAGATGTATGTGTGTAAATATTTATTGTCTATTATCTATTGCACCAGATGCTTCCAGGTTTTGTAGAAAAATATGTTTATATTCCTCCAAGTGAGGTATGAAAGAAAAGCATCACTTTGGGTCAGTGCCAACATTTGAGATCCATCCCTTCAGGTTTGCTTCGTTAAGTTTATTGGGAATTATTAATACTGTCTGAGAATTGTCTGTCCATTTCCTCCCTCAGTTCCACCATGTGTAGTTTTTTAGTTTTTTTCAATTCTGTTTTCTAACTCTGACATTACAGCACAATTAAATCCCTGGTCTGCAGCAGTATCATCCTAATGTCGAAAGTGCAATTTGCTGGTGTGAAAAACCTTTTCATGCGTGTCTTGTGGCTCAAGGGTCTGCAGAGGCACTGCGAGAAGAACTTGCAGAGCTCGAGGACGCATGGCTGCAGCTTGTGAGCGCTGACGGTGGTCGTACTGCTGGAGATCGAGACGTCGGTCAGCTCCGGCCTTCTCCAAGGACAACCTCTCAACAGACAGAGTGAGAGGTCACGTTAGTCACAAACCAGCTCTGAACAGCTCTGTTTAAAACCTCGGCTCTTAAAAACTGATCCCAGTTCACAACTTGCTTAATTACTTTGCTTTTGTTTGCCGGAACAAAGTCATTAAGAAGTTAATTACAAAGATAAAATATGATCACACAGGTAGGTTTGAACACAAAATAATAAAACAAAGACATCATAATTAACCTCTGAAAGCCCACAGTGGTGATTTGAAAATTTACAGAATAAATCACTCACATCCTTTAAATTATCTCATTGTATTCATTTAACATAATGTCATTTCAGTACTTAGATTCCCATTACAGGAGTCATTATAATCATAATTAATGCATTTCAGGTACACAGGCTCCTAATTTCCATAAAAATACATATTCAAATGTGTATTTTAATTAGATACTTCTCTACTTTTCCAAATTATGCAGTTATTTGCTCATTTTGCATTCCATATCAGGGTGATATCAAGAGCAGGAAGCTTTCCCTTTCCACAATTCATTAGTGTCAGCACGTGTTTTACCTTGTTAAACCTTAAAAGACTTTCCGATTTAGCATTACTCCTATAATAATGATTTACGACGGAGAGTTTAAAAAACCAAAGCTGTCGTCTTTTAGTCCACACATTCTTCTTCCTTGTAAAAATGATGTAGTACTCTTGTGGCTGAAGGGTTCTTGAGTTGTTCAGACCTACAATGAACGCAGATTTTTAAATAGATGGTGAATCAGACTTGATGATGAAAATGTGATGCTGTGATGGATCACATCAGTCCAAGCTGCAGCATCCAGTCAGTTACTGACATCTAATAAGGGGGTGTATCGGCCAGTAAAAGACTTCTGTGAAGGCTGTTCTTGTGTCTCCTGGCTTATGGCTCATCCTCAGAGCAGAAATAAGAGCTTTAGGAAGACGGACCAGATCGACTTCTGGTTCAAGCGAAGAGCGAATTCATCCCAAGTTGGCATGGACCAATCTGATAGTGGTGCTGAATAAAAAGTCAGGGAATCACCAAAGACTATGAATGTCTAAACAGAATTTCATGACAGTTCTACTGATGGTTGAGATATTTCAGTCTGGAAGTGGGAAACTGATCAACCTAGTGAGTGAAGCAGCTGAGCTTCACAAGGCAAAGCTGCATGATAAGCATGACTGTTTTTTATATGCATTTAATTTAAAGGATGACTTGTGCTCTACAACAAGTTCAGAAAGCTAATCTGCTTCTATTTACCAAGTGGTGTTATCCAATATGAGCTTTATATAGCCTATACATTGTCATATAGTATACTTTTGCTTATACTATTATTTGTAGACACTTTATTAAATTTTCATTGCACTTGTCATACTTGAGATAAATTCACATGTGCATTGTTTGTCAGGGCAGGGGAGGCTTCATCAGGAAATCACCTTGTAAACCATCGAAACACAAAAAGCAAAAAAAACCTCGACATGAAATGATCCACAGCTGCTCAGAGCTGACACAGATCAGCTGCTTATGGCACAACGGACCAAAGCTCCTTATCACTGGTGTGTGTGTGTGTCACACATTGCTGTGCAAAGACGTGCAGACACGTGCAGCTGAGCAACAAATGCTCATTTTCCTGCACACTAATGACTCCATGACAAATTTGGCAGGATGCTCAGGCCGTCTGTTTGTTGCTAGGCAGAACTCAGCGGGGGAGCAGCTGCTGTCTCTACAGTGAGGTGTTACTGCCATCTAGCCGTGCTGCTGGGAAATGTGGGGACATTTAAATGTAGTGTATCCTAGTGTTTACCGGTGACTGGTTAATGTGAATATTCACTGTCTGTACAACTTTAAAATTTAAAAATTTGGATGAGAATAAGGGTCTAATAAATTGTGATTTATCCTCTCTATGGTGCAAGGTGACATGTTATTAAAGATACTTTGCTTGCTGTATTTAGTTTTTTATACCAGACAGGTCATAGCAGACAAAATGTGAAAGACATACTGCCGCCACAACAACAGCAACATGGATACACAGGCTAACACATCTAATCCAAACATGAATATGCATCAGGAACCCACCTTGCAACTAAAATAAAGTTTTGTCATCTCTATTATTAATAAATAAAAGTCTGAACCTAAGTGATGCATCTCAAGGAAGGACCAATAAAGAAAGAAAGAAAATCATCATTTGCACTGATGAATTTTTTTTTTTAAAGATGTTATTGTTCATTTTCTGTTACATGTGTTGGGTTTGCAAAATTGTGTTGGAAATACTGTTTGTTGTTTTAACTTTAACATCATCCCTTGGAAAATACAATTAGAATGTAAATGTCCAGTACCACAATCATATGATTTCTTGTCACATGAGAAATTTCTGACAATCACAAGTTTTTCATGTGATTAATTCATTTTTTTAAATAGTACAAAACTTAACTGCAACACATAAATATATCTATATATGTATTATTAATTAACTTTTACGTGTTAACTCAATTGGACTTGGGGTACAAAGAATGAGTTACCCATTTTGTATAGCGTTTTTATTTAATTTATCATTACTAATAATGAATTAATGTTTCTAAATACCTTAGGTATTCTTAATTTTAAGTGTTTAAGTGTTAGATCTTTTAAGAATCATTTGACCCTCTTTGATTGCGAATCCCACAGCTTGTACAGTTGTTTTAGTATCCTTTGTCCCCTCTTTTCCCTCCGGACAGGCTCACTACCCATGCCAGACAGATAAACGCTGAATATTTTGCCTTAATTTGCTTTTAACCTTTGCAGCTTGAAACCATTAAAGCTTTCACATAAAGGGGGCTTCGCCTGCGTTACCATAGTTACTATCTTAGCCTCCTACATGACTCTCTCTCCTGCTCTAACCCACACACACACACACACACACACAGACACACCTTTCCCTGAGCTAAAATTGAATCAGTAGCTGTTGGTGTGTCCAGAAATGACAGCGAATGGATCTGATGTAATTATAGCTTTTTTCTGAGAGCAGGTCAACAGTCAGAGTCAAACTGTTCCTGCACAGCAGCTCACAGGCTTTTCACAAAAACAGCTCCAGTCATTTGTCATGATTACTTAAACCTGCATTTGTTGCATTCAAGTGGCATTTTTAAATCTATGGATTCCAACGTCATTTATCACTATTGTGCTTTCTTATCAATGGAGAACAGGACACATGACCGTGACATCCTCACCAATAAAACAACAGAACAGGTTCTTGAGGAATATACATCATCAGCGACATCATACATCAGGAAATATGTTGATGATGTGGTGACCACTAAGATGATAAAATCATTCCCCAATTAGAAGGCCTGGATGAATAGAGAGGTGAGGGCTCTATCCAGAGCCAAAAAAGCTGCTTTTTAGTCGATGATAAAGAAGTTTACAGCAGCGCCAGAGCGAGACTGAAAGCTGGCATCAAGGAGGCAAAGCGGAGACATCAGAAGAGACTGGAGAGAGACCTCAACACCAACAACAAAGATATGTGGCAGGCCATCAAAAACATCACAGGCTACAAAAGCAGGAGCTCCCCCATCATGTGTGAGGCCACATTACCAGATGAACTTAACACTTTTTATGCTCACTTTGATCTCCTCAACAAGGAATCAGCTGTAAAGTCTACTCCACTGACCGCCATTGTCAGTATCCACAGCAGATGTGAGGAGGGTCTTGCTGAGAGAGAATATGAGTAAAATCAACTGGGCCTGATAACATTCCTGGCCGTGTACTAAAAACCTGAGCCAATCAGCTAGTTGATTATTACTGACATTTTCAACATCTCACTGTCTCAGGAGAGGGTTCCCACCTGCTTCAAGACAGTCACCATCGTTCCTGTACCTAAAAAGTCTGCAGTGTCTAGTCTGAACGACTACCGCCCTGTGGCTCTCACCCCCATTCTGATGAAGTGCTTTGAGAAACTGGTTCTTCAGCACATAAAAAACAACATTCCAGCCAGCCTGGACCCTCACCAGTTATTTTTCAGATCAGAATAGAGTAGAAAATCCTGACTGGAAACATCACTAACATGGGATGTGCATGGCCCAGGACCGGAGGGCTCTGCAGCGGGTGAAACTGCTCAGAAGATCATTGGTACCCATCTCCCGAGCATCAGTGATATCGGTGAGGTGAGGTGTCTACGCAGAGCCCAAAGGATACTAAAGGACAGTACCCACCCAGCCACAGCCTGTTCACCCTGCTGCCTTCTGGGAAGAGATATAGAGGTTTCTGCTGCCGCACCACCAGACTGCAGAGCAGCTTTTCCCCCCAAGCTATCAGACTATTAAACTCTAGTTCATCCTCAGCACTGCTCCACTGATGATAGTTTATTTCTGTTTACCATTTTTCATAATTGACTCTTATTGACTTTATTACTGTATATTGTCTGCTATGTAGCAGAAGGGAGTTACAAAACTAAATTTCACTATCTAATTTATTAAATTGTGGCAATAAACCTACCTACATATCTTATGTCAAACATTTAAAATTACCTCTGTTTATGTTTTCCTGACAAGTAACCTTTTTTATTCGTATGAATGTCTATGAAGCGTGACGTTGTTATAGCACCATAAAACCTCATAGTGGATAGGTAGGTGTGGGGGGAGGTGGTTGGGGATGGAAGGTATCTGGCTTTAACAGAAACCGTGGCTCATTTGTCGTCTCATTCCAACACTGATTTCTTTTAACCATTGAATGTCATCTTCCTCTAACCTGAACCAAGTAGCTTTAGTTGCTTAACCTTATGCAAACCTAACCTATAGGGTTTGTAAATCAGAAAACTGGCAAGAATCATCTAAGACAGAACTGACCCAATTGGCAATGAGGCAGGGGGAACACCTCCCTGCCCATCCATGTGCATACTTGGAAAGCCCGAGGCAGAGAGCAGCTGTAAAGAACCGTCCGTACAGAGCAGGCATATGGCGAATTACATGATTAATCAGATACTAGATGGGCACTGAGACACGGTGTTAAACGGGCCTGGCTCTGAAGACCATGGTATCAGGCTGTAGCTGCTGCTCTGTGTCGCCTCTGCACACGAACACACACATGCGGATGCACACGCACACACATCGGCCAGCGCAGAGATAGGCCACGATGGAGATGGTGAAGTGATGCTAACTCTAAACTACTCGAGTTGACGAGAGCGACGTGCAATAAAACCTCACAAGTAAAACACAGCACTTTATCCATACATCCGTTTATCAAGCGTAGAGGGTGTCATTTAATCTGCTCTGTCCACAGTCTCTCATCCTCAACGTAATAAAAGCACACCGCCCTAAAACTAGCTTGGCAATTAGCTAAATGCACAATGAGCTAAATTGAAAGCTGTCGGTAGTCTAACTGTTCAGCTTAGATTGCCATGTAGCTTCAAATTGGCACATTTCACTTGCAGTGAATCACAGCAGAGAGAGAGGGAAGAGGACAGGAGAAAGGACAGATGCCATATTGCAAAAGAACCGTCTTCTTCTGAAACAGTGAAAACATCTCAACCTTGCCAACATGTCTGTTTGTCTCTAGCTGCATGCGCTGCGTCTGTGTGGCTCGATCCACCCGCAACAACATGACGCCCAGAGTGTGACAACAACAGCGACGCATGTTAGCATTGTTTGATTCTTATCAGCTAAATTCTCATTTAGTTCAGTTTATGAGCTGTTTGCAAAGGAAGTAGCAAGGGCAAGCAGGTTATAGCAGCTTAAATAAATAATTGTATGGAATTTTCCAATGAATGCTAAGAGAGGAATCAGCTGAGCTGTCAGCTGATGTGGCCTGCTTAAGATGGCTGCTATCAGCTGATGTGCTAGGATTGTGAACTGAGCTTGACTTTGTTGCCTGCCCAAACTAACGCTATGCTTGATTTAGCACATCCAGTGGAAGCATTACAAAAGTGGAAAAATCAGCTCTTCAGCAGCGACATTTAATTTAATTTCAATTTTCTGTAAATATAGACATGCACCAGGGCTCCAGACTAACAGTATATTCTAACCTTCTTTCATTTCCCATTCACATTGATAGTAAATGATGTAAATGATTGTAAAGAGGAACACCTACAGGTAATTGTTTGTCTTTATTTGAATCACAGCACAAAGGAAAACTTTTAACATTTAACATTATTGTTAAACAAAACTTAAAAAGTGCTGATGTTTAAAGTGCTTGACAAACTTGACTCCCCCCTTTCACATACAGCACCCTCCCAAAGGATGTAAATACAAATTGCGGCATCCCAGACCGCAAGAACTGATTGGTCGGCTTGGTAGCATTGCATTTCCTCCAAGCTTCCAGGAAGTGTACAGTGCTTTGAAGCCAGTTTTACTAGTGGCCAAACAATTCAATTAAATTCTATTCAGTTTTATTTATATAATGCCAATTCACAACAACAGGTATCTTTTGATCGGCTCTGATCTTCTTCGACCCAGTGATTAAAGACTAAAAGATCCATGTGTGGACTATCAGCATCTACACCACAGCGGTATGTGGGGAAAAAAGCCTTTTAGTATCTTTGGTGAACATACCCTTTAATTCACAAAAAGCAGACACCTATACTGCCAGTTTACTCTGTATATGCAACACCACATCACAGACCGGGACATCTCACCACCTACTGAACAATACTAATTAAATAATATTGATCTGATAGATATTCATGTGAACCGAGAAATCTTTACCTGGTTTTTCTGTTACCACAGGCTTGCTAGTTGTTGTAGTTTTCCTGCTAAGAGGCCCTGTAGTCCTTGCAGCCACCGTAGGTCCTGCTGTGGGACGGACAGGTGAAAGTCTCGTTGGATGAACAGTGGGAGTCGTGTCCTGGATTGTTGTACTTGACTGGTGTGTAGCTGTGGTTGGAGCTGCGACTGTTGCAGTGGTGACTGGTTGCGCTGGCATGACTGCTTTCATCTGTGCTGTCGTTCCGGCTTGTGTTATTACTTTTTGTGTCGTCGCCATTTGTGTCGTCCTCATTGTTGTCTCCTGTCTGCCCACTGTAGTTTGACTTTGTGGCATAATGGTCATGGGTTGTTGACCTGTTGCCCGTGGTTGGGAAGTGGTGAGCTGCGCTGTTGTAGCAGCTGTTTCATCCATTGTTGTTGATGAAACTAATGAACCAAACATAGTTAAGTACAAAGGATTTTGCTTTCCTGTCTGCAATAATGTGTAATCATTTGCGACAAATTTAGTAACTTTTCAAGCGTTGAAACAAAAAGTTGAATATTTAATAAATAAATCTTTGGGTTTTTGACTGTTTACAATTGAAGTCACCATACTGAAAGTGATTATTAACAATTTTGTACAACACGTCCTTATGCCTAAACAACTAAATAGGTCGACAGTCAAGTGTCCCAAAACGACAAGTAGGCTACAAGCACTGGCAAGTACCAGACCTCAAGTATGTTACATAAGTCACGTGGCCTATATCACATGACGTTTAACACATGGTAAACATTGTGAAAAATTATCAATACAATAATAAAAGGAAAATTAATTCACATTTAACATGGGTTTAAATGGAGCACTTCTTACAAGGATATTAAAGTCTTCCCTGTAATTACTACCAAATTACATTGTTAATTTTCAAGGAAACTCTGAAATTAATATAAAACTATTACGCATTTACAGACACATAAAATCAAATTTGTGCAGTTAGTAAATTTAGTCTTTATAGATTTTTTATGGGTTTTCTGTCTTGTTTACATTTTAGTTAATTTTCTCAGGATCAGGAAATTTTTCTTGAAAACACAATTGTAAGAAGACTGGAAGATTTAGGAAAACTGCAGATAACAAGTTTCTCTCACCATTGTCAACTTTAATATGGGACAGTCCAAAAACACACTATCTAAAGGGACCTTAACACTTCTTACTGTATGATGGTGACAGTCATTGTTGTTTTAATTTTAAATGCCCAGAAAACCAAATTCATGACTGTCACTCTCACATCTTACAGAATCTTGGCCCTGATCATGCTAAAGAGGGCAGCCATTGTAAGGGCAGCATGTTATAAGTATCTCGGTATGTGGATGGATGATAAGTTAGCTTTCAGTGTACACATAGATAAGCTTTTAAAGAAACTCAGGCCAAAATAAGGTTTTTATTTTCATAACAAGTTCCCTTCTGAAGCTAGAACGAAACTTTTTACCTGTGATTGACTATGGGGCTCTGCTAGGAAAACTAGATTCTGCCGATGCAGCGTTGCACTTTATCACAAATGCCAGATTATCCACCCATCATTGTAGTTTATACAAAATGGTGGAATTGCCTTCTCTAGTTACACCGAGATGGTTTCATTTGTATGTTTTTATTTACAGGGCAATCCGGTGCAAATTACCCTTTAGCTTTGTAGCCTCCTTAACTTTGTGGTCAGTAGTTACCAAACATGGTCCAGCAGACTACTGCTTTTAAATGTCCCCAGGGTTAATTCTGAGTTAGGAAATACTGCCTTTTCATAATGTGCACCCACAACATGGAAGTCCTTACAAAAGATTCTCCAGTTAGACGTGCTGGCACCTCTTAGGGAGTTCAAGTCCCTGGTTGCAGATATCCATAAGGAGGACTGTAGATGTTTCCCATAGGCTAGATTGTAACGTAATGTAAAGAATGTAGCTGATATTTTAATGTATTGTATTGTCAATGTAATGTTTAAATGCTTTTTTTTGATGCCTTTCTAGGCCAGGTCTCCCTTGAAAAAGAGATTATATCTTAATGGTTAAATAAATGTTAAATAAATAAATACATTTCCCATAACAAGACATTATGTGTAACACATATTATGTCTAATTTCCTATAATATACTACTAATACACCAGGATCATTTTCCTCTTTTTCCTGTACTTATAAAAGTGATTCTGGATAATATTAGACACCAATTCCCTGTCTGCAGGTGTCTGATTTACCAGAATGAGTCCGAGCCTAAATAAAGAGAACCAAACACTAACACTGGCCCCCTGTAGAGACTCACCATGTGCAGTAGAATGGACCCTGCTGGTTAACATGGAGCTCATCCCAGATGGAGAGATGTGACTCAGATTTGTGGGAGGTTGGTGCCATTCTGAGGTTTAAAATAGACAATTAAAAACAAGAATGAAATTTAGTGTCCTGAAGATGACAACAGATGCTTGAATGAGCTTTTTTCTTTTAAAAAGGTGCTGAGTTACTCACCAGCAGGGAGTCTGATGGAGGAAATGTTACCTACTTGAAAAGGAAGAAGACAGGTTCAGTAAAAGGCAACACAGTAGGGAGTGTACACCTTGGAAAAAGAAGGCTTACATCTCAAATTAAATTCTCCGAAGCAGGGTCTTGTTGCACTATCAATTTGTATGTTTGTATGTAAGTTTGTATGGCTGCTTATGCTAGCTAGCTTAACCTAACAAACATTTTTGGTCATTTAGTCTACTGTGGCTTAATGTTTTGTTATTTATTTAATCAAATTTAATTTCTAGTTTACGTCCACATAAAAAAGAAATAGCTAAACAAGACGGCCAAATGTGTCGCACACATGATTGTTTTTTTTTACTTTCCCCTCCAAACAGGTAATTTTTTAGCAACCTAACGTTAGCTTTGTCAGTTGGCTGTGTTTGCTTCGTAACAGTTACCCCTGGCAGGTACTAAGTGTAACTGTTTAACTAATCTATATGTAAGAACTAGTTTAAATAAATCTCCACTTATGTTATACCTAGACTAAGTTTGAACTTACAAAGAACTGGTGCTAAGGAGTCCCATAAAGAATGGATGTTTTAACCTCACATGTTCTTGTTAGAAGTTAGACATGGTCAAAAAGAAAAGTTTTTAAGTCTTACAGATTTCTAAAGGCTAAATCTTCTCACAATTTTTTTTTGCAATGGACACTTGGTAATTCTGGCAGAAATATTGTTTTGAACCCCTGCTAACATTGTGGCCAAAAAACCAGGCCAACACCAGCGGGTCTTCACTTGTGCCAGCATTGCTTCCAAATTGTGTCAACTTTCTTAGACTTTAACCCAGAGCCCGAGCGGCCCTTCCACCTCTTTCTGCCACGCTGAGGTAATTGTATCTCTAAAGTCTTGTTTTTCTTCACGATAAAAGTACCCATAAGGTCTTGTCTTTATGCTACATGTGTAGTAAACAGACCTTGAACCCAGAGTCACCAAACGCATGGACTGCTTTCTAGTTGTGTTCTCAGTTAGCCTGTCTTACAGTTTTTTTCGATTGCTAAACGACAGTCAACTGGAGCTACATGTGCAAAACTCTAACTACAGTCTGCACAGCAGCAGTTCATGTGGACCAAACTCTAGTTCGTTTTTCATTGCTTGAACACAGTTTTCAAAACTCTACACACTTATCCCATGACCTTAACCACAACCTGCACAACACTGTGGATTTACAGCACTTTGTTCAAATGCTAACACACTGCTGTCAAAACTGTGAACCACACATTCAAAACATAATAGATTTCAGCCTTGTGCCTTTCAAACACTGCTGACTGCAATTTCAGCTGAAAGGCTAAGCAGGTGTCTTGTTTTGGACTTGTTAGTGAACACACACACACACACACACACACACATATATATATATATATATATATATATATATATATATATTGTTGTCCAGATATTCTTTGGAGCGAGCAATTAAAGCTGCTAAACGAGCCTATGGAGCTAAGATAGAGGGACATTTCATGGAGGCGGACCCACGATGTATGTGGCAAGGGTTAAATTCTATCATCGCTTAGAAACCTAAAGGAGGACTCATTACTAATGATGACCTATCCTTGCCAAACAAATTAAACGAGTTTTATTGTCGTTTTGAAATTGGAAATGTTGAACCTGTTGTTTTTCCTGCCTGTAACGAGCAGAGTTTTACCATCATTCAGGAAGACGTTCAGAGGATTTTGTCCAGGACGAAGGTCAAGAAGGCACCTGGACCGGACTGTATTCCTCCTCGTGTCCTTAAACTGTGCTCCGAGCAACTTAGTCCTGTTCTGACTGATCTTTTCAACTTGTCACTTGCGAGGTGCACTGTTCCAGTTAGCTTTAAAAGATCAATCATAATTCCAGTGCCAAAGAAGACACCTGTGACGAGTCTGAATGACTATCGGCCAGTGGCCCTCACATCTGTCCTGATGAAAACCTTTGAGCGGTTGGTGTTGGACTTTATTAAAGATCAAATCCCTGTGTCTGTGGACCCACTACAATTTGCATATAGGAAAAACAGAAGTGTCGAAGACGCCATTTCTTTTGCTTTGAACTCTGTCTAGATGTACATAAATCATATGCTAGAATGCTATTTATAGACTACAGTTCGGCTTTTAATTCAATGGTCCCAACAAAGCTCTCTCATAAATTGAAATATCTTGGACTCGATGATGCCATTTGTAAATGTATTTTTAATATTCTCACTTGTCGACCACAAAGGGTCAAAATGAATGGTTGTATTTCAGATGAGTTGTATGTTAGCGTTGGTTCACCGCAGGGGTGTATCTTGAGCCCCCTATTGTTCACATTGTATACTCATGACCTTGAAGCATCCAATGCTAATAATGTGATAATCAAAAATGCCGATGACACAACTATCATTGGGCTGATTAGTTCAAACGATAAATCTCATTATCGCGAGGAGGTGGAGAATGTTGTTCAATGGAGCAAGGAAAATAACTTGCTTTTGAACACTTCAAAAACATGTGAACTTGTTATTGATTTTTGTCACAATAGGAACCATGTGCCTCTTACTATCCATGACTCCGATGTGCAGATTACTGAGAAATGTGAATTTTTAGGTGTGACCCTTTCGCATGATTTGAACTGGAGCTCTAATACGACTAAAATTGCTAAGAAAGCGAGACAGTGCCTCTTCTTTTTACGTAGGCTTCGAGAGTTCACTCAAAACACTAAGATTCTTTTGAACTTTTACTATTGTGTAATTGAGAGTGTCCTGACTAGTTGTATTACTGTATGGTTTGGTAATCTCACCTTGAAAGAGAAGAAGGCTTTGAACAAAGTGGTTCGCTCAGCCAGCAGGATCATTGGCTGTACTTTGCCGCTCCTGGAGGTTACATATAAAGCTAGACTTTTGAATTGAGCTTTAAAACTTGCTAATGATGCATTAGGCCGTCCTGCAGGGGCCTTCTTTGAGATGCTTCCCTCAGGGAGAAGGTATCGCTCTGTCAAATGTTCTACCGATCGCCATTTCAACAGTTTTTTCCCCAAGCTGTGATCACTTTAAACAAAGCACCTTAAATTAGGCATTTTATATCTTATGGATGGATTTTATTGAATAGTGTTTTATTACTGAGTTTTTTGTGGCAATTGCTTGCCTGTTTTATATTATGTCTCTTATGTTTTTTATGTGGTGACATTGCACTTTGAGCTTCTTGCATATTCTTTTCCAATGTGGTTTTATACTGCAAATGGCTAATAAAATGAATCTGAATCTGAATCTGATATATAGGTAGAGCTCAGAAAGACTAATTTTGGAAATGGAACAAGGAAGACGGGTTTGTGGAGGGAGACAAAGAAGACAAAGAGCTGTTATTTCAGATGAAAAAAGGGCTACACTTATAGACCATGTCGTGAACCATGGTCTCTCATTGACAGAGGCAGGATTAGCCCTCAATTATTTGTTCGAATTACAGTATGTACTTTTAGTTTCTACCTTTTTTTCTCATTACTGTAATTCTGTAAATTACTACAGACTATTGAAGCAAACTGCTAATTTTCATTTACCTTAAGGAATTGTTATGTTCTAAAAATTTTAATAAATCATATGAAAGAATGTCACTCTTTTCTTTGAAGAAAATATTACTTTGTATGAAGTCACTGAAATTGTTCAAACTGTAAAGACGAAAAGTTTGTATTTTAGTATTGGTGTTTGATGCTAGTGTTTTTACTCTCAGTGTGTTCTGAGGGACAGTATGTGTTATCTCAGTGAGGGTTGGGCATAGTGTTTGGCTGCACTGAGCCTGTTTTGAGAAATGTGTTAAGAGTTGTGTTGCTTGGAATGAGTTTTGCAGGTGATGTGAACTGTTTAGCTCAGGTGACTGTTGGTAGTGCAGACTGTAGTTAGAGTTTTGCACATGTAGCTCCAGTTGTGCTCACTGTCATTTAGCAATCGAAAAAAACTGTAAGATAGCAGTGACCCTCCATCTCCAATATTCTGATCCTACAAAACTATATAGATCAGTGTTTTCCTACATACTGTATTTTCATTTTAAAAAGTTAGCAGTGTTGAGGCATTTTCTGGTTCGGTTGGTTTCCATTAATGTAGCATCCTTTAAATTTTAAGAAAAGACCTGTATATAAACACTGAGTGTCAAATAAAGCAGAAATTCAGCTTCTATTCTGAAGTGATGCTGCCACCTGGTGGTTTTGTTTCAGTGAATGACAAAACCAACACTTAAGTTTTTGTTGTAAACGAACCTCTATGTGGTCCTTCAACGATGGTCTGGTTGAAGAGCGGAGTGATGGAGTTGACCTCCCACAGCTCTGGCACTTCTCTGCCTGGACAAAACACACACACATGACATTCACACACCCAAACGTGTTAAGACTGTTTCTTGGTTCCTGAAATCGCATACTGGTTTTTAACAGGATGTATAATAGCTGTAAGCATTGTTGCACCTTTGTAAAGTTGTCAGTCTGTTCCATTTTGGATCAAAGTTTAATTTACCTCATTAACCTCTGAGTTTAATAGATCCTTATTCTAATATCTCTAATATGTCATTAGCAAATAGTAAATATTTTATTAACAATGTGACAAAACGTGAGGTAGGTCTTTTAATGACATCTTTCAATTTTAGTTCTAAAACTTTTATTATAATTTTGGTTTTGGTTTTGTTACTAAAACTATCTCTAAATGCAAACAGGCAATATTCAGATTCAATGAAATGCTATCAAACCATCTGCTGCTGCAGATTGTTCTATGCCAAGCTGGCTATGTGTTTTCCTCCTGCTTTTTGTCCCTTCCCCTCCCCTGTATTTTCACCTGCGTCCTTTCCAGGGCTGAGTTCAATCTCAAAACGTTTTGCATCGGTTTGCAATGTTTTCGGATTGAACGCCATGTTTCCTTGCAACGTTGTGCAAGGTTCCGCAACGGGCTTCAAGGTATGTTTTCTTCTGTTTGGTGGGTGTGTCATAGGTGTACCCAATCAGCTGCCATAATTTTATGAACACACCTGTGAAAAAAGGCAGGAAAATGCAGTGCGCTCGTGTACACAACAGGATGTTGCCACGTTTTGTCGGCGCTGAACTTGCCCCAGGTGATAACAGGGTGATTAGCTTGCAGTCTGGCCTTGCTGCTCATTGGCCGAACTGAACTGGCCAATCATCATGCCAAGCCAGCAATAAAAGAAGCCTTCCAGAAGAGGTCACGCTCTCTTACCCTGTAAGTGTGATTATGCAACCTCTTTGTGTGTTGGCACAGGTGGTAAAATTATAGAAAGAAAGGTATATGATAGGAGGTTGGCGTTACGTTTGGGGTACCCTGTACATTTTTCACTCACACAGTTTATTTCTGTCTAGAAACACTAGGTTTATTGGTTGGTGCCACATCTGCAAGTTTTAAGTTCTCTTTATAGATGTATTTCATCTAGAGCCTTTGGTTATATGTTGGTTTCAATAGTGGTAGCTTAGTTAGGCCTGGTTTTGGTGTATTATTTTTACCTTGTTTTATTTGGCACACAAAAAGAATGATTCGGGTAAATTCTGTTTAGATAAAATCCAGACAATGCTGATCATTTTACAGACATTTCAATATCAGTCCAAATATGGACCAAACGTAATCACAAGTATCCCTTCAAGTCCTGCATTTAAACCCCAGTGAAAAGTAAACTCAAACTTTTTGAATTTAAATCAGATTTATAAGCAACCACCAGCAATTCTACAGCTTCCAAATGTGAATTATTCATCTTAACTTCCTTTTTGTCTGTTATGTTTGTCTGTTGTCTGTTTAATCACTGAAGCACATTATAGCATCTCTACTGGGTGTCTGCAATGTCAGTGTCTCTACAGTGTCAGTTTTGTGGAATAAACTGACCTCAATTTAAAAATATAACTCATATCATTTGTATGTAAACCTCCAACAGTGTTGATGAAACTGTACAATAAATCTGTTTTAAATAGATCCAGGGAGCTCTACTTACCCGTCTTACCTGCCATCACGCAGATGTAAATACAGTCTGAGTTGTTCCTCTGGCTTACTTAGAAACAAAAGCACAAAACGCTGTAAGTATATTACATTATAAAAACCGGCCTGTCAACTACAAATGGAAACGCATTAGAGATATGATCATTTAACATCCACCAACCCGATAATATAGAGGCCGATTTAAAGAGCTCATGTAGGTAACTTGTTGAGTTTCCCATCACATCCAACAGTATGGCCGTAAAGTCTGATGAAAAATCAAGTGAAAAAGGAGCTGAAAGAAAAAGTACTAAGTACTCAGAATTAGATCAAATATAATTAAGTTTGCTTACCTGTTAGATCGTTGGTCTCATTTGTCACACAGTAGCAGAATCTTCTCCTGAACATGTTGCTTTCAAAACTTCTGATGCTGGAAACTACAAAACACACAACACAGTTACAATCAGAATTCATGTCCTGGTAAATACTGATTTTAAATTAATATATCTAAACTTTAAGGAGTTTATGATGATGTATAAAATATGTTAGTGTCAGCAGGTGTCTTCCTGAAATGTATTCTGTGTCTTAAATGTTGTTTTTACTGTTTTCAATTCAGTAATACACCATTAACTTTACCCATTGATTAAATGTTTTGTAAAACCCAATTCAGACATTTACCGTACATACATACACGTTTAAGAAGTTTGATCACCCAGTGATTCCATTATCTCACTCCACTGACCTCAAATAAAGCATTTATTTCAAAGCAAGCATTTTGAAACCTGTATTAAATGTTGCACAGCTCATTCAGGGTCAACCCCTTCAGAAAGCCTCATCTCTAAATGGAAAATTGCAGTGTTTCAAAATGTTTATGACTGTCATGTTAATCCACAGTCATGCTGTGATCATATGTACACCATTTAAAACCAGCACTAATAAAGTCCAAATATATGTGGTCCTAAATGCTGATAAAAAGGATTAAATACGGTATAGTTTATTACACTGCCACTAGAAGGCACTACTGTCAAAGTTATATTTATTATAAAAATGGATCATGCAGTGCTGACTGATCTTAGTACACTGCCTCCAACAGCATATCCAGAGATCCAATACAATACAATCCAATGCCATTTAGTATGGCACATTTGTTGATTTTACTCTTGTTACTAAGCAGCTTCAGAGGAGAAGGAAGTTGTGAGGAGTTCATATTTACTGTTGTAGACCAACAGGGTGAGTTTATGGAGAGCCAGAGAGCTGTAGGACGTCACACTCAGGAGAGAGAAGAGCTGACGGGAGCCTGGAAGACAAGAAGAGACATAGGATGAAGATTATGATGTATCTGCAGGAAAGTATATTTAAATCACAAATATGTTTGGTTAAATCTTGTGATTCAGTACTAAAACACTGAATACAAATGACTAGAATAGAATTTGACTGGGCTGCACCAGGTTCATCATACTGAGTCTAGAGTTTTCCATTGCCTGTGTCTCCAAGTGCTTGCTCATGGTGGGAATTGTTGGGTGTCTGTTAATAATATTTAAGAGTATGGTCTAGACCTGCTTTATATGAAATGTGCAATGAGATAACTTCTATTATCAATTGCCGTTATATAAATACAATTGAACTGAATCATGAGAAAGATTTAGAAGCAGTACAGAAAAGAAAATCTGTACTGAGAGAACATCAGGTCACATTTCTGTGCTTAAATCTAAGTGTTTAGCATATTTGTGGCAAAGTGCTGTGAGATAAAGACACATTTACATTTCATAAAAATGATTTTAAAGGTTGAATGTGAAGATGTACACTATGGTTTGAATTTAGTAAACAATGTCTGTTAGAACTGCTTCATATTCTTTCTTCAAATAGTTTCGTCCGACCAGTTCACGACCCAAAACAGACAAAACACTAATTAGAGTTTTTAAACAGGCTTTGCAATGATTCAAAACATAATTTCATCTTTTAAAAAATGTCCCCCAAATGTCACCTCAAAGGCAGACAAGATTGTGGTACACCAGTTTTTTTTTTTTAAAAGGTCAGTTCACCCAAATCTCCCCAAATCCACATTTGACCTCTGTAGAAGAAAATAAAGCAAACAGATTGGAGCTGAGGATTAATACAATGAAAGATTTACAGCTCAGAATTGATCTCCACATGAATGATATTATTACAACATACCCGATTGGCTTGTATTTATTAAAGTATTGACCAGCGGAGTGAGGTCGATGGCAGCTGGATCAATGAGATCTGCTGGGATTTCTGGGAAATACAAGCAGAAGTCAAAGTCAATAGGACCCATTCTGGTTTTAATCTCTATTATGGAATTAGCTGCATCAGCAAAATGTGCCTGTATAACTGCAAGACACACTAAAATGACAAAAAGTAGCAACTGTCCAGATGAATTAGTCCATGTGGCGGCAGTTATTTGAATAATATGAGGTCAGTGAAGGGGTTAGTCTCATTTATTGAGCTGATAGTTTTGATGGCTTTTATCCCTGGTTCCATCCTCTTTTTAGCTTTATTTCTTTCACCAAGGATGTCCAGTTTTCCATCACTAGTTTATCAGCTGTTGGATTTATAATGACATTTGGTTTTGTAATGAAGGTTTAGAAATGATTTGTTAACGTTGAGATATCGCATTTATTTCTCATTAACTATTGTACTATTGTAAAAATATGTTGCACTAATTCCATAATAATCATTCTGAGTAGTTTGATGCATATCCAAATCAGGATGAAGATGATCAAATTTGATAATATATTATATATAATATCTTTGAATATATATTTGAATATTCTCTTTTATTAAATTCACACATTTTGAGGATTGTGCAGCCTCGGTGGAGGTATGTTATCATTATTTCTCAAAGTATGTTATCAGTTTTACTCTTCATAATGCTGTATCAAAGACTTGAAGACCCTGACAAGAATAAAATTCAGGGTTAGATGCCATCTAATGATGTTTTATTCTGGCATGAAACAATGTGTTAATATTACTGTTCTTCAGAGACACAGTCATTTAGCTTATATCATAAGCTGTATGCAATTTCATAGTTAGGTCACTGATAATTTACAATTAATGTCTCACACCATTAATAAAGAAAAAGCAAATTAATAGAATGATACAACAATAAGCTGTAGTTCAGAGAATTGTTAGTCAATATGTGATTTATCAGGCTTTTAAAAGGACATGTGACTTTTCAACATATGTCCATGAACCTCACAGATTGTTAGTTTTAATTTAGTGTGTTGGGATGTGAATTGTTTTGTGGACTAATGTCCCCCTTTTCCTTTGACTTAGCGACGAAGTCTGAAATAAGTAACAACGCAAAAACCTGCCAACAAACAAGCAGAACAAGGATGACAAAATGAGTTAACCTGTGGAGTCCAGGATATCTCTTTTGTGCTTCTCTTCCTGCCGTCTTTCTTTGAACGCTGTCGGGATATGAAACAGAAATTAGAATAAAAAAATAAATTTTTGCTTGCTTTGTAGAAACTCTTTTGCTATATCAATGTCTTTTCTTTGTTTTTCGTAAAGCACTTTGTAACATTGTTTTGTAAAGTGGTATACAAATAAATGTTATTATTAATAATATACTGCTTTATCTAAACTATGAGTTAAAGAGCGAAGACTTCCAACACTGAACAATCCCTCAACACTGCAGCTGTTACAACACAAGAAGCTGCATGTAACTTAACGGAAACTGTCCTGCAGGAAAACCTTCAAACTTTTTAACTGAATTCAATTTCAGTGAAATCCTCCATGCATGTTAACAATGAGGACAAAATATCACAATACAACATTTACAAGTAACAAATGCAGATTTTTCAAACTTGTTGCATTTATACAATAAGACAAATGGAAATTCATAAAGTTGTGAAGGAAAACCAAACATGTTATACAGAACTACCTTGGCCGAGGAGGATGAAGAGTAAAATGGAAGTTACACAGATTATAAAACAGAGGCGTGGATGCTGCGTGGCTCTCTGTAAGCCTGCCATGGCCCAGCTGAAGCACCGCTGGAATGACAAAGGACATAAACTTGGATCAACCTTTCTCCTGTTTAAGCCAAACTGTTTGAGATCGGCAGCTTCTCCCTATATCCCCGATGTCTCAGGTAAACTTTGTGTGGAGTCAAATGGCTTCAAAAGGGAAGTGAATTGCGTGAAAGTGTGAAAAGCATTTCCTGGGCCCTACACAATGATGTCAATACGCTGTGTCTATACCACTGAAATCAGTGAACCCTGTACTGCCTGGGGGTCTGCAGAGTGTAAGGCTTCACACTGTTGGAAATAGAGCACAACCCTGGACTTGTCAAAGAATAAAAAAATTTATTGGTCAGAATTATGACTTACATGAAAAATAACTACATATACTGACAGTCCATGAGGTTTCAGGGAGGGAAATAGGATATGTGACTGAATTGTTAAATTACATCATTTCCAAATTCCACAGTGTCAGTGGGGGCCTTGTTGATGAGGCCAGCTGCAGACGAAAAGAAACTGTTCTTGTTGTGTGAGGTTTTGGTCCTGATGGACTGCAGCTTCCTACTGGAGGTCTGAAACAGTTTTTGTCCATTCAACCATCTTCACTAGGAGAACTATCAACATTTCATTGAAAAAACTAATTTGACATCCCATAAAATATATTTTTGCAGGATGTCAATGATGACACATGCAACTGAACTCAGAACTGAAGAAGCCCCTGGTAGAAAATGATAGGTATCTTCTACCAGGTCCAGCTGCCCGCTGCCCTTGACTTTAACCCACCTTGGATAACTATGACCTGGATGACTGAGAATCTTCACAGTTATAGTCATGGAAGTCAGACAAACAAATAAACTCAAGCAATCCATACTAAGTATTGAGAGAAAATTACTGGTGATGTCTTAATATTAATGTTTTAAGTATTCAAATGACTAATTTGATGAAATAAAACAGATGTATCAAATGCAAAAATGTACTAATGAGTTTGAGATTAAGAGCAAAATGAAAGTGACACACGTTTTCTGATATTATTGAGTCCACTGTTGTCACCAACTCTTTTGTTCAAGGCTAAAATGCTATTAGTAGTTCAAACTGTCAAATAATTATATTATTTTTAAACCAGCTACTGAAAGAGATCCAACAAACACAACTCACCAGCTCCTTGAATCCTCCTGTAAACTGTGCAGCTCCGATGATCCCCCAGCAGCATCAAACCTCACCCTTTGTATCACACACACCTACGGTCAGATAAGGATTAAACGATGCCTGCCCCCCCCCCCTCCTAACAGCAGAGGTTGGCAGCTTACTGAGCTCTGCACAAAAAAACAACATAACACGGTATCTGGCTGCAGGCTGGGCACTGATCCCTAACCCTCTCCGCTGCAAAAAATATCCAACTTAAAGTCAGACTCAAATTCATCACTCACTCACCTACATTCATTCTTTCCTAGTGTTCTTTGTGGCAACAATTGTTTCTCAATACAAATTATTATGACTTGAATTTCAAGTGGTAATATCACTTGTCAATCAAACAGTATGGGCTGTACCATGGCATCTTCTTCCTGAGTGTTTAAAGAACAAATGCATTATCTGTAAGTCAATAGCCATATTTCAGTGTCTAGTTAGGACCTGCTTCACTCTGAAATATACGACGCTGAACAGACTATTCCAAAGAGACTAAAGTTACTTTACAACACAGTTTCAGATAGGTGAAAAACCTTTATTCTATTTGTGAAAAGCATTTTGTGTGGACATGGAACTGGCAGTTTGTACTTTTTCCACTCTTACTTGGTGAAGGAATTTATCTTTGTACTCACAGGGTTTTGTGAACCTGCTATGTTGTGCTGTGTTTACTCATCTCTGTTTGGTCCCTTGTTTCAGGAAGCTGCTGTCCAATCAACAGCTTCTATCCAATCAACCGTGTGAGTGACATCAGACCAAAGAAAAACATCCTGCCCACCATCTCCTACCATCTCCCAAACAGTAATGAGCACAGTGCCTCCTCACCCCAGTCAGTGTGTCCTTTGACTTTCTTTTATTTTCACGATTAAATTTAAAGTGTCTTTATCCGTCCCCTTTATGTCGCTTCTCAGCTGATGTGGTTACAACCTTACAGTGTTATGCTGTCACCACTGTATTGTTATTTGAAGTTTTTTGCTATTCCTTTTCAGCATCTTCACTCTTGTGTCTGTGTCTGTTTTTTTTTTACAAAGCCCCCAAAGTCCTAATATATATATATAAAAAAAATATGATCAAAAGCTCTAGCTCTAGCTAACAGTTACTAGAACTGCTTTTAAAATGCACCCTGAAGTGAAATTGTTTAGCTTAGCATTAGCTACATGACAAAGGACAAAAAAGTAGTGTCCACATTTTAATTTAAAAATGAGAAAAAAACTAATTATTAATTTGCTTTTTATCCAAAGCAACTTACAATTGCTATACATGTCAGAGTTCACACACCTCTGGAGCAACGAGGGATTAAGTGTCAGTGCTCAGGGACACAATGGTGGATGGGTCACAGTGGGGGATTGAACCCAGGTCTCTCACACCAAAGGCGTGAGTCTTACCCATTGTGGTCCAACAGAGGCATCAAGGCAATGATAATTATCAACAAATTCAGATGCAATGGATTACGTCACCAATTCTGACCCACATTTCTGCACTTTCTTCAAAGCTTTTAAATGCTATATTGATAAATACTACTTTGATAAAACATGAGCTATTTGTGGTTGTTGAACTATTGTATTGTTATTGTTTCAGAGTGGTGAGTTATTAATCTGTAACAAAAGTATCTTTCATCCATAAAAATCACAGGAACAACTTTATGTCCACTGACTGCCTGGAGGGTAGCTAGTGTTTGGAAGGGAGAGGAGAGGTGTGTGCTGCAGCTCAGTGTTTTTCCACCGCTGTTTCTGAAGGCGTGTTGGACTAGCCGCTTGGCGACTGTTTTATGAGGTGCATTTAGCTTTCATCCCTGTGACGTCACAGGGATGATAGGGAAGCGGCTGGACTACAAACGAGCTGTTATCAAGCAGTTCAGAGCAGAGTCCTCTTTGGGAGATGGGAACTCCCTTTGGGCTGGACTTTGGGCTTTTTCACTTTGCAAACCTATTACATGCACAAAACAGGTCATGGGTAACTCAATAAAGGAGAGGGAAAAGGCCAAAAAGCATAATATGACATCTTTAACATTTACTAAATAATGCAGTTTGATTTACTTGGACACATGTCACTTCACTGCTGTGGCAAAGCTTTTCATTTATTTTAGGAAAGAATTTTAGGCAGTGTTACCTGTTGAGAAGGACATTTTTTGCAGTGTGGGTAAATGTCCGTAATAAGCCGCTGGAGTGACATATGAGCCGTGGGGAAGATCAGTGAATAAGAGGAGTGAATGCGAGTCTTTAACAACGGGGGATTGGTGGGCACTTCGGTCGCCTTGGCATTCACATTCAGACACATTCAGGCACACAGCAGTAATTGGCAGAGGAGGAAACAGGGCTGCTGAGGGCCTGGGAACAGCTGCCCCAGGGAAAAGACACACAGACATGTTGCTAATAATTATAACAAGAATGAAATAAATAAATTAACTGAGGAGTGAATAAAGAACTGGCACATATACGCTGTGTCTGTGTTCCCTCTGTGGGCCTTCCTTCCCATACTGATCAAGCTGGACTCGCATGATTTCTGCTGTGTAAAAAACCCTGTGAAAATGCAGAACCAACATTAAAGCAGAAGACTTAGACCAACATTAGACCAGAAGACCACTAGCTGCTGCAGATTTGGGATATGTTGACTTCTTTCAGTTCAAACTAATTAAAATCAAATAAGGATTAAAAGTGTGAAAAGTGTGTGAAATACCAATCAGTTCAGATTTTGTTTATAATGATGGTACCACTTTAGAGTAAAGCTCATGGCGTCTACAGTTACAAGACAGTTCATCTCATATTCATATCACTCACCTTTATACACAGCCACTCACAATTTTCAATTCAGTACTTTATTAATAACTGGTGCAATTGAAAAGACAAAAAATAAAAAATAAATCAAGTAAGAATACATTTGCATATTATATCATCAAAACAAAATATTCAAAGTGGTCTAATACAGAATAGAAATGGCAAGTTTTTTTAAAAACTGGAATGAAAAATGATGCACAGCTCTGAAGGCCACTAGTGTAAAGTTGTCCAAACTTCCCTTAAAAGAAACCTAAGAACATCTAAAAACTGTTTCTGACCCAAAAAAGCTGCTGTCAGTTAACTCGCACAAAGCTGTCTGTAATATCCTGAGCTCTGGGTTACACAGACATTTTCTTTTGTTGTTTCTCAAAGCATAACAGCTGCATTTACACAAGAACAACAGATATGAGTTTGAACAGGGGGCCATACAGGGGACAGTTATTTAGCTAGCTTTCATAGCATCGAGCCAGTTTAAGTCACTGTCTGTTTTCAGTTTACAGTTTTTTGGCACAGCTTCCTACAGTAAAGAGAGATAAAGTGAAACTGGAACGGGTTATGTTCCAAAAGAAAGAAAACCTCAGTGAAATTTGTGATATTACAACATTACCTTACTCAGCAGCATGTGATTTGGTTAAATCCAATTGTCTAGACAGGGAGGAAACATTTTCCTATTTTAATTTCTGTTAAGCTGCGTTCACACTGCCGGCCTCAATACTCAATTCAAGTTATTGCCCAGATCTGATTTTTTTGATTGACAGTTAAATCATTTTATAAATGTGGCCCAAATCAGACTCCAGTGTAAACTGGTCGCGGCCCGAAAGTGACCTGCATGCACAAAAGAATTATATGATGTTGCACACAGCTCACAATAATAATACAGAAGTAAACAGAAGTAAACATGGAGCCCACAGAGGTTAGAGCAAACTTTCCAACCCTCACGATTTTTTTTCTGTTTTTCATTGCCCTCTCCAAGGTTCCTCCCGCTCACAATTCTCCCGACAAATGAAAAATGTTCATAACTTTCTGTCCTTTTCATTGCATTCATTATAGTTTCTGGCGCTGTACAGCACCTATAAGCCTTACAACTCTCTCTCTCAGCCCAGACAAGTAGCATGCAAGAAGAGAACTCGTGATTCGGTGGATTTTGGGTGGAAGAAAGGGAATTTGTGAGCCAATCATAACGAGGACGAGGAGAAAAGGAGCTTTTCGTGGAGCTTCCCCTTCACTGCGGCCCCATCTAGTGCAGAACTGGGATGACCACATATGCCCCAAATCTGAGCTGGAAAAGATCAGATTCCATGTGACTTAGGCTGTTAGCACAAAATCAGATCTGAGTCACATATGAGAAGATAAAATCCAATTTAAGTCACTTTGGCCTGCAGTCTGAACACAGCCTAACACAGCTAGCCTTTTCATGTTATCAATCAACATTTTCCACACAGACAGACAGCATGTTTTGTCTAAAGCCGAGTTCTCCTGTGGATCTCTATGGCACCAGCTGTGTTTGCGTTACAACCAAAGCCTGTGAGGCCTTTCTAATGAAGATCTTTTTAAGGTATTACTACATTTCTGGAAATATAATGCTTTGTCATCTGAGTCAGATGAGAATTTGGACATCAGTTTCATCTCTGTGTGTGCAGTCCAGAGTTAGGTCTACGACGTATTTAACCTAGCTTAGCACTAAGACTGAATGCTAGGGGAAACTGCTAGCCTAGCTCCTTCAAAAGAGAGAAAACACACATTACAAAAATAGTTTGAAAAGGTGTTATAAAATGTAAACATTTGTTTTTTTTTGTCTGAGTAAATGCAGCCTTCTACATAGATGTTACCAACAGCTTTGTGTTGCATTTTGACAGCCCTAGCGAGAAAAGCATGACCAAAACAATAAAAATAAAAATTACATTGAAAAGAACTGTACTGTAAAAGGCCAAGGCACAAATAATTCGTAGCAATTAAAATGTTCATAAAATTACATGTTATGTAGAATGTGTCAGTCAGTGCATTGCTTGGTATGCAGTTACAGTGAGTACAATAATACTTAACAGAACAATCACAGCTAGCAGTATTGCCCTCTTGACTACATGGATGCCATAAAGTGCTCCTTTTCATTCAGAATCAATGCACATACATAAATGACATAGGTGTGATGGTCAAAATGCTTGTTTTAAGTACATGCTTCATGTGTAGTAAGGATCAGATTATGGCTTTGAAAGACAGGAAGGATTTTGATTTAATCCATCAAGAGAAATATGAATTTTACAAAACAGTACCGACATGTGATACTGTATGTAGAAGTAACATAAGTGTGTACTTAGTGTTTTATAAATTATTTTCCCTGCTAACTAAACAACTGCTGCATTTTTTAGCTTCTTGTGTGTTGTTTCTACATTCAGAATAGAGACTGCAATGATAAAAAAGTGCGAATGACTGCTACAACTCTAAACCAGTGTGTCCTCCGTGTTCATTCACCAGAGTCACCACTGTAAGAACAACCTCTGCTGATAGAGATGATATGAAATTAACTAAATATTGTAATTTTGTTAAACTGTCCTTGTTTGAATTGACCTGTGCCAGAGATTAAAGATACACTCCCTGATTTTAATGTAGTGCCCGAAAACTGTGCCAGACATATCATTGAAACTCAATGCAATTTAAACTTTAAATAGATAACAATCGGGGATTAGGGGCCCTTGGGTGCTACAACCCAATCAGGAGTGTGCTCCTGAAAAAAGTACCCTACAATAAGTATTAAAGAAAAGGTGTTGTACAATAACCATGACAAGACCAAACTATTGACCTAATTATCAAAGAATATTACACAAAGAAGGAGAGGAAACAACAATGGGGACAATAGTGTCTGTCAATCCCAAAAATAGAAATAATCTTTCTGTCTCCATTTATAACTAATACAGCACCACCTCCTATAGTTCAAACCAAAGAACATCACCAGTGCATGTATCATAAGAGCAGATTCTGACTTTTTGTGAAATAAAAACAGCAAATTGCTGTTTGTCAAAATGAACAGTTAAAAGTTTTTTTTTCTCAGTTAAACAAGACTATATTATGTGCTATTGATGTCTGGGGAGGTCAAACAAGAATGCAGGTCTGAAGGGTCAATCATGTTTGAACAGTTTCTCTGTTGTATCTGTCTTTATACTGATTTTCCTTACACACTGATTACTCACATCGCCTGTAAATGGCAAACTAAAGTCGGTACTAGTTGGAACTGGAGCCGTTGAAGTTATCACATGGGCATTATTCTACAGGAGATGTTTGAGTTACTCTTCATCCAGTTCAGTGAGTTTTGACATCTCACTCACTTAACAAAGCAACTGACTGAGAAAAATAAGACAAAGCTATGAGTACAGTAATTAAGGAGCAGGACAGTAAATGTTTTAATCCTCTAGCGACCAAATCAGCTGATCAAAATTCCCAAAAGATCTGGGAAACAAGGCAAAGTGGACAGATCGCTCTACAGCCAGCCTTGTTTACATTGGACGTAAGTGAAGTTGCACAATTGTGCTTAAACAAGTGACTCTCTGTCACGGTCTGAACTTTTACCAGTTTACCAGTTTAACTTTAGGCTGCAGTGGAGAGGTTTGATTTAAAGACATTATTGGAGGAAATCTTCAAAAGTAGAATTGGGAGTAACATGTGGCCACTCGTAGCGCAAAGCCTTAACAATAAAATAATACAGTATAAACACCGGGAATATTTCCCATAACACACAAAATGTCATTCAATTCACAAAAACCATGTGGACAGGAACTTCTATTAAATTAGCATGAGTATTACACTGTAAAAAGTAATGCTAGCAATTCCATTTAAAATATTGTCTGCACTCATCCCACACTTGTCTTAACAAGTCACTGGGTCTCACATATAGTTTTAAAGCAAGAAAGAATTAAGTACCAACGAGGTGAGGAATGTTTTGTAAATTTAGTTTACCTTGTGGGGGGAAAAAAGAGTGTCAGTGTCTTGCAAGAAAAGGGAGATTACCTCGCTTATAGGTATAAAATAACATTTTTTAAATTGATGATTTTCATTGGAAACAGAAATAATCTCATATAGCTGGCAGATTTTGTTTATTGATTTTAAGGAAATAAAGTACATGAAATTATTATGTGGTTTTACACAAAATGACTTGTTAAAGTGGAGACGCAGTGTGTGTCGTATACTTATTGTGCTGTTGTTCTGTGTAAATTAATGATCAATGGCAACACACAGTTTTTACTTTTATTCGTGACAAGAACTTCAGGTTTATGTGTTTTAGTTATTACATAAATAATCAAAAACATATTTCACTTTAATTTGTTTGCTAGCATTGCTTTTTCCCCAGTGGGTTTTTGTCTTGGAAGACAATTTTTTCACAAAATAAATGGTAATTTTAACAGTAATTTGCCATGTATAAATATAACAATGTTGTTATATAGTTAAAACTGATTTAGAATTTAGAAAGGAAGCAATATTTTTTGAATGGAAGCAACAGTTTTCTGTGAATGTGCAACAAAAACACTTGTGTTAAATGAATTTGAAGAGACGTTAAATTCCACTGTGAATGGACACAACAGTTAAACTTTAAGTTGATATAAAAATAAATAAATAAATAAACGATTGTGAAACATTACAACCTTTACATTTCTGGGCAGCTGAAATCATGTTGAGTTTGAATTCTGTAAACGAGCCAAAAGCATCACAAAGCTACAAAATAGCATTTTACAAAAGCAAGATTGCACTGTGTGCTAGTTTAAACAAAAAGACAAAGTACTACAGAAGGAAACCAAGTTCACATTCATAAATCCTGTGTGTGTTAGGTGTGTGGTGAGATGAAGTGGCACTGAAACACTAAATACAGAATGACGATGTGGAGTCATTCTGAATGATGTTTCTTGCTTCAGAGGCACGATGAATGAACGTCTACAGGGATATATCGTCATGTTATCTTAGCTTCATATCTATATGTGGTGACAATTTGTGTCTGCATTACCAGATAATTTATTAATTAACCATATAATATATAATTTAATGGGCTTCATAGCAGAAGATAAGTAATAGTAACTGTAATACGATAAGATAAATAGATAATAATAAGTGTTTGGTTCACCTTGCTCATTTCACAGACTGTAGCTGCCTCCACACCGGGCTTCAATCTGAGCCGCAAACAAGGTTGGAGTGCTTGTTTAAACCTGCTTGAGGCACCATTTTAACCACTGTTTTAGATAAGTCCTCAAGGTCTGTTATACTGCAACTAACTGTGACCAAATGGTGGCTTTAAATGACTATAAACATTTTTACAATTTACAAACAATTTTAAAACGTTTGAACAAATCTTTTTCACTAAATCTGTTTTGACCAGGATGCTGAAATCTCTGAACGTGCAGCATGACAGGGTTCCAAAAGTTTATACAGTGAACAACCTGCATGTGACTCTTGTGACTTTTGTTTCAAGCTATGATTTGCTTATTTGAAAAAGACTTGTTGACTGGTTTGTACTTGTCACTGCGGTTTGTTAAATAGTCATTAAATGGCAGTCCAGTTGTTGTTGGCTGAATAACAATTTACCGTTGCAAACCCTTGGCTTTAACGTAAACAAACTAAATACACTGTTCAGTAGGCTTGATTGCACTCTCAGGAGGTTGCCGTAAACCATTTGACCTTCCTGTTGAAGCCCGATGTGGACGCCCCTCTATAACATTCACTTGAGTCTGAAGGTGCTTTAACATGCTATAACTGTGTAATAATCCATGTGTTTAAATATAGGTTGTCAAATATTACATTCAGTATGTGTGTCGTCCTAAATCTAAAGTAGTAAATGCTGTTTAGGCCTTTATGTGATCTCCTGTAAAGCTCTCTTTATGCTCAGGCTCGTATTGTTTCTTCAATAGAAAAGTCTGTACCTTTGAACCGACATCAGGAACCTCAGCCTCTGCAGCCAGTCACTCACTAGTATTTCTACATGTTCCGTCAGTCTTTCCAATATGTGGTGTTGTTGCTTACAGCGTGTGAGTTTGTGTTCATAACTGGACATTCGAGTGGCTCTCAGTGCACCAGCGAACTATACAGTAATTTGTGTTTGTTGAAAAGAAATTCAGACAACAAAAAGCACATGCTTTGGTCATCTGATACTGATACTTAGCAGAGTTGAGCTGTGGCAAGTGTTACATCCAATCACTGGCTCATGGACACAAGTATCTCAGATGAGTGATTTGTGGGTAAATGGTCTATTGTATTCCCCACTTCATCAGGACTTTAATAGTCCTAAATAATCATCTGGAGTGATTTAGGAATTCTGTCTCTCTCTTTTGAGCATACAATATCCCGTATAATCTTCCAGTGCAAATATTTTAATTTGAGTGTCAACATCATGACACAACGTTGTGGCATTTGTACGAAGCACATGTCCAGGCGATCAAGACTGAAATAGAAAAAAGCAGCTCAGTGCATTGTTGAAAAACATCAGATCAGTGACAAAAATAATAAGTACTCTTTAAGCTGCAGAATGTGAATGCAGCCTTAGAGCGTACATGTTTACGTTTTCATGTACTATAGTGAATTTATTGTATCTTTGCAGTAGAAAACCTTCAAAAGTTTAATGAAGATAGTGTTTTATCATTTGTTCTTGTATTTATGAACCTCTTAACATTTGCAACCAACTTTCGAGGAGACTGATGAGTTTTTTATTCATGACGTCTTTATCGGCAGTAAGAATGTTTAAATCACTACAATTCCAGTTGTTATGGGCCAAGTTTGAACTTTATATTCAAATGCAGAATGTTTTTGTGGTTGTATAATTCTATTCAGGTGCCAGGTGGTGGAGTTTGGCACATTGAACACAGTAATATGTGTAAGGAAAAAATATTTAGTAGAGGTGGGACCGAGTCATTCTTTTGCAACTCACAAGTAAGTCTCAAGTCCAGGTCAAGTCCCAAGTCCTAAACTTTGAGTTTCGAGTTCCACTCATAAGTGTCCACTCATGAGTAATATATTAAATTTGCACAAATCATGAAATTGAATTTTTATTTTATTTATTTGTTAAAACAAGTTTGTTAAACAAAGTGCGTCTCATCCACGGGCGTCATATTTGGATGCTTGGTTTTTGCACAGGTAGGGCTCCGCAATCAAATATGCAACATCCAGTTAGACTTTCTGTCACGATCCTGCCTGTCTGCCTGGTCTTAGTTATTTATCTCTCCCTTTGGTTGTTTTTTTTGTCAGTCTGTTCTGTAATCCTGTGGCCTGTACTAGGAAGCGGGGTAACTGGCTTATCCAGGTAACTTCAGGAGTAACTTTGTGACGTCGGGTGTAACTTCCTGATTAACCCGTACTACAAAAGGTGGATAGGCGTTAACCGAGGTCTGTTGCCATGGCAATTTATGCTGCATCATTAAACTGTTCCGAGCAGGCTCTGTTCGTGGTTATCTCGAGGTTACCCTGTGTATGCGGACTTCACACAACATCTATACTTAGTCTTAATGATGAGAAGTAGACTATTAATACATACAACTTGATAAAATATTTTAGGATTTAGATTTCATCCTGACTTGTCCTCCACTGCCAGTGCAGCTGAAATGAAGTTATTCTTAACACAACAGCATTAGGCTATGTTCATTCAGCAAACCCTGCAGCCTGTGTGATTTTAGAGAGGAGACCTAATTAATTAACAGCACAGTTTCTCAGATGTAGCCCATCTTAATATAGATATATAGATAGAGTTTTCACATAGCCTATTTAGAGTGACTATTTTACGTGACAAAAAAATACGGAGCCAGGGAGGGGGTTTATAAACCGCGAAAAAAATCCTTCATGAAAGTGGCAAATTTTTTAGAACAAAACTCGGAAATTCCCTGAAATTAAAGTCACAAAAAAATCTAAATAACTCGGCCAATCCACGGCAAAGTCTCTAAGGTGGATGATAATATAGTGATTGTGGACTAAACTCACAATTATATTTCCTCACTGCTAAATCCGATTTGAAGTCTATTCTAACTTTCCAGTGCACGGCACGGCAGATGTGTGTGTGTGATGTTGCAGCTTTGCAAAGCGAAACTTTAACTTTAACTATAGGCTAATGTCAAAGAATATTCAAGTTTTTCACTTGTAGATTAATCTTGGAAATTCATTTCTGTCTTGGATTTTTTATTACAGCGGACCTTATGTGCAGTTGTACCTTTACATCTTAATCATATTACACATAAAAGAAGAGTTCATAAAATAGCCTACATAATAGAGAATTACACTACAGTAAGAACACTGTGAAGATAAACAAATTTACTCAATGCAATGCCAACAAGCCTCCCTGGCTTTGTTGGCTGCCACAATATTAGATTTAGCTGTTAACATGTCTTTAAACTCCTCATATCCTGACACAATCAACGTGCATTCGTCAGGGGAAAATACGGAGCATGTGCTGTTGCGACAAAACTCTGCCTGCTCGGCCGAACACGCCCCTTTTATGCAAACACGCACAAACTCCAATTTAGTTAACACCGACTTAACTAACCAACATCTTATTCACCATCGTAGTACCGTTTAACACTAGTGTAGGCAGTGAGAGTTTGTCAACCCTGAGTTTGCTTGATAACCCTGAGTTAACTCTAAATAGGTTGAAGTCCCTTCGTAGTACAGGCCACTGGTCCTGGTCCTGCCCTGCTCTGCTCCTTACTTTGTGCTTAAATGTTTGCAGGTATCTTCAGTCTGTGTCCGGCCGTCTTCTAATGTTGAGTGTTTCTGCCTGTTCAGTGTCTCTGGACAATCTGCTCTTTTTCATTTGGATTACCAGCCCTGTTTTGCTTCTGTTGGACTTATTGCTTATCACGAAAGGTTGTATCGTGAGCTTCTGAAGCTGTGTTTAATAAATCTGGTGAACTGTAGCTGAACTTGTCCTTGTCCAGTATTTGGGTCCTTAACCTGCTAAACTACACACACTTAGCCAATCCTGACACTTTCAAATTAAAACTACAGGTTAATGTTGTGAAATGTCGCAATTTGGTTAGGTTTAGGAAAAGATCATAGTTTGGGTTATAATAACTACTTTACTTACGTGAGTTAAATTATGTAAGTTAAGTAACATGATTAAAAAGAATCAGTGTTGAGTTTTTGTTGCACACAGGAAACACCGGTCTCCTGAGTGAAAGTCTGGTTTGTGACCCATCCATCCACCACAACCACCTCCTTCCTCTGACTTTATTTATAGTATACATTCTTCAAGCGTTGAACAGTTACGCTAATTTTCCAGCCACATGTTTTTGAACATTGCAATTTGTTTTTTGTCAAACAAACTGGCACTGATTAAAATAATGTTACTCCTTCATGGCTCTGTCCTGTGACTTGATCGGATGCTGTTGGATTGGTTAAAACAAAGTGGATCTGGGGAAATTTGTGTGTTAACATTAGTTGATTCAGAAAATGAAGGAAAATGAAGTGACACACTTTTTAAATACCATACTTGTGAATCTTTGAGCTTGGGGGAAAGTATGAAGTAGTTTCAACTGGAGAGGCCCAAGTCAAAGTGAAGTCACGAGTCGTTGGTGTTAAAGTCGCAGTCAAGTTGCAAATCTCAGGTCTCAAGTCATCAAATTTGTCACTCAAGTCTGACTCGAGTCCAAGTCATGTGACTCAAGTCCATACCTTATAATTAGAATAAAAAATATTAAAAATGTTTATGTAAGTACTAGTGTTAGGAATCTTAGCTTGCTTTGCTAATCTAAATAATCGTCAGGTCTTGTCCTTTTGAAGCAGTGATAAACTGAACTGTCAGCAGTCAAGATGCTCAACGACCTTAAATTAAAGACAGACAGGTGATTTATATCCCTGAATTCATGTGCCAACAAAGCAGCCGAGATTTAGTGTTTCAAATTCTGTCAACAGTTTTCATTTTTTCAACTGGAAAGTTTGTATGCATAAAGTGGTGACATACAACTCAAGAGCACAGTGGTGTGAAACAAAGTGACAGGATCAGAAATTCTGGTTTCTGGACAGAACAGATCCTCAAAGAATTTATAGCACAACGTGAGAAAAGCAGAAATGGTGAAACACGACTGCCAGCAACTAACCAGTGTTTGGTTACCCAAGTCCCTCTTTCTTGGATTCACAGTCTCTCACACACACTCACACAGAAACGCACTCACCGAACAACAAACAAAACAGAGACAGGAGACTTTTGGTTCCAGTATCACTCTCCAACCATCACCCCTAGAATGGTGCATTATCATGCAAACCATGCAAAAAACAATGAAAATGTATTCATATAAAAAATAAGTGTTACAAAATGGCATAGCAAGTATATGTATCCATTCAATCGCCTTTTCCGTTTCCTGATATCCTGAACTTCGCAGTGTCTACACTAAAAATCGCATGCGTTACATGCAGTGCGGTTGGCTTTGCAGCGATAAAGCTTTTGGGTGTATATAGTAAGTATATCAATGTTCTTTTTTATCTTAGCTAAATTTTTGCGAAGAGTGCGCTGTACAGAGTTTTACTTTACAAACTGTTTGTTTCCCTTTTTTGGGGGGGCAGTCTCGTTGCCATGGCTCTCTGTCTGGACGGCAGTCAGTTGATGAGATCAGCGATGGCCTCTGAAGGTCGGTGGCCTCTGAAGGTCAATGACCTCACTAACGACCTTGCAGCATCAAGACAGATTAGACCCACCTTTCCTCCATATGGTTTAGTCCAGAGGTGTGGCCTTGACCCAAACTGATTTGGGTTTAGAGGCATGGGTTAGATTTAAGGTCTGAACTCAGAGTTGTAGATTTCTGTGTGGTCACACGAACACCTCTCAGGGTGGCGTGTTCCACACAGTGTCCCCAAATCCCTCCCCCGTGGAGGAGAGCGGCAGGGGCCCCCCGCTAGGTGTAAAGGGGTCTGTGTCTGTGTCTGTCTCCCCCTCCGCCAAGTAGCTCGGTCTGGGTTTCATCCAGCTGGCGTCCCCGGTCACCACCCCGGCCCCCATTGACAAGTCCTCCCCTTCCTCCCCCTCCCGCTCCCCAGAGATGCTGAACCCGCTGGGTGAGCGCTCAAGCTCCTCGTGGTTCACCGATAGCATGGAAAGTGGCGAGTCTCCCCCCCGCCCCCTTGTGGTCCTGCCCAGCCCTGCTGACAAGTCCTGCAGGGAGCTGATGGGCAACACTGTGGGACGCTCGGTATAGGTGGGGATGGCAGGTGGAGCGTAGCGTTGATGGGGGTGTGATTTTGGGGGTTGATGGTCTGAAGGTACGCGGCTTCCACCAGCCAACATGGTCCCCTCTCCACCTCCTCGTTCTCTGCCATAATACGGATTCACCTTGCTGACAGGCACCTGGTACGACATGTGGGGGAACGCCTCTGCGTAGTTGAAAAAAACCCGACGGATCTCACCATTGCCCGTAGGGTCACACGTCTCAAGGGTCATGTGGGCAGCGCCGGCAGAGTCCACCTGCAGGTGCTCAGTGTGCTGGATGTGCATGTCCACCAGGAAGTCCAACTTCTTCTCCATGTCCTCCACCTGAGACAAACACATTACAACATTACATCAGCAACACAGACTGATGATGAACTGTTTCTATTAAAAGCATTTGCTGCAGGGGTTAGGTTAACTGAGAACTTCTAGTGAGGTAACAAGTTACACAGTTAAATTTATTCTTACGAAGATGAGAACATTTATTTTACTTTCGCAAGCTTGATGATGTAGATGTGTATTGTGAAGCACAACTGATACTGTACCTTCCTCCATTTTGGACTCTTCGGTTCTCCCTGCTATTAAAAGGTCAGCACTGTCAAGCTCAAATTGTACTACACGAAAGTACATTGCAATGACTTTGCCTCTGTGATTGAATACACTGGTTGCAGCAATTCCCTTGAAAAGAATAGATTTTTTTTATTGGGAAATTTGCTGATGGGTGTCCAAGTTCTATTGCTGAAAGACTGTCTTTGGCTGTTTTATTACTGAGAGTCCTTTAAATTCTGCCTCATCAGCAATCAAGGTTTCAAAAGTGATGGGACAACGAATTCACCTCTAAAAAGCACCATTTGAAGGTGATTGAATTGAACATGCAGTATCTGTTTGCAATTGGTTTGCATCTGAATTTAACTAAGCTGAAATGCCTATCTCACTTTCAGGTATGAATGTCAACGTCCTTTTTTGTTTTTCAGCATGTATTAGTCTGTATTATCTGAAATACTGTAAACTCTATTATGTGTCTAAGCATTTCACATCCTTACCTGTCTCTCCACCCTGACAAATCTACCCATCATGCTTTGGTCTTCGGCATCTGGCATGGAGGCGGATTTGGCTAGGTAGGACTCATGCCTGGAACACAGGGACACTGAGTAGACGCGGACTGCACAAACATTTGTTAGGGGGAAATGAATAAAAGCTTCACCTGCAGAGTGACTGCTTTAGAAATAAAGAACTTACTTAATATTGAAACTGTTTACAGACTACTAGAATATATAATAACAAGACAAAGACATAGCCAAGATAAATTCATAGTTGAATGTAAAGAAAATAAATACTAGCCTTAATACTAAGTTAGCATTATTATAGCATGGTTGTTAGTAGTCAGACAGTTTAATACTGCAATATTATCATATAACATTGTCTTGTCTGATCATTATGTTAAGCTCTAGGAATTGCTTGACATTACCTGGGTGACTGATTGGGTGGGTAGGCAAAGGGTGTTTTCTGAGTTTTCTTTTGTTTGGGGGTGAGGGGTGGTCCAGGGGCAAGAATCATGTCGATCCTTAAAGGAAGAGAAACAGCACGAGCTTGATGAAAAGGAGATATTGGCTTCACTCAAACAGACCTTCATCTGTAGTGTAGTTCCTGACCTTGTCTGGAGGTATTTAATTCTACAGAGCATGTCCAGGTGTCCCGCAGAGTACTGCTCTATCACGTCTTTGACGTCGTAAGGCCTCAGAGTTTCCTTAAACCGCTTCTTGTTCAAGAGAAACTGCATGATCCTGTGAGACAAAGAGTAATTCAACAGTTTATCAGAACATTAAAGTTACAGAATCAATTTGATCAAATTTGGAAAACAATGGCATTCTCTCTGTGGCTGAAATCTGTTAGATGTTGCAGAGTGATTTTCTGGCTCAACTTTGACCTACTGTATTTACCATTGTAAGTTTTGCTAAGCAATTAAGGATTATTATTTCAGGTGTGCTAACCATTTCATCTACAAATAATACATTTATATATGTTTTTTTATAAATGTATAATGTTGTTATACCCTGTTTTATCGTCTGACGACGATGATGTTGTAATTATGTTGGCATGCCCCAAGAACTGAGCATTTAGCACACCTTGGTGAAGAAAGCTCAGAAATGCCTGTATTTCTTGAGGAAGCTTAAGAAGGCCAAATTCCCACGCCAAGTTCTTGTCAGCTTTTACAGAGGAGCAACAGAAAGCATCCTGACTGGAAACATCACTAACTGGCATGGGATGTGCACGGCCCAGGACCGGGAGGGCTCTGCTCCGAAGATCATTGGTACCCATCCCCTGAGCATCAGTGATATTGGTGAGGTGAGGTGCCTGCAGAGCCCAAAGGATACTAAAGGATACTAAAGGACAGTACCCACCCAGCCACAGCCTGTTCACCCTGCTGCCTTCTGGGAAGAGATATAGAGGTTTCTATTGACGCACTACCAGACTGCAGAGCAGCTTTTCCCCCCAAACTATCAGACTCTTAAACTCTAGTTCATCCTCATTGTCTGCAATGTAGCAGAAGGGAGTTACAAAACTCAATTTCACTCTATAACTTGTTATATTGTTTGATCTAAGCCACAGTCAACATCTTTGTCCATCCAGGTAGGGCCGCTTATCCTGGGCCGGGTTGCCCGAGTCCTGACATCCTTTTCCCTAGCCATGTCCAACGGTTCATCCTGACTAGAGCTGAGAGCTCATGAATACTTTGATTTTGACACTCCAAGGTTCTCCTAGATGTCTAAGGTGAGCCGAACCACCCTATGACAGACACTTATTATGGCTGCTTGTATATGTGATCAAACTCTTTCGGTCATGAGCACAGTTGAGGATTGGAACATAGATCAACTGGCAAACAGAAAACTCCCTGCTACAGGCTTGAACCTGGGATCAACCCTGGTATCTTTCATTTCTTTGAAAGTCATCCAAGCCACCCACTGAGCTCCTTCTTTTGTCCCACAGAACTCCCACTTTGGGATGACTTGAACCTGAGTCAGTGGCTGCTGCATGATCTCCAGTGTTTGGCAGAAAGTCTTGGGTCCTAAAAACCCTCCAGGTTTGAAGCATCCCATTCAGAGACCCATTCAGCCCCGAAATAATGGTGTGGAGTGAAGCAGCACTTTCACAGGGTTAATCACTCATCTCACAGGCACTCACACTAGATTCAATTCCTGCATTATGTCAGCAGTGTGGTCTATAGATTTACCAACACACTGTATGTTTGAGGGTTCTGCCTAAACACTCTGGCTTCCACTGCTCACCCTTGTACTCCTGCTGTAATGACTGAGGCAACACCCATGTCTGCAGCATTTTAAACTGTTAAGTACTGAAAGGTGGCATGAAATGCTCGGTCAGATAATTTCTCAGATACTGTATATCCTGATTTGAATACCCATTTTAAAAATGACCAACAAGGAGGTTCTGTTTTCTATCCTATGTTGCATGTTTGTTGTTTTTAGCAGGACATAAAACATGGATTTAAGTGAAATTTGGTGGAAAGTTAGGCCACTGACCAGGTAGAACTGATAGAACTTTCTCTTTTATTCAAGAGTAATTTAAAAGGTACACTGGTGAAGTTCTGCAAACAAAATACACTCAACAGTTTGGCTAATCACCAACACAAGTGAGTGTATCTCCCAACTAACGTGTCAAGTGCAGAGCTGAATTTTGGAAAAAAAATTAAAAACTTAGATTGTTTACTTTGTGTTTGATCGCTAGCAGTCTTCTTCTTTCCTGCCTTTGTTGGCGCATTGTTACCTTTAGGGTTGCAACTAGCAGTTATTTTCATTATCGATTAATCTGTCGATTATTTTCTTGATTAGTCAAATAATAGGTCCAGAAAATTGTGAGTCAGCGTTTCCCAAAGCCCAAGGTGATGTCCTCAAATGTCTTATTTGGTCCACAATATATTCAGTTTTCTGTCATAGAGGTGTAAAGAAACCAGAAAATATTCACATTTAAAAAGCTGGAATCAGAGAATGTGTACTTTTTAAAATAAAAAAAAGAACTCAAAGTAATTAATCGATTATCAAAACAGTTGACGATTACTTTAGTAATTGATTAATCGACTAATCGTAGTAGCTTTTTGTTAGAATCTGTACTTACATGATGATGTACATGCATGCATGTGTACAAACTGATTGTTTAAAGCAATCAGTGTGTAAACAAGATTATCAGCTTCTGCTAAGAGGTTTCTGAATGCTGTCTGGTTTTATACTGTATTTTATTTCAGCTGTAATACAAGTGCTGTTTACAATGAACAACAGAGCCCAACCGAGCACATAAAAGTATAATTTTCTCTTATAAAACAACATCATATTACACTTTCAAATATTCAATTATTATGGAAACAAAAAGCTCTGACTGCTGTTTCATTGTGACTATTAAGGAGCACAGCTAAGGTTTCTGACCTGACTGCCCTGATGACCAGCTTCAGTGTGGGGATCATCTCCTCCATGAGGATGTCTGGAGGGAAGCCCCGCTCCTCTAAGGCTGGGTCTGCCAGAGCTCCGGCATCTGACACAGAAAAAAACAGGACAACACTGACTGAACAAGAATTGTGCCTTACCATAGATAGTAAATATGATGATGGTCCGGGCCCAGTGCCTACAGATGCAAAGTGAATCTTAAAGACTCAACCCAATCTTTTATTTTCTAAACTATGCCTTTTGTTTTCATACCTTCAGAGCTCTGACGGAGCGTGTAGGCCTTCATGCGGAAGGCGGTGCGGAAGCGTTCCCGGTTACTGAAACCAGCAGGTTTGGGCTCCTTGGAGGGACTTTCCTCGATGGATTCGGCATTTCCTGTGAGCTTCTTGCCCGTCCCAATTGATTGCCGTGCATTGGGAAGGCGAACACGCTCGAGTAAACTCAGTTTTTGGCTGAAATTGAAGAAAAAAGAGAAAAACAGATACCGTATGGAGGATGAGAAAGTCATGTGATATACAGCACTATATCAAGTGGCAACCAGCAAGACTGAGTGTTCAGTTTTACAACACAGTTCTTCTAATTACAAACTTCTCTCTTAAAAAACAAAATTGATCAACTTTCTATGACAGTTATTGTCACTTCTTGAAAAGTATGTCCTCTGGCAATGTTTTATCATGAAGATACTAAGGGTTAAAGAGGTGCAGCTTTAGGGAGATGTTTGCTGGACTGATTCCTCATCCCACTTCAGTTGTACGCAGGTTCCAAAATTTAGATATGCCAAGGAACCAGGCACCTTGCATGCTCTCACTCAAACTCCCTAAGGACATCTCTGTCCATCAAAACATCAGAAAACCCTTAAGGGTCTACAGACTGAAATGTCTTTACTTGTCATTACAAGTTTACATTTATTCATTTAGCTGACGCTTTTATCCAAAGTGACTTACAATTGATATGTGGGGGTTAAGTGTCTTGCTCAGGGACACTTTGATGGGTCACAGTGGGGGACTGAACCTGGGTCTTTCACACCAAAGGCATGCATCTTATCCATTGCATCACCACAGTATGCATCACCACAGTTTACCAATAGTTTAGAATGTACAGTTGTACTATGCATCTGTTAAACTTTACTGTGTGCAAGACCTTTGGTGAAGTTGTCAAATTTAGATTTTGACAAAGATGGTTGCAAACAATAAACCAAAATCCAGGCTTCAAATATCTATACAGAGGTGTAATTGCAGACTGTTCATTCATGTTTTTTCATAGTCTGTAGGAAGATTTTTCTACAGCTAAAAATCTTTGAGGTTCACGAGTATGAAAGCTGCTATACACCTACAACTTCTCACAAACAAAATACTTATAACTCAATATATTTTTTTAATCAACTGTGAATTTACATAAGAAAGACATTTGGCAAGACTTCACTGAACCCTGTTATTTTTCTAGTAAACATGGAATTATTGATTAATAAGCATCTAGACATCTAGGTTAAAAAGTGACTAAAAAAGCTTTTGACAGCTTTTCAGGGACTCTATTTCCAGATGTAGTTAGGACTTGAAATGTAGTCACTGAAAAATACTATATTTCATCATGTAGTTTACATGATGAAATATATGGCTTCCTGATTGGGTCCTGATTGGGTCTTGGGACAAAGTTTTGGTATTGTTCTTAAAATATTTTGAACTGTGCAAATAACACACAATTTTGCATGTATTTATTTTGCGACAACTCCCAGTCTGTTTTCTGCTGCCGCAGTCACTTTGTACTCCCATGTTACTTTCAGCAACAGTTCCACCTCGTTGTCAGTACATGAAAAAAAAATCTCTGGTGTGATTCTTCATCTGCAGTAGTACGTTCTTCTTTTGCCAAACCTCAAGTCAAGTTGAAGCAGATAGGTGGTCTATAAATTGTGACGGATGATTGTCTTCCAAAAAGTCTAGCTGTTGGCTTGTTTCCTACTACTCATGTTTTTTGACCCGACGTCATCATGCTTCCAGAACTTAGATTTTAATATGGTGAGGAAAATGTTATTCTTGATGGATTATGGAAACTACAAAAGAAATTACCAAATGCTTAACCTTGACCTGATAAAATATCAACTCTTAAAGGCCAAGTCTGATTGACAACAAATCACACGTGTAATATATCCTACTAACAAGTATTGTGTGACAGACAGGAAATGGTTTGAGCTTGGGCCTTCCTAAAACTTTCCAACTTGTTTACTAATATTTTTTGGAGGACAAACACATTTTAACACAATACATTCCAAGACAACACTCCCTCCACTAACTACAAACTCTAAAATGACCATGAAGTCAAATCAACTTGTTGTAGTATCAACAAAAACTGAACCTTAAGTTTAATCTTCATCAAGGTTATCATGGATTGCATTATGGTAAATCATTGGTGGGCCTATTTTTCAGGTTTGTTCGGTGGCTAGTAGGGGAGTGATGAGACGCTTAACCCACGAGATTGAGACGAGACGAGATTTTAACACTTTTTAAGAAATCTTTAATGCTGAATTATATAAAATTTTTAAGCATTGAATAGATTTTAATATGGTGAAACTACAGTACAGTAAACATGGAATTATTGATTAATAAGCATCTAGACATCTAGGTTAAAAAGTGACTAAAAAAGCTTTTGACAGCTTTTCAGGGACTCTATTTCCAGATGTAGTTAGGACTTGAAATGTAGTCACTGAAAAATACTATATTTCATCATGTATAATACGTAGCCAGACATCTAAAAACGTTTCTCTGAACCCTATATTTAACCAAAATAAGTCTTTTGTCCATCTAAAAGGGGATTTTTTGTGTTCTCTCATTTTGAAGCCAGACCAAATGACACAAGCATCTTCTAAAGGAATCCCACTTCTAGTGTCAGCAACAACTTTTCTTGAGTCTGACTTTCCTCTCACAGAGAAGTTAAAATCTTCATGGTCTGCTGTCGGCGTAACAATGCTGCCCTCCCAGCAGAAGCAAGCCTCAAAGAGCTGTGAGGAGATTGGTCTCCTTTTATTGTCCATTGGCTGACAATATTTGGCAGCACAAAGACAAGAGCTCCCTGGGTAAAATAAGACTCCTGTGTGCCTTGGAAGAGGCAGAGAGGCGGGGTAACCGGAGCCGGCAACATCCTGAACAGGGCCCCTGAAACGTGGAGCGCTCTCAGCGACTTTGCTCCCACAGAAGACACACAATATGAGCCTCTATGTGGCCTCGGGGCAGAATAGGGATGGCAGATTACGGCGCTGAGAGGCTGCAGAATAGGAAGCTTTAAAGGAAGAGAGAATCTCTTTCTGACTACTTCTCGGACGAATAAAGACCGAAAATTACATGTGATTATCTCGTGGCTCTCTGCAAACGCGGCAACACAACAGGAAAAAATAACGCTCCTTATCTCCCACAGCTCTGCTTGCCCAAGAAACACACACAGATATTAGTTTACTATACCTGCACAAATCTGCAGCAACAGTATTAAAGGATAATTCCACTCCATTACAACCTGGGTCTTACTTTCGTAGGTTTTTTCTCACCATGTTAAATGCTGAGATCTGCAACATCTGTGAAACATGAGACAATCTTTAATGCTGAATTATATGAAATTTTTGAGCATTGAATACTTTATTTCCTGCATTCTGGTGATTTTTTCTGCACCAGTTTATGGTGATTTTTTCATTATTTATGTAAAGAGAAACACATAATTCAGGTGACAGGTGACTATTCAAAATCTATAACCTAACTCTAACAGAATAAAAGTCATTCTGTGTTGCTTTCAGATCTGTTTCTCCTGTAGATCAACTTTTCTCATGTAATATCATCCCTGCTGAGTCATGATTTAGTCTTCCCTCCTCTTTTGTGTCTCTGGGAAAAAATCTTTTAAAATGTGTCACCTTTTCACTTCAATGATAAATTATTAAATTTAGTTAGAAACTCCTGCACTTTAATAGCTCCTGTGTTTCAGCAGGTGGAGTTGATTATCAGTTTTACATTTGTATTTCACTGCGTGAGAACTTTTACACCTGGTACTGTACAAATGTTAACCTTTAAAAACGTGGGATTCCACCGACAGACAGTTCAGTCCAGATGCAGGACCGCATATTCAGAGTTTCATCCATCCATCGTTAACCGCTTATCCTACATACAGGGTCCCAGCTTACATCTGGCGAAAGGCGGGGTACATCCTGGACAGGCCACCAGTCCATTGCAGGTCCACACATAGACAGACAACCACTCACACCTAAGGACAATTTCGGAGACACCAATTAGCCTAGCCTGCATGTCTTTGGATGGTGGGAGGAAGCCGGAGCACCCGGAGAGAACCCACGCAGACACGGGGAGAACATGCAAACTCCACACAGAAAGGCCGGGGCAACCAGGGTTTGAACCCACAGCCTTCTTGCTGTGAGGCGACAGTGCAAACCACCGCGCTGCCCCTGCTCAGAGTTTATACTAAACAATTTCAGATTGGCAGTTTCAGGGACTTGGGCTCTCACAGAAACCTGCGTGATCAAACGTGACTTAAGACAGAAACAAACATTGAGGCAGACTGTAGTCATCAGCTGGCTGAACTTTTGTGTGCTGTGTTTTGCACAGAAAAACAAAAAAGAGAATAAAACTGTGGATGAACTCGAGGCTGAGAAGAGGGAATCAGCAGGTTTATACATTTTATAGCGCGAGCAGATATACAACATGCTAGTGACGCTTCCCGGTCAGCTCTCATTGGCTGTTGAGGGTTTCTGATCAAATCGTAAATGTCAAACCTGTTTGAGATTTCTACTTCCACCCCAATACAGTACAGTGATGGGAAATAAAATGTAATGTGTGATGAAAACACACAAACAGGTTTAATATTTACAATTCAAAATCAGGGAGCCTGCGATCCAGTCGGCGACCTTAAGATTTGGCCTGTGTCTGTAAACCCCTCACACCACTGGATCATTTGGGCTGATTATCAGTTCTGACCAGCCTCAGATCAGAAACGCCCCTGCTGATGTCGGGAGGCGAATTAGACCCACAATCGGCCCAGTAATCCTCCAGTTTGTGGCCAGCATAAGAGGGAGAGCAGACCAAACTGACCTCATCTTGTCACTGACAAGATGAGGTCACACTGACAATGAAAGCAAAACAAGTCAGCACAATAGAGCGCACACACACACCGACAAAAGTGACTCTCAGATGGGGTATAATTTTCTTTCAGTGCTGTGTTAAATAGACCACACCATACCACTGGATAACTCAGATAAAAGGTCTTAAATCACACAGTGCACTGAAACACACACACACACACACACACACACACACACACACACACAGTAAGTGGCTTATCAGCCTCTTGTTGGACATGGCAGCACTGTTGTAGTTTCTGGCCGTCGTCCACCTCTTTGCTCAGAGCAACAAGATAATGTCAGACTGCTAATTTCCCAGCCACTGATCCTACAAAGGGCTCAATACTCCCTCTAACTCACTCTGTTTTTATTTTCTAAATTTGTTTCTACCTTCAGTATCTACATCTTTATTCCTTCCTTTTCTTTCTTTCCCTCTCTCCACAAAATTCTACAAGCACGGTCTCTGTATGGTGCTTATAATAACAGTTGTGGGAATTCAGAAATGGGAGGCTCTTACATTACTTAGTTATTACATTTAATCATTTAGCTGACGTTTTTTTATCCAAAGCTACTTACAATCACTATCTATATATATCAGAGATCGCACGCCTCTGGAGGAACTAGGGGTTAAGTGTCTTGCTCAGGGACACATTGGTACCCCGCATCACAGTGGGAAATTGAACCTGGGTTTCTCACACCAAATGTATCTTATCCACTGCCCCATCACCGCTCCATCACCACCCCATCTCTCTACTAATCTCACATCTATTTTTGATCTCAACGTGCCTCAAGATGGCCTTTCACTGTTTTCATCACTCACTAAATTGAATGCCCCATCAGAACTACAAATCTCAGACAGATATCTCAAAACCTGGACAAATAACAGAACTATGTGCATGATAGAGACCATTTCATGTTACTTTGGTCATTTGGGTGAACTGACGCTTTAAGTTCAGTCTACAGACTTTTGCCCATTAAGTGTCAAAGTGAAGTGAATTCCCCTCCTCACTATCAGCCTTCTGTTGTTGCTGCTTAGCAGCTTTTAGCAGCAGTAACTTAATCCAGCATGTTGAACATGGCGGCTCAGTGGAGGCCAGGAGGCGTCGGAGCAGAACGCACTAATGTAATGAGGCTATGTTGTGACCAGGAGAGTCCAACAGTTCGGCACAGAGGAGGAGGGAGAGAAACCCACAGCTCAGACTGGGAAGTTTATACCTTCTCCATATCAGGACCACACTGGTGTTTTTTCCTTTTCTATTTTCACTGTATGCTGTTTGTTTTGTATTGTTCTGTAGTGATGCAAAACCAAACAGGACAAAAATGATTTTCTGTCAGGCCTACCAAGTAAAACAAATTAGAAGTCCAATGTCCAACCTTTCTGGTCGACAAAACAACACTTTTAAGACGAGGAGATAATGAGTTGTCAAAGTGGAGAAGGCAATCGTTATTCAAAGGCTATATGTTCCCTTTCAATTTCAACAGTACAGAAATTAAATACCTCACGTGTTTCTTCCCAGCCTTTCCCAGATGCAGAAAGCAATAGAAGATTGAGTGTAAAGTTTTGTTTTAAAGAGACTGTCCTGTAACTCCCAGGTCACAGGTGTGATCCCCATGAAACCCAATAAAAATGACTCTCCCCTATCACTGCTTCAGGCTGTCTTTAAAGAACAGCAGCTAATAAAAGTATGGAGGCAGATGTAGCTTGTAGTTACCCTGAGGTCAGTAGTCACCAAACATTACTTTGTGTTGATTACCGCAATAAACATAATTTCAGCAGATTATTTCTTTCACAAATCAAACACCCTTAGTGAGATTTCCATGACAGGTTTTGGATGTAGAGACTCACTAATATCCCACTCTCCCTACACATGAGGGAGAAAAAAGAAAATCATCAAACTCAAAGACCCCATCTTGCGTCCTAATTATCCATCTAAACTGACATTCATAATTGAAACATAATTAATGGACTCAGTAATAGGTTTCTAAAAAAAAAATCTCTCAGCATAAATGCCATGAAAGTAGCTGATGTAGAAGGCAGCGCTATTAAAGAGCGGGACGAGTGGGAGTTTTATATCACGATTCACATATTTACCACAGCCATTAGCTCAGAGATTTATTCGACTTGCGAATTAATATAGAAAGCTATTTAAAAAGTGGATGGGAGGGGGGGTGGATTTGAGGAAACCTTCATTAGTCTTTCCAGCATGTAGGGCTAATTAAAGCCCCATCTTTCTGACTCTGGGCACAGCTCTGTGTGATTTATAGTGTCTCTGCTGGAGAACAAACAACAGTGCCCTACCTCGCAATGGCCTCCAAGTGGTCCTTCCTTTGGATGGAGAGAGAGAAAAGTATAAAGTTAACACATTAAACATCCTTTAATGATCACTAAAAGGCAGAAGACAAATCCAATGCTGTGTTTGTCTAAACAGGAACGAAATGCCTTAAATGTGAGACATGACATCTTTAGCTATTCCTATGTATGGCCAATGTGAGCTTCATTTGCTAGTATTTATCAGTAAAGAGCTATAGTTTTACTGTCAGCATCTACATGTACAAGTTTGAATCAATATTTCTACTAAATCTTAATGAGTGTTGTTTTATAAGATGTTTTATAAGATCTTAAACGATCAAATCTCCTTCCAAAGTGATTTTAGTTCAAACTAAAATATTATGATTAAGTCATTTCAGATTCCTTCAGGATTTTCTTTGTGCTCAGATGTTTTCGGAAAACCCTGAGCCATGTATGATCACCACTGTTCAGTATCCAACTTTCCATGGAAACCACAGACTTTGTTTCAGGTTAATGATAAGCATGCAAACTAAACAGTTTGAACAAAAATTTGAAATGTAACAACAGAAATTAATGCTGGAATTAAAAACCAAACTCCAAACTCAACATAATTCACAGTCAGGTATTTTGTGCACATTGTACAGTTGTGCATGGAGGCTTTTGAAAGAGACACATGCCATTTTGTTGTGATTTTTATTTACCTGAAACAGGGAAGAGAGATGACAGTTTCATAAAATCTCCAAGTAGCAATAAGGTCCTCTCTAATTGGATTGGTGGAATAATATCGCCAGGCAGACTTAAAAGAAACAGCGACAGAACAGCAAATAATGTCACAGTAAAAATGGGCACTTTAATATCACCTGTATGATTCAGTTTAGCAGAATCCAGTAGAAAACCTGAATATCACAGCTGGACCACTCATGTGAGAAGGTTGTTCGTGATGTCAGGCAGTGACTGACCTGGATGAGCCCGGCGGCTGGATGTCTGCGCTTCTCAAAGTGCTTCTGTCTGTGCTGCTCCTGGACCTTCAGAGCCAAGCCCGAACCCAGGATCCCCTGTGGCCACAAACACCATCAACAATACTGCTGCCTCTGCAGACTAAGTTTAAATACCACTGGGGCTGGTTGTCCAACATAGTTCATTTGAAAAAGGCTTAACATTTTGGTGTGCCACGTACACAATTATCTTAATTAAGATTCTTATTGTTTCATCTGTCAAGGTTCAAGGTGTCAGTTCCTATCGTAAAGGTCAAAAGACACTGCTGTGATTTTATGTATCTCATTTCATGTTCCAAGCATACACCAGATGTGATTCTGTACAGACAGAAGCAGTAGTCATTGTAAAACGGCAAAGATGAGCTGATCTGAGGAGCAAAATGGGTATGCAGCTTTTCTGGTGCGTCAGCATGTACGGAAATAGGAAATAGTGTGTGGGTTACATAGAAAACAACAAGCAGCAACAACAAAGGTGAAGTAAAAACAACACTAATCTGACCATCAGCAGCACTGTGGGTTACAATTGTACAGAATTCAGTGCTGCTGTGATTAATAAACTATACAGGAGAGTATACCCACTGCAGGCAAAGCGAAGAAGGACACTCCAATCAGAGCAAAAGTGCCGGCTAACAGCCTCCCAGCCCAGGTCTTTGGGGTTTTGTCCCCATAACCGATGGTGGTCAGTGTGATCTGCAAAAGAGACAAATAAAGATGACCATTTTCTTTCAATGTTTCCAATGTTACTGTCAAATGTCTGAGGTGGCCAGCTACTAAGAGAGTGAGACAGGAGATAATTTTGAAATATAAACCTTGCTGTGAGCCGTGCTCTGCTCTGTGACCTCGGTATCGATCCACTAAAGGGCAGTTCAGTGTTTCAAAGGGTCACAACATCATCTACAGTATGCAGTCGGTGATGATTGAGTATCTTGCTCAAGGACACTTCAGCGGGGGCAGATGCTTGGTGTCATAAAACCTGAACTCTGGCCTTGTGGTTGAAGGACGGTCTCCTTAATGAGGCCATGCTGCTGTAAATATGTGTAGTGCTTCCCTGACTAGAAGGCATAAAAGAGCATGAAGTTCTACCAAGACTGGTAAATTGTACAACAAGCCACCGGATAATTTACAGTTTTTAGTTTTTGTCTTTCAGATCAGATTTTCCAACAGAATATCAGCAGCTGACTTTGAAGGTGTGAATGTTGGACATTCCCAATGAGAAACAAATGCAGCAGAATTTTAGTGGCTCAAAACTGATAACTTTTTTGGGCGGAAATTATTAGATTATAGAATAGATTAGGAATTTTAGGACCCAGCAACCGGTTTTAAATGACAGGTTAAGATGGAGATTCTTTTGCACTGTTTATTCCCACGCTGTTTTGCAGAAAGACCTGTCTGAACAAAGTGATTTAGTCCCCTAAAGCCAGGGTAGAGGTTCATCTGGAGTGCATTCAAGGACTTCTTAAAAAAAGTTAAAGTACAATCATCTTGATGATTTTCATGAACTCAGACCCCATTTTTGATATTATTTACTGTTGGCATGTTTCCTGTTACCATTAATACATATTTACATTTTGTAATTACCTCTCAATATGGTCTCTATATAGTAGTTTACATTGTAAGCAGACACGTTGTAATCTTAAGGATTACAAATTAAGGTGAATTTACGGAGAAACAACAAGTATTTATTATTAGAATAATATATTTGTGCCTGTGCGTCTTCAAAAAGGTGGATTACTGTATAAGGGAACACCATACAGAAACATAATGTAATGTACATACCAGTCCCCACCACAGTGCGTCGGCATAGGTGTCAAAGTCCTGCGGTTTGGGCTGAGCGGTGGGGTTATCATGGTTGGATACGTCCATGGAGACATCGTCCTTTTCCACCAGGTACACCAGGAAAGACGCCAGGATCAGAGACAGGAAGCCGATGTACCAGGCCGTGATCAGCTCCTACACAAACATATGCGTCATTGCACAGTTAAGTAAAACAGATTTATTTACTTCTACCTCACACAGGGTTCAGATCTTACGTGGTTCACATGTTGTAACATTAATAAGGTTTCACTTCAACTCCTTTTTGTTTGAAATAGCTTTCAATGTCTCACACTGTAGTTTCTCTGCTTAGTTAGAAACCATGGAATCAAACCGAGTCGGATCCATTCCTACCTTACTGTGTGCGTAGATGGCGGACCCCAGCAGTTTCCAGGTTCCTCCTCTCCGGTCCATGCGCAGCATCCGCAGGATCTGCAGGAAGCGCAGGCTGCGCAGGGACGTGGCCAACACATTACCCTGATTACGCACTGCCACCACTGGCACTGAGGCAATCAGCACAAAGATGTCTGAGAAAGGAGACACAGTGAGAGAAAGATTCATAAAAGATTCTCTATGTAAGTATTTTACTTAATGAGTCTGACCCGACACAGTTATTAAGTCGTCTTTGTGAAATGATGAATACGTTGTGAAGAGCTCTGGAATTAGCTCCTACAACAGGAGCTGACTGAACATAAAAGATGTTGAAAAGCCGTTAATAAGATTTAGTTGTAACACATCAAGAGCAGTTTTGTGGATGTTGGAACACTTTTTAACAGTAAATAAGAAAACACATACTGATGTTTTCATTCCCACTCACTGTGTTATGCATGTTAATAATGTCATTAGGGCAATAATCAAGGTACAGTAGTCTGATAACAGTAATCACTTTAAGCTCTTACACTCTGTTGGACTCTCTTTAAACTCTAGTGGAAATCCCAAGGTTCCAAAAGACAGTAAATATCTCGGGCTGGATTCTCAGTTCAAATAAGGTTATAAGATTTGTTTTAAACATTATTTGTGTTCATTCTTCTTTAGTAAGTTTTTGTCTTGTATGTATTCATGGCGCACAGGAAAACCAACAACTACATTAGCGGAAGCTAGTGCGGCTCCTGTGATCGATAAACAGTTCCCCTTCGAGGGAACTCGAACTGCGTCGGTGACGACACTATGGGAACGCCCCTGGGCGTGGCAGGGCTGAACTATGAATGAAACTACTCCAATCCTATTGGTGTTACTAGAACGGTAGTGTGTGATGGCGTAACCGGAGGGGGTATATAAGCACATAGGACACATTAGCTTTCTATTCAGCAGGCACTCTGGCTCCATTTTCCTACCTGACATCGAGACGAAGCAGCAGAAGATCATGTCAAAGCAATTCCGACAGTGTGTCTTCCCTTGTGAGCGTTTCATCACAGAAGGTGATACCCATGGGATGTGCGTCTCATGCCTGGGGATGTCGCATGCTCAGGCGGCTCTCGAGGGGGCTGCCTGCGACCATTGCGAGGCCCTGCCCCTGAGGGTGCTGAGGTCTCGAGCGGCTCTCTTCCTAGAGGATGGTCGGATGCGCTCCCCTAGTGGCACAGGCCCTGCGGTCGCTGAGGCGTCGCGGCGGCTCCGATCCTGGGGATCACAACGCGAGATCGCCGAGGGTGCCGGAACGGCTGAGGCCTTTTTCCGGTCCTCGTCCGCGGAATCCTCCTCCCCTCGTCCCCGATCGGGAGTCCGGAAAGGCTGACACGATCTGGCTCTGAGGAGCTAGATGTGCTTAGCATAGAGGGAACGGAACGACATCAGCCCTCGCCAGGATACGAGGAGTTGTTGGAAGTGGTGACGGGGACCGTGGCCAAGCTGCACATTGATTGGCCACAGGCGGTGCAGCAACCATCGGCAGGCAGCAAACTAGATGAGCGGTTTCTGCAACACCGAGCGCCACCCCCGCGTCGGCCCCTACCATTTTTTCCGGATCTGCACAACGAGTTGTGTAGATCATGGAATAAACCCTTCTCTGCACGGCTGTCTACGTCCCCCCGGCTGGACTACGGCAACGTGACGGGAATCAGACAGCACGGCTACGGAGCGATGCCACGAGTGGAGGAGGCACTGGCTAGCTACCTCTCTCCCAACCTCGCCTCATCCCTCCGGACACCGGCGCTCCCCACCAAGCCGTGTCGGATGACGTCCGATTTGGTGGGCAAGGCCTACATGGCAGCGGGTCGAGCTTGCAGGCATACCAGGCCGATCTTCTTCGGGACTGTGACGTAGGGGGAGGTCCCTCTGAGGAGGACCTGAAGGAGCTCCGTAGAGCGACAGACTTGGCTCTCCTGTGACCAAAGAAACGGCCCGTTCCATCGGCCGATCCATGGCGGCTTTGGTGGCTACGGAGCGCCATCTGTGGCTCAACCTCAACCTCAAATCAGGCATCCAGGGGAAGGAGAGGGCTTTTCTCCTGGATGCGCCCCTCTCGCCTTCTGGCCTGTTTGGCGAAGCAGTGGATGCTGTCGTCAACAGGTTCCAGCACGCCAAATCTCAGGGAGAGGCATTTGAGAGATATCTCCCCCGCCGGTCAGACTCCAGGACCGCGACGGCTCAGGAAAGGCGGACGCAGCCTTCATCCAGCACCTACCGCCACAGCCAGAAGCAGAGCGTCGCTTTGCGGGATCCCCCTCAACCAACCTGGGACGCAAGATGGCGCTCTCGCCCACAGCCCCCCGGGAAGACGGATTTGAGGACCGTCATTCAGTCTCGGCAGGCCCGGAGGAAGAGGTCCTGAGACCTCGAGTAGGGGGACCCACCACCACCCCCCGCCTCCCTTCCCCTGAGAGAGGCCGATCGAGGTCCCCTCTCTCATGATGGCTCCAGCAACAGGCGTTGTTTCTCCCACCGCTTCAGCGCTCGGGATGCGCTAGCCGCCGGCAGGCCCTCGCCGATCTGTCTCGAGTTCCCTCGAAGGGGAACGTCTCGGGTTACATATGTAACCCTTGTTCCCCGAGAAGGGGAATGAGACACTGCGTCGGTCCACCACACCTCACCCCGCCTGGAGTGCCTTGCTTCATAGAAAGGGCTAATGTGTCCTATGTGCTTATATACCCCCTGCGGTTACGCCGTCACACACTACCTTTCTAGTAACACCAATAGGATTGGAGTAGTTTCATTCATAGTTCAGCCCTGCCACGCCCAGGGGCGTTCCCATAGTGTTGTCACCAACGCAGTGTCTCGTTCCCCTTCTCGGGGAACAAGGGTTACATACGTAACCCGAGACGTTCCACTCCAAATGTTCCACTTCTCTCGTGTGAAAATCTGACATTGTAATTGCCTTTGTCTGTTCGTCATTACAGAAGTTACATCTTGTTAAAAGTGGCTCATACCTATTCTCTTAATATTTGAATGCTACACTCCCTAGAACACAACAGTGATATTTACTGGACTCAGATGAAGTGGAAGTCTAGCCATGGCAGTTCGTGTATTTTTATTTAGGATTTTTTTTATGATTCCACCTCCTCACCTAAAATACACAGAGGTTTGCGAGCAAACTTCAGCCTCCCCCTCCATCCTTTGTAGCGACAGCAGCATCCTGCCGCCCAGATCCTCAGTGCAAACTCTGCTCCGAAGATGAAGATGGCAAAGGTTTCCTGGAAAATCATAAAGCAGCATGATCAGAAGGCGACAGTCGGTGTTAGGTCACATCAACATCCTACTGTTTAATTATTTTTTTATTTTTTAGTTCCTATTATTCTACCAGGGTTTTTCCACGTTATTGATTGTATCATCTACATTTTAATTTGTTTAAGCGTTTGTTTGATGTAAAGTTTTTTGAGCTGCAAGAAAAGCGGAAACTAAACTCACATTCCTCCCAGGTTGTCAAATGTCACATTTACCTTGTTATCCCCACAAAAATGTGTGACCACCTCATCACAGTATCTAAAGTTTCCAAAGATGCCACATATTTGGAAGAAAGGGTATAAAATGATGCATAGGACATCTAAAATATTTCCATTTGGTAAAATTGTGTTTTTAATATTTCACTCAGGGTAAAGATCATAAAGATTCAAAGAAGAGCTGCAAAAACATTATAAACTACATTTATACAAGATACTGTCAGACAGACAGAAGTTGTTGTCTTAAAGAGGGAATATAATATAATTTAGGTTGCCCCTGGTAGTATTCTTAAAGCTTTTCTTTCAGTTACTTTAAATGTACAGTTAAATTTAAATTAATTGTTATTATTCCAGCTCTCGTGGCTGTGCTGTATTGCTTATTTGTGTTTGACTGTTTCTTGTTTTCATTTTTCTCTTAGTTGTCTTACTATGTCAGCTGTTTATTGCTGCTGAACAGCTGGTTGTCTTTTATTATTATTATTATTATTTGTTTGTTTGTTGTTGTTTTTCTCCTCCCCAAGCCCCCCTCTCTGTTCTATTGCAGGTTTCGTTGCTTTCTGCAATTGGTGTTTCCCTCTGCTTTTCCCTGTTGTCCCCACCTTCCATCCCCCTTTCCCCCTTCTCTTACAGGTCTTGTCCTTTCTCTGTGCTGTCTGTTTGTGCCCCCCCATCCCCGTGTCTGCCCCCCTGTCCGGCCTGGTGACAAATCAATACATAATTAAATAAATAATAAAACAGACAAAGGAGTACATTAATACTCTCTTGTTAAAGTAAAATCTGTCTGGCACAATATGGTATGGATATAAAGAGGGAATATATGGGGAAAGTTGGATTTTTAGATATTTAAGTAAGGCAACAAAATTAAGGCAACAAAAAAGGCAACAAAATTAGAGAAAATAATAAACTAAAAACTAATTGAAATAAATCCCAGTCATTTTACCAGTATAAGCAGCTAGTGTATAAGAATGATAATCTTATAAATATCCATTTGAAAGTAACAGTTGACGGATTTGTTGTATTTGTCCTGTTATCATTTAGTCATACATCAAACCTCTGAGACACTTTGTCTCCATGAGAATTCTTGTCCATAAAACTGAATTTAAACAGATAGTAGATTGATTGAATTATCATCTTAAATTATCGGCCAACCCTGAACAACACTCAGCAGTACGTGCAAAGGGATGTTGTGCAGCCGATCTGTTCAAACCCACAGAACTTTACAGACAGAAATGTGTCTAACATGATGCAGCAGACATCTTAAACATTTGGTGGAATGATACTCCCAAACATGTAGTCAAAGTGTACATCTTCAACATCATACATCTATAATGAAGATCTGGAGCAAATCATACACTATATGACCTTGTCAGGCAGTGTACAACCTTAAAGCTACAGAAAGGGACATAAAGGGAGAACAACTCTGTACAAAACCCCACAGAAAGTTTTCTACACAAAACAAATGAAATCCCAGTCATCTTACCAGTATAACCAGCCAGTGTGCAGAGACCTTCTCATGTTCCCTGAATGTTGTCAGTATGGCCAGAATCAAACAGCCCAGGACAATTAAAAACCTGCAAAGAAACAAATCAACAAAGCGTTCAGCACATCAAGCAGTGTGACCTTCACTACAATAACACAGCAACATGAAATGAGGTCATAAATACTGGAAAACAGATGTGAATGTTCACTTTTTGTCTGATCATGTTCCACCACAAGGCAGTGCCTCCATATTACCACTAGAGGGCGCAACATCTCTACTGTTAACTTTAAATTAGGACATATCGGCTGCAGCACAATAATAGTAACAGTCACAAGTATTGTATGTACAAGTATGCCCCTCCCTTATGGGAAAAACTTTTTTTAAATTAACCCTTCCATTATCTCTTTCAACTCGCACACATTAGAGTAAAATTATTATTTTTAATAAATTATTTTGACACAGCTGAAAAAATCACACATTTATGAATTGCCACTTCATGTCAGCTGTTTTGATTAAATGAGAGCACAGAAGAGCTCTCATTTACAAAGGTTTAATATCTACACAGCTGAGGGAAACTTATTATTATTATTTTATATATTATTTTATATTATTACTTGTTATTTTTTATTTTTTATAGTTTTTCTCCCTGCAGGATAACAAAAAGCTATTTATCAGATTTCACTGGACAGTGGTCCTGGCCTTTGGCTGTTAACACAGGAGGCCTGTCAGAGGATCCAGAAGAACACAAAGCCAAGTATGTTAATAGACACAAAGTATATATTGTGTAATGTTAAAATGTTGAAGTTTCTGTAATTGTATTAGCTCTAATTTCAACATAGCAAACAGTTTACTTTCAGCATCTAACTGTACTTGATTTGATTTTTCTAAAATAACATGACAGCGTCGATACTGTCACAGATTTCTGTATGCATATGTTTTCTATCTTTATGGGTGTTTGTTTGATCCTTTCAGAAAATGTGTCTCTGTCCATGTATGTTGGGTGAAGTACTGAGCGGACAACTGATTTTAACCAAACTAGTGTTTAAAATGTGACTTTGGTATTGCCTTATACAGTTGTTTCCTCTCTGTTCAGTGTTTTCACTCTGCTATTAATGGCAATATGGGGAATACAATGAATGTTTAGTATGAATCATTTTTCTGCAGTCTTCCTGTTGCGTCTTTAAGCCTCCAGAAACTGTGTCGGGCATCATCATAGAGGAGCTCTGGGGAACTGACTGAACTCAAGCACAAATATCTTCCACACCAGCAGGCTTGGACCAAAAATCCAGTTTTCCTTTAACCAAAATAGCTAACTAGCCAGCAGGCTCATTTCGCAAAGTAACACCTGTCCAGTAACATCCACCCTCTACAAGAGGTACAATCTAGAGAGCGCACAACTTAAGTGTGTTTACATTAAAGAACAAATGGATTCCTTCCTGGAGCCTATTATTTTTGATGTATTATCTACAGAATATGTATGTGAGAAAGTACAACACGTTTGGGAACATCTGGGCCTGTTGTCATCACATTTGTTCACCTGGTAACATCAAGAGCCATCAACACACGTTTGCACCACTTCACATCACTTCAGGTATCTATGAGTATGAAGAATTGGTTAGTTTCACAACATTAATTTTCCTATTCATTCTCTATGATCCACCAACCCAAATATCAGGTTTTACACAGCTTAATCCTCAATATTAAAAAGCTGAATGATCCACTCAAGCCCTGCTTTTTATACACTAACATCTATATTTAGCTCTTTCAGAGCAGAAATTAATTGGATACACACATACAAATGGCTATTTAAATCACCCTGTACACTAGAGCGCACCCTGGCTATATTCCAGATAGTCTGGAGTTAACTGCCCTGCTATGATATGTCACGTGGAACCACACTAAATAAAGTCAACCAGCTGCAGAACTGCACAGCAGCACCGCCAATTAACATTTAGCCAGTGCTGCATGTCCATAGCTGGCCACCATCACCTCTGTGAAAAAGGTTATTTTCTTCTCTTTTCAGCTCACACACTCTTATAGCTCCAGCTTGATGTGGCTGTGAAAGCCCTAAGAAGCACGACTCTTTTTGGGAAACAGGAGTTTGGTGGTGAGAGGTTTACAGTGTCAGAGCAGTGACACAACAGTAAGCACGGGAACACTTTACAATCCACTTATTTCACTGTATTAACCTGCAGAAAGGCCTGACTGAAAGATGTCCATATTGTCAATGTGTCAATATTCTATTATTATTTAGTATTGAATAATAATCTGTGATGTTTTTATATAAAGAGATATTTATTTTGCTACTGGCATCCAACTAATGTCCAGATCACAAAAGCTTTTCTCCCTTTTCTGGAAATCAGAGAGAGAAGTGAGGTGTTTTTCAGCAGATGAGCAAACGAATCAGAAATGATGAGAAAAAATGATTTGATTTAGATTTTGTGAGACAGTGCAAGTATTTTTTGCAACTACTCGCACACGTATGACCTTGAATTGGACATTTTTTATTTCGTGTTGAAAAACGATGAGGGACCTAGCTCCTCGGATGGTCTCTTTCCCCGAGTTGTAAAGTCATTGTTCTGACTTCAGTGTGCGTTCATGTGCTCTTAAGTCAGAATGTGGAATCAACATAGACGCTACTACAAAGATTAATATTATCATATATCATATAAAGAACACACAGACTCTACATGCTCAGCAAACAGTTATAACCATATTACAAATTACATGTTTGGAAAATATGTATGTGCAATACGTGATTTTGCATATACATATTGAGTTCTATTTACTTCCATTACCAGTATCTCACACAGTGCACATGTTGTCTGGAAGGATTCAGAAGGTTACCAGTCTCTCCTGGTGCCATCAAGCCAAGCTCTACAAAGCACAGGATAAATTTGGGGTTTGCAGCTCCTGTATTTTACATACTATTTTTTCTTGAACATGTTTCCATTTTTTGAAGGAACTGTGTAAGTATTATAAATGTCTTAATGTCTTTTACAAGACTCCTTACGATTAAGAACGTATCCAAGTTTGGCTATTCAAAAATTCTTTACAGAACTACAAAAATACATAAAGACAGTGGATCATTGATTGCTCTGCCCTTTAGCCTCCTTCTCTAAACCTGCCCTGAATCATTCATGGCCTGTTGTGTTGCCATTAGGCAGTGTTGACATCTCTGCAAAGTTTCTGAAGTGCTGCACAACCATAACAACATGAATATTTTACATTCAAACAGCCCGGAGAGTTTTACATAATTCACCAGAAGGAAATGATAGTTTAGAGAACAGATGCTTCTTGATTGACGTCCGAGCGCTCTGGAGTGGTTTTTACCATACTTCCTGATCCCTAAATTTAATCTGAGTATTTCTACTCAAAGTTGTCCAGAAGATAATCCTGGAGTGAGCGGAGGAGATCGATGTAAACTTGATACAATCGAAAAGATAGTGAACTGCTACACAGTCACACACACAGTCGGCTTCCTATTCGGCTTCAGATAGTACCATAAGTCACACAGAGTGATGTTGATGCCCATTAGACTGGACACATTAAGGGGGGGAACATTATCAGTAAAAACAATTAGAGATAAAACATCATGTAATGGAAATTATATCAATGAGTAAAAATGGTATCCACACAGCTTTCACAATCATTCCTCTGAACTTATTTTATGTTAGTTTAACAAAAATTTGTCTTTTAGTAATTTTAGTGGCACAGGTTTGAAGCCCTCTTTGCTGCATTTCTTAAATATATTAGAGAGGTCATATTCTGCTTTGTGCCTTTTTCCCTTTCATTTATTGTGTTATATAGCTTTTCGTGTGATAGGTTTGCAAAGTGAAAAAGTCCACCCTATAGGAAGTTACCATCTCCCACAGAAAACAATGCTCCTGAACTGCCGGAACAGCCTGACGGTAGTCCAGCTTTTACTTCTGTAAACTATCTGAGTTACTTTGTAACAAGCGTCATGATGCCTAGTGACTAGTCAGATATGCCCTCAAAAACACAGGTGGAAAACACACTGAGCTGCAGCACACTGTGACAAGACATCCGCCTGCTGACTCCCCTTAACCCCACCCTCCCTACCAAATGTTAGATAACCTACAGGCATTCCATGGACAGAAGTTGTCACTGTGATGTAGAGACAGTGCACAGTTAAAACTTTACGTATGAAAGATCTTTTTATTACAATTAAAAACTTACCACTTTGAACCTGTTGCTCAAGTCTAGGTTGTGAAGCCAGTTCAGGAACGTGTACAGTTGAACTGAACTCATATTTATGGACTTGTCAGGACCCGCCCTACTCTGCTTCGGATTGGCTAGTAGTCCTTAACTCCAAAAGTGCAACAAAGATCAAATAGAAGTGAAATGCTTCACCCCATAGCTAAAACAGGGAGTTCAACACAGGGTTGAAAGATGGGCTCCAGCAATGTGCAGTATGACAAAAATATGTTTTTTTGAAAATTAAGCCATGTAAACCTGTTCTGGTACAACTTACTTAAATAAAACTATGAACCTGAAATTGAGGATAATGTGACCAAACTAAAAACTTGTTAAATACAAATAAATTAATTAATAATACAGTTGTTTCTGAGACATCCACCAGGGTTTTCATTCAGTTACAGAAGAGGAAGTGATGTACATGAATACGTCCTGAGGCGACCTCCACACCTCCCACCATCACCACCACATTAGTGTGACTGTGTCCGACGGTGTAATTCTTTTGGATGTAACACTCGTGCAACATTGCATTACTCCTGTAACATTTCCTGCTGTTGGCCAAATAAGTGAAGCATAGAATCCAATCTGTGTTGCGACTGGCAGTTAAGGGTTTCTGAGAGAGAGCCACCCTGACCTGGAGAGACACCACAGAGAGGATTTTCTTTCCATTTATTTTCTTAGTGTGACAGTGAAGAGTTTCAGTAAGTGGGACTGAACCTGGTGTATCAGCTGGAAATGGGTAAAGATAATGGAGTTTTTTATTAAAGTGGGAGATTTCCAGTGGAGAGACACTCAGTGGAAAGTGGTTATTGTTTTGAGTAGGTTATGGATCATGTTTGCTAACACTTATTGGACCAGTTAGTGAAAAGAGAGAAGTCAGAAGAAATGGCTACATCTCAGAACCGGACCCGTATTTATCAAACTTCTCAAAGTGCCATTTTACTCCGAGAATTCATGAAATTTGCTCCTACTTTCAAACTTAAGAATACAAGCAAGTTATCGCATATCTTAAAGCTAAGAATCATTCTTACTCTCCCAGTTATTTAAGACAGCTTGAGAGGTCTCTGAAGTGGTTAGGAGTTGCCAGTAGGGGCTTGTGATGGCACTGAAGAGACAGACACATGCGTAAATCTTTCAGGAGAGAAAGTATGTTTTTGAATATAAAGCACTTAAAGCATACAAATGGCATATAAAGATCATTGCTCCCAGCATAAACAAGAATGTTTGTGTGAACAGGAAGTTGTGTTTGTTGCAGACTATTACTGCATTTCAGATGTGGTACCCACATGGCCTGGGTCTACCCATGATGTGCAGATATTGAATGAAAGTGGTCTGACGCAGCAGTTTGAAAGGCACTTTGTGCCACCAGGTGTCATCTAATAAGGAAAGAGGTTACTTTCAAGTCTCTTGAAACTCCTCTTGAGAAATTCACCTTTCAATGTGGATTTATCTAAAAATATTCTTAAATAAGGAAATCTGTGATTGGTCCTTGCCTATGTCGTCATAGAAATCCCGCTATGTCTCATCTGTGTAACAATGAAAATTTATACTATGGTTTCTGATGATGTTACCTAGCGGAAGCATAAGGTGAATAAAATAAGTCCAAGGACGGAACCTTGCGGAACTCCATGGGTAACTTTGCTCTGCCTAGAGGACTCAGCGTTTACATGTACAAATCTGTACATCTGACGATCTGATGATTTAAACCAGCTTAGAGCAGTTCCTTTTATGGCAGTTAAATGTTCAAGTCTCTGTATGATATGGTGATCAATTGTATCAAATGGCGCACTTAGACCTAACAAGACCAATACAGAGACTAGTCCCTTATCTGATGCAGTAAGAGATTTTTACCAATCCAGGATCTGTACTATGATGCATTCTGAAACCTGACTGAAATTTTTCAAATAAGTTGTTGCTATACAAAAATTCACAGAGTTGATGTGCTACTTCTTTTTCAAGGGTCTTGGATAGTTAGATATGGGTCTGTAGCTGTCTAAAACCCCTGGATCGAGAGCAGGCTATTAAAAAAGTGGTTCAATTACAGTTACTTTAAAAAAACTGAGGTACATAGCCAGGTGACAAGGACTACAAGTAAGCTGGTGAAAGTTGATGGTGGCAAAACAGTCCAAAGAGTTTTACAGGTGCTACTGAGGTTTCTGTGACTAAAGGCAGGTCGGCATCCATAGAGGGCAGGACATGCTGAATTTCATCTCTAATAATTCAAATTTTGTTGTTGAAGTAGTTCATGAAAACGTCACTATGAGGTCAAGAGGTTCAACTATGCTATTTTAAAGCTTTTCATGGCCTCTCGCCCTGTTATTTCTCCGACCTTTCAGTTGCATACGCACTAGCATGTACCTTGAGATCCTCCATAGGTCTGTTGTCTGTTCCAGTCTCAACTGAAAACTAAAGGAGACAGAGTGATAAATATGGGCCCTGATCTTCAATAAGTTAACAACTCAAACTATTTACTAGTTATTTATTAGTTGATTTGTTTATTTAAGCTTTGTATTTGTTATGAAAGGTTGTGTGTCAGTAATGATGAAAGCAGCCCACCTGTACAGCTCTCCCTCCTTCGCTCCATTAATCCACTTTATATCCATCGGCCCAGCAGGGTGAGCCTCTGCTGGGCTCCCCGATGCTGATACCACCCCTGAGGATTCCTAACAACCAATCTGCCGGCGTGATTCAATAAAGAGAGTGCAGACGATGCAATTCTGACCGTTAATTTGTTCTGCGATATGCAAACACTGGTGGGAAAGGACAGCAGCAGCACGCCGTTACTGACTGCAGTCACAAGGACGAGATGAGAGACGGTGATCTTTATTCAGCCGAGGATCTCTGAGAAGAAGGTTGGAAGCAGCTTCATACCACAATAAGAGGCGCTCTGCACTGAAACCATCCTGCTGACATGTTAAAATCAAGCTGATCAGGCATGGACAATAGCTAGAGTTTGACAGCTGCAGTTTTCTGAAATGTTTTTTAGAGTGTCAAGGTGGGACGGATCCCATGTCTGCAACTCTTTTAAATATCTCAAGGAAAAATCTGATTTATGTGAAAAGTGATATAACATCATCCACATTGGTTTAATATCATATCATCATATATATAATACATATAAATAATAATATATATAAAAGTTTGATTTTATTTATCTAATGACCTCAAAACACATTACAGCCATTTATGTTTATTTTACACAAAGGTTCTCAGAAATCCATAAAAGGAACCCAAAGTCTACAGAGGCATCACTGTTACTGTCAATATCAGCATCATCAACCTAAACTTTACCGTCAGACAAACTACAACAAATATCACTATCTCTGAGAGCAAAATTTGTCTTCTTCCAAAAGGAATTATAACTTATTTCAGAGACAACAGGGTTCTCACATCTCTGTAAAAATCAAACTGAAAAATCCAAATTAAAAGGTAATTAAGAGTTTGATGTATATATAAAGAAACTTCTAGCAAGACTTTATTTCCTAACATTACTCCAACAAAACAAACTCTTCTCCCTCATTTCCATGAAATTTCAGTGAGAACTGTCCTTGAGGGAGACCTCAGTTTCCTGTTACCTTCACCTATTAACAGTCTGAGCCTGTCACTGGCAAAAAGAACCACTTTTTGTGGACGTCATTTTGACTGGCACAATGGCACCGAAGGAATATGTTGTGGCTGTCAGCTGAAGTCATCTACTGCACAGATTCTAAAACTTAGTCATTTCCACATCAAAATATGTGAGAATAGGGCCCACATTTAAAAATACCAAATTATCCTTTTACAGACAAGAAAACAGATCAAGAAAGTCCTCTTCATCTCACTTCCTGTTCTTTTCTGTCAGCTACAGTCCCCCTCATCCATGAAGAAGACCTCTTCTTCTTCCGGCCCTGCATTCTGTTTGACTCTGTTAGCGCCGCACACCCTCATATTGGCTTTTACCTGGACAGTCAGGATTTTCCCCCTGACCTCAGTCTGATGGGATACTCAGACGACCCCAACACCGCCTCTCAACCTCAGCAGGAGGTCAGATTTGCCAGAGTTTGCAGTGATCCGAACACGAAACCGTGTTGGTAGTGATGATTTCTCCTCCAGCACCTCCCCCCTGCTGACGGGCAGCTCAGAGGTGGGAGTAGAGAAAAGGATATTCAGGCTGTGCTTTGCTGATCATGCAGAACATGGTGTTTATTGTTTAACCAGGAATATCCTGACCGCTGGATGTGATGGCATTGTTTGTGTTTGCCTGTGTATGATAGCGGGTGTTGCTGGAACTTCCCACTAAGATTCAGAAGGGTTAAATTATTTCATGGTATTATTTCAACATATAAAGCCATATATCTATTTATTTGTATATTATCTTTTAGAGACCTGTGATGGACTGGCGACCTGTCCAGGGTGTACCCTGCCTTTGTCAGCTGGGACTGACTCCAGCCCCCCGCGACCCTGTACACAGGATAAGCGGTTGACGATGGATGGATGGATGGATCTTTTAGAGATGGGAAAATGCAGTTGTTTTGTATTTTTAAATTTTTAGATCACTGTAATGCTCCTTAATGTTACTTTTGTTGTTTTCACATGCGATCTATATCTTATCAGGATAACAAAAAAAATGATACATGCAAATACAAATCTGAATCTGATCACTTTTGCAGGAGGTCTGGCTTACACTGTGATAAGATGTCAGCTAGCTGTAAATGACTGTGCAGGTTGGTTACATTAAGCTCTGAAGAAGGTCAAAAGTAGAAAGGTCGTGTAACTCCTCTCCTGCTAGTTGTCACGGCTGTCGCTGTCACCTTTTTTTCCCTGTCTCACCTCTACCAAGTAGGCTGTGTCCCTGGGGAATACTACTTCCTGGTTTCTGGGGTGCTGACATCTGTCCCGCCCATTGGTTCCCTCTGGTTCCATTCAACCAATGGCTCGTCACCACGTTAATTACCTCCGGCTCATAAGGAGAATCCACCTGTTGCTCCAGGCAGCTTGTCACCGCCTGTTGACTTGTGTGCCGCTGGTATTGACTGCATAGCCTGTCTGTTAGTTGTACTTTGTGTTTAGTGGAACTATCCACCTTCCTTGCTTATTAGCTGTACATTGTGTTTAGGGAAACATTTGCATACCTTTGTATGTTAGCTCCACATTGGGTGCAGTGGAGAAATTCACTTATTGTTTTGTTTACTATTGTGTTAGTTTTCACCAGGTGGAGTGGGTGCTGTGCTCTGTGTTCTTTTGTAGCAAGAATCAACTCTGCCCAAAACGATAGATAGGTACAGGCCTCCTTTTGAGGACCTTTTTACTTTAACTTGGTTTGTTATTTTTGCAGCACCCTCGTCCACCCTCCTTTGTTTTTTTGTTACCTGTCTACATCTCTTCTGTTACCAATAAGTTACCTTGTTAAGATCTACCAGTTGTGCCTATATGTTTATGGCCCCCACATCCCTAGACCAACAGGGGGTCGTAACATATATGGGGGCTCGTCCGGGATACTCCTTCTAGAGGAATCCCAATTGGCATTAATTGGTTCTTGGTAACAGTTGAGTGACTAGCTTGACGGTAACGAGGTACAGCTTGCCTGATTCAGGGAATCATGGCCGCTGCCCGTTTTGCGATTGAGGTCTTTCTAAAACAGCCCTCAGTAGAGAAACTTGATATGTTTCGGAAAGACGAGTTGCTCCAGTTAGCAGCCCACTTAAGCATCTTGGTTCCCAAAACCATTCTTAAAAAGGAGTTGAAGCCTATGCTATGGTTAGCATTAGTTGAGAGGGGGATACTTGTAGTGCCAGAACCGCCCGAGAAAGAGCCCATGTTCCAAGTTGCTGGTTCAGCTGCCAAAGGGGAGGTCACGCCTACCCCTGACTCTGCCACGGACGTAGCGGACTCAGACAAAGTAGGTGAAGGCCGGCAACGCCATTCACGCTGCCCAGGTTTGATCCATCCTCTGCCAGCAGTGCTCGATCGCTAGGAGAAGCGCGGCTCAAGGTACGCCTTGCCCGTCTCCAGTATGAAGCACAGGATGCGTCAAGATGCTCAGTTATCTACATTTGACAGGTGAAGAAACAAACCACTCTGCTTCTTCAGCTCTTGAAACGTGTCTGGTCACATATGTGGGGACAGAACGTCGGAGGCAACTCCAACTCGAAGTGAGGAGAATGGAGATTGAGGCTGACCAGGTGGTGAGACTGCAGAAGTTTAAAGTAAAGTGACTCCAACGTTGGAAGTCTTGGATGTACCAGGAGACCCTGCCTGCAGCGCAGAGTTGCCCACGGTATTTCCAGCCTGCGTCGTCACTCGTGCGCGGGCACGCCAGATGACATGTGATGATGGGTCAGATATTTCGCTAGCTGATGCAGTGTTTTGTAAGCCTTTGCAGATTGCTGATTCAACTCCGGTGAAGGAACCAGCGTTTATGGAGAGTGCGGTGGAACCGTCCTCTTCCTCCCCACCACTGCCAGCTACAAGAGAACGCTTGGCTGTGGCTCAGAGAGGATCCAACCTTACAGGCCTGCTTCAGGAATGTGGTGAGTGACATCAATGCAGCAAGTGGTGAAAAAGTAGTGTATTACTTAGAAAATGATGTGTTAATGCGGAGTTGGTCCCCTGGTGTAGCTTTTGATGCAGATTGGCAACGCATGTATCAGA